GTGGTGTGCCCCCTCAGCCTTAAGCCAAGACACAATTATTTTTAGCCAGCCGGGGCCTTTAGGTTTCTTGAGCATCACAGAGTGCGGGAGCCAGCCATAATCATAGATAAATATACTCCAACGTCATAATCCGAGGGAATTCGGCTGCATAGTGTGTGTGTCGAGTGTTGCGCCTGCGAATCGATATTGTGCATTTCATGTGTGCATTATAAATTGTGAACCAGTTCCCAATGATGAGAAGCAGAGACGTGTACAAACGGTCTCCCAGGAGGAAGGTAAATCAAGCCTGTTTATTTTGCCTGGCCGCTGGTACGTTTTTTTTCCTCCACGCCCGCCGCGATTATCCGCAGCTCTCTCTCGCATTCCGCGCTTTTGTTCCCTCCTACTTATTTTTTCGCACCTGTCCAGTCCGCTGGCTTCTGCGAAGATCGATTTAATCTGCGAAACGCCACGGCCAATTTCGCCTCCCGAGGTGCGGCCAAACGCGCCGCTTTTGGCGCGTGCTTGTTTAACTTGATGGCCGCTCACTAATTTTTCTTTACACGCTCGGGCCTCATTTTGAACTGTCCATTAGTCGTAGAATAAGAAAATTGCATGAGTCGGTGACAATTGTGACGTAAGAAGTGGTGCCGCGGAAGCCATCATTGTTTCCTTGAAACAGAAAACACATCTGAATATTTTTATACATTTGAATGGATGTGTGCATACTATGCCGACGCAGCTGCCAACGTCGGGGGAAATCTGTTGGCATGTCTGTTATTCAACCGTTTCACTTCTTATGCTTTATTGGCAAATTTTAAATGCATTTGCGTTTTTATGACGAGCAAATCGAATTATTATATTAATAAGTTTAATATTTGAGAGTGCAAAATTAAAAATTTAAATTAATCCCTTGAGAAAAATTTTAAAGGAGGAACTGATATTTAAATAATATATGCATTTATTTACAAAATTTTTGTTAAAACGACCTGTACTTTCATTAGGAAAACACGTCAGTGAAATGGAATTAAAAATTAAACAAACACAACACCGACGGAGAATAAAACCTATTAATAGCGTGAGTGCGTCAAAACAAAAGAGCGCTCTCCGATCTGCGACACGCTATGCCTCAATCGGCCTAACTGCATTCGCTTAATTTCCAACGTATTAAAGCTGCGCCTGTAGTAGCGCGTTTCTTTGTTTCACCCATTACCAACAACGTAATATAAATTAGCCTATCATTCTTTGAAAATCGCATTGAGCTAAATAATAAAAAATAAAAATGACAAAATGTACGAGTTTGAATTTTTGTAATTATTTTTAATATGATAATCTTCATTTAAATTTCTAAAATAAGGGAAAAAATATATTGAAGGGAATTTTGTTTAAAAAAAAATCACTAGAGACAAGTAGGTTTTTCAATAATTTAGCAACGTAGTGGATCGATGTGTGACAGATACTGGTGCTCTCCAATAAATTTCAATTGAGGAGTTCCAACCCCTTTTTATAGAGGGTGGGATGACGTATTAACCCTCTCTCTGCTCCAACCCTCTCGACCGTGGCGCGCAATGAATGAAATAATTCATGGGCCACGCGTCTCGGTGGAATTCTCGAGGTGCTCGTACAAAAACGTGATCAACTCTCTGAGGCACCAGAAAGAAAGTGACCCCGTGTCGTATATATATGTACGGAGCAATCCCTGGCAGACATTTATTAGCAATGACGAAGTAGTGGTGGTGGCGACCACGATGAAGTACGACCAGCGACCCGCCCCTTCAGAGGGTTTCGGAGCCAAAAAAACTGGCCGAAAAAGGGCCAGTCCAATTGAGGAAAATCAGTTTGGCGTGTTTTTCGTGGAGGGGTGTCCAGTGGGCGCGCTGGTGAAGTGTGACTATCATAATGTATGCCTTTGCTTGTTAGTGGCGCATTGGGTACAAACACAGAGGGCAGGATATGTTGCATTGAGTCGCCTTAGATCAATAGAGGCGCCTGCGCCTGTCTCACCGACCGCCGCTCTAATAGCATAGGATCAGTTAACAATTTGCGACTTCCATGTAAAATATTTCCAGTTCTGGGACCAGGCTAGCTGCTCGAAGCTCGCCGCCGCCGAAAGTGCTCTTTCGCCCGAAAGTGCAGGTGCGATAGCGTGGCCGCCGATTCGGCCAATTGCGAAAGTGAGGCTGCGAGCCGAGAGGGGCGCGACGCACGCAAATCTCACGGCGCCCAGGAAAATGTGTTCCAGCAGCACCACCACTGGCTTCTTGTTTTGATATTCGCTCCGATTGAGCCGAGCGAGCCCGTTTCTGGATCTAGATGGTGCAGAAGAGGGATCATGAAGAGCGTAACATGATAGGATATAATCAGTACACACAGGGTTACAATAAGCTGTTCACGCAGGTAATTTCACCCCCGTTCTTTTCGCTCTTTTTTCCGCCCCAGCTGATGTCGCGCGCACCGATTTTCCAGAGTGTGTGTGTGTGTGTGTGTGCGTGCATTGATTCGGGGTGCTTCTTTTCTCGGCCGGGACCGAAAGTAAACAGGCAAAATGACGTTTTCGCCGCCGCTAATTGGATGAGTCGAGGGTGCTGTGAGGCACTCTGGGCCCTCTTTAATTGGTTTCCGCGCTCACATCGCTCGCGAAAATAACTATAATTGGATCACACAATCCTATATCTTATATTATTTGTGTTTTTCCAATACATATCCGCCGTGCTTGGACAGAGCTGTGCCAAGGATTGTTTGATTGTGGCTTTAAGTTGCGCCCATGACAAAGGTATAATATCAACGGCGGAAAATGCTCCAATTTCTATATGTTCTCTACACCCAGCACAGCTTTGCAGAGAGAGCTCCTGGAACTCCCCGTAGAAAATTTAGGTCCCCTGTCACTAAAATAATAATAAAAAACTGCTCTTCTACACGGCAAAAAAAAAATTGATTTAAATTTTATAGAAGAACAAAATTCGTGTGCCGCTTTTTAGAGTTTAGATGAGTGTGTCACACTTTTGAAACGCCAGTCACAACCCTTGTTTTTTTTTACCAACCACAAAACCCTTGAAACTAGACCGAAAAGCACGCATTCGTGTTGAAAATGCAGCACTTTTATCCACATCACTGGCCGCGAGTCAGTACCACCGGGTACTAACTCATCCCCGCGGAGTTTTGCAAGAAAGTTTTCTCATATTTTGCCAGCTGCTCTTCTCCCGAAGCTTTTTCCTGCAGTGAACTGCCACACTGATTTCCTCTTTTGTACAACTTTGCCCGTATTGAAAAAATTTTAAGTGGCAAAACGTGTCCGTAAACATACTGAAAAATTATCAAAAATTCCGTAGAAACAATAATTGCTAGATATAAATCACCTAGCGCAATCAAATTAGAAAAACATGCTGTACGTGAAAGGCGATTAAAACGTTTCAAGTAGTGTGTTGTCGAGAGTTTTGTGATCCAAGCAATTGGCTAAGTAGCCGTGCTCACTACTTGTGGAATGGGTCCCGCAGAAAAAATTGTATTTTTCCTCCTTTATTTTTGTATAATTAAAAAATTAATAATTGCAGGCTGGGGGTTGGTTAAAAAATAACGACGGACGAGCGGGGGCACTCGGTGTGCAGCACAGTGCTCCTCATTCTGTGGCCCTGATTATGGTCGTGCAGTGTGGCAAAAATCAATATACCACACCAGTGAGTCAGAGAGGCAGCTCTAATGCCCTGACTCGCGCGCTGTGCAGTGCGCTCTTTCATGAGTATACTCGCGATCCGCGCCCAGCTGGCCCTTCTTTCTTTTTTTTTTCTTTTGACACGTGCCGTGGCCAGTGCAGTCTGCTGCAACCATTTCAATCACGCAGGGTCACTCGCACTGCTGAAAGTGACAGTGATTTGCGCCGTGAATAACAACGGTTGCGGCTTGATTGACAGTTCAAAAGGGCCAAGTCCACCCGACGGATGAAAATGAAATGGCCCACTCTCGTCATCCGCTGGTCAGGAAACGCACCGGAAATTTAAAAAGTTTTAAATTTCAAAACGAGCGACGTGGAAATGATTTAAATCCAAAATGCTATTCGGTTGGTACCTCCAGTGTGATCTTTAACCTTTGCGGGTTTGAGGAAAATTTGGGTGTGTTCCTAGAAATTTTAACTGTTGATAATTAAAAAACTTATTCTTATAAAAGGTTTTTTAATTGAAGCATAAAAATTTAATTAAAAAACTTCATAAATGTTAGAGTAGGACGCGCTTTACTAGCGGCAGCAGCATTTCTAAAAGCGCCTCTATATAAAATACACAAACATAGAGCTTCAGAACGAAGGCCGCAGCAAATCAATAAAGCGAGCCACAATTGTTTGATTAAAATGTAGATCGCAGTGGAAAATAAAGTCATGTGTGTTGTTTTCCCCAGGTCTAGAGCGCCCCCTGTAAATAAAATGACCAAATATAAACCGCTGAAAAATGTCAAGGTATTCCAAGAGCCGTTCTGATTGACTCATTTTCTGTAAACATGTGTAAACGCAGAGCTATTTCAGTAGGTGTGAATATAATTTGGCGCATTGCTGGATATGCGGGCAATCCCCGATGCCTGCGCGTAAACGAAGCTATTTTCGCTCGGCATATTACCCAAATCCCATGGATTTCTTTAGCTTAATCCCCATAAACATAAGAAAAGCACCACGGAGTTAGATTGGCTAGCTAATAAAAAATTTTGGTAGTTAAAATTTAATAAATCATGCAGCCAGAATAGTAAAAATCGCTTTAGTCCCTCAATTTCTTTTGAAAATCACAAAAATATCCTCCGCTTTTCAACTTATGCAACTAGTTGAGCACCGAAGCCATGCCAGTTGCCTACTTCACTAAAAATAAAACGTGTTCAGAAAATCTACACACTCGTGAGCAAATAAATCGAACTACTGTCTCTTTTGTAGTTCTCAAATAGCATTTTAAGTATTGTGGCCAAGTAGAAGCACTTGTTTCTTTCTTTTCTATAGTTCACCATTTTACATTAATATTGCCAGTTTTACACAAAATTTATATTTTCAGGGCTCGGCCGACTCGAATTACTCGCAACCTTCGTCAGACCTGTCGCTAGATGAGGAAAAGGAGACTCTGAGAAGAGAGAAGGAACGCCAGGCTTTGAATCAGTTAGAAAAAGCCAGAGTGAGTGGCGAGTTTCATTCTCTCTTGCCCTCTTTAATTAGCGCCTCTCTTTGCTTCACAGACCAAACCAGTAGCCTTTGCAGTACGTACTAATGTTAGCTATGATGGAACTTTGGACGACGATTCGCCAGTGCATGGCAGCGCAATATCATTCGAAGTCAGAGACTTCTTGCACATCAAAGTAAGTATTGATTTTATGTTTGTTTTATATGCAGTCACTGTCTGCTCGCCGAGCCTTTTCAATCATACCACTCCCCATTTTGATAGCCCAAAAAAAGAGTCGGCATTTAGTTTTGTAATAATTTACATTCAACAATTAAAATGATTAAATTTTGATCAAAGCTATTAAATTTAATAAAATTTCAAAACCAAAAATATTTTAAGAAAATTATATTGTATTTTAGTTCTGGGTCACCAACAAAATTTGCTGATTATGTCTTTTCAGTTCCACTACATTTTATTAGCGAGGTTTGAAACTCGATTTGCACCTTTGTCATGATATTTTTGATATCTTTCTCGCAGGGTCCCATTATTTAATATATTTGCTGATATACGGAACATCAATATAATAAATTGTTCACGGTAAAATACCGTTTAATTCCTTACTGCAATAATATTTAAAGCATAGCAATGAACAATATATTAACCAGTCGCATTTTGCATTTCTAATCCCCTAAAAATCTGGTGCAACTAACGATAAAATTGAGATTTCCTTTTGTAGTTGTAGAAGAATATGTTATTTATATTGAGAGTTAAAATTTGCTTATTTAGTAATCGCTTCAAAATTGAAAAATTGATTTTTATAGTGACAGGAAATTGATTTGTTTATTAAAGCCTATAGAAGAATAATGACGATAAATGTTAAACTCAGTATTTTGTGTTATTAGTCTTCACAGCCAAAATTATAGAGTTTAAAAAAAAAATTCATTAAATATGATTATGGACACGCACAAAATTTCTCTTTCCGCTTCTGCGGATGTTGAGAATAAAATCATATATTGATTTTTTAAATTAATTTTACTCAGCAGAAACAGAACATCAAAAATAATTATCTTCATTTGGATGAATCAGCTATATAATTATGTCCTTTTTGTTAGATTATGTCAATGGCGTAAGAAAAATGTACATTTCCGTCAGGTTTCCGTATTAAATGGAAATGTATGCAGTATATATTTTTCAAAAGCATTGCTTACAAATAATTCAAGCCCCTTTAAATTGCTCCTCTTTATAAATGAACTAAACTGATTATAATTTACAGGAGAAGTATGACAACAACTGGTGGATTGGCAGGTTGGTCAAAGAAGGTTGTGATGTTGGTTTCATACCATCCCCGGTGAAACTAGAGAACCTGCGACTGCAACAGACGCAGGCTCGCAACTCAAAGCTTTACGCCTCAAAGACTTCATCATCCAGTAATCTAGGTGCTCTAGCGGGTGCCGATGGCAGTGGTCTTCCTACAGGCAAAACCGCCACCAGTTCCCGAGGTTCAACACCCCCAACTCCAGGCAAGTAGTCGCTTTAAAACATAAATAATCAGACACAATAAAATTTAAAATTGCAGTCTGGCGCGATTTCATTAAAAAAGAAAAAGTTTTTTTATCAAAATGAGAGACTTGCCTCAATTACTTTCTTGCCAGTTTTTTTTTAATTAAAGCAGCTTAATTGACTGGACGAAAAAAAATACAATTAAAAATTAATGCCAGTACTTTGCAGTAGTTTCGTTTGTGTGTCTCGATTTAAAATGGCAAAAATGTTGCAGGGGATGACTCAGACTCTGTGGGTAACACAAGACTTGGAAAAGGTCCAATCACCACGCCGCCAGCGAAAGAGAAGCGCAAACCCTTCTTTAAAAAGCAAGAAAACATGACACCCTACGATGTAGTACCTTCGATGCGACCGGTAGTTCTTGTTGGACCTTCCCTCAAAGGTTACGAGGTCACGGACATGATGCAGAAGGCGCTCTTTGACTTTCTCAAACATCGATTCGAGGGGAGGTAATTGAAGCCTCTTTTGATCTTTTGCATCGACTTTTCAATAATGGGAACTTCCTTCCGTTGCAGAATTATAATAACAAGGGTGACTGCCGACATCTCGCTGGCAAAGAGATCATTGCTCAACAATCCTTCAAAGCGTGCTATCATGGAACGCTCCAACTCTAGGTCTACTTGTTTAGCTGAGGTTCAAGCCGAGATCGAAAGAATATTTGAGCTCGCCAGGACCTTACAGGTGCGAAGATTCTTACAAATAATTAAGTGAAATAAAACGCTTTGGTTTTGCAGCTGGTGGTGTTAGACTGTGACACAATCAACCATCCATCGCAGCTGGCCAAGACTTCTCTAGCGCCCACAATAGTCTATCTCAAAATTTCTTCTCCGAAGGTCAGTTTAAAAAAATTACATTCACGTCCTCCTTACATTGAAAAAATTGTAAAACTTGTTAAAATACTCATTAGCGAATTTCAGACTTCTGATATTAGAGTGAAAAATAGTAAAAATAATAGCAGTGGGTGCTACTTTTAGTATAATATACTATTTGATCTTCCAGTTCTATATTTTCTAATTAAAATGTGCTGCATGAACAATCATGATAGCCCCCGAAAATCCCCAGTTTCCATCAAGTGACCTTTGCCCTTTTGGGTGTGGTTCTGCAAAAGTTTTTGAAACTCCAAAGAACTGCACTTTTTGCGTAGTCTGCGCAATGTAAATAGCCCACCCGCTAAAATCACAAAAGCATGCAGCCCTACGATCCCTGCCATTTCAAAAGTAATCATTCATCAATTGGAATTCGTTTTACCATTTCCATGACTATCAACGGACTTCTTTAAAAAATTATAGCCAGTGAGTACCAATGGCATTGTTTCGTCGTTGTCTTTTTACAATATTTGTTTTTGCTCAAATGAATCTTTTCTCTCTATTGTCAATGTTTCTTTTTGGATATTTTTCACTAATATTTTATAATGCACCAAAAACAGAGGTTCACGTAGTTTTCACTGTGTTTCCTTCAGAGTTCCACATTGTGATCAAACCCACTGAGAGTTGTAAATCGACTCGTTTGATATGATCTGAGCATGCCAAAAACGCAACCTCTCACGATAGTCGGCAGCATAATATGCATTTGGAACCGTAGTTTAGATATATCTGCAACTTATACCTGCATATATTATGTAGATGACTTTTGGGTTATTTTTGAGCGGGGATGTCGTTCGAGGGGTCACGAAATGACTATTGGAAATGTTAAATATACGCATGAGCATCAAATAATGGGGAATCAGTTTTTCGTTCAAATTTGCATGATTCCTCAACACACAAAAATACAGTGGAAAAATCAGGGAAATAATGTAAAACTTTCAGATAACGAAACATGAAAATTTCAATAAAAATGTACTCAAGTATTTTAGCAAATATGCAAAACAAAATCAATTCGGAACAATTTTGCATGAATTATTATAATTTTTGAAGGTTAATTTTTCTTATGAACGGAATGAAATTTGCATAAATTTTTCGATCGATTTGCCCGATCAAGATCTTGCTTGGCGCGTTTGCAACCCATCGCTAATCCGCCCGTTTTCCTGTCTTCAGGTTCTGCAGCGACTGATCAAGTCTCGTGGCAAGAACCAAGCGCGCAACCTCAACGTTCAGATGGTGGCTGCGGAGAAGTTGTCGCAGTGTCCGCCGGAGATGTTCGACGTGATCCTGGACGAGAACCAACTGGAGGACGCGTGCGAGCACATTGCCGAATACCTGGAGGCGTACTGGCGCGCCACGCACCCGCCGGCCCCACCTGCCATTTCCACCCTACCTTCGCCGCCCTCGAACGTGCCCGCTGGGGCGCAGCCCATGCACGGACAGTCGTCGCCCGGCATGGAGCACCCCCCGCGCAACTCGACGCCCCCCGGTGAGCAAACAACCCTTATTTCTCGCGAGCGCATTATATTCATTACACGCCCAGCAGTCTTTCTTTCTCGCAATTCTCTCTCTCATTAATTCATGCCTCCCGTGTCGTTCTCTTTCTCAAGATGTGCACACTCAACTATTGTACTATGTTTGTCGATTGTCATGAGTCTAAACACGCGCGTACGTAATTTCAGCTCACCTCGATTCCTACTACGGCCATGACCACCATGACCATAGAGGTACATTGCGGTGCTCGCATTTCTCTTTACGGCTCGTCCTTCGAGCCTTTCCAATTGCTTCCTTTTTCTTCCCAAGCGTGGCCTTCTGCGTGATAGTTTTGCAAACCAAAGACAAACTTTACTTTTGCGCACAAGGGAATTTTCCCGAAGCATTCGCAGAAAATTTATGCCTTGCTCTTGTAGAGTTCCTCAAGGACTGGCCAAAATTAATGTTATATATTTGAAAAATCTGAAATCATAAATTTCTTTCATTTACCGTTTGGAAATAATTTTACTTTCTTTTTATTTTTCACTTTCATTGCAACAACGTTTCATTTTCTATTTGTCTCTATAGTCATTAATATTTGTTAACATTTTCAAACAATGTCATATCCAGTTTCAAATCATTTGCTTCATTGATTATTTAAAACAAAAATCTCATTCTTTAGGCTTTTGGCCAATTATTTTTTACTTCAAATTTAATATAATTTCACTTTTATAAATCATGCAACTCATAACGGACGATACAAGTCCAAAGTATCGATTTTGAGTAGTCACATTAATATTCAGCACCTTTCATTAATATGAAGTTTTTTTATAGATTCGCTAGATTTATTGTCGTGTAGTTTGCAATCACGCAAAAGGCCTCCACGCAGTATACATAGTCGCTTTATTTTCTATACATGTATTTCTAAGATTTATTATTTTTGTATCTTTCTCTCTTCCTTCTTGTAGCGCTTGCATTTTCGTAAATTTATCTTTTTATTTCTTTCTGTTTTGTTGCGCAGCTGGTTCAAGAGGGGTCATTCGAACGGCAGTCATTCCAAACTAACTCCTGAAGCCTAACTAATTTTATATAAAATTGTGGGTGGAAGCCCCTTTTTGCATCCACATGACTATAGCTGTTTTGCCCAAAGGAGTTGCTATATTGAAACTTGAAAAAAGATGAGGATAAATGACGTTCATTGACAGTCTGTGTCAGTGGCAGACTGCACTTTTCATTACTTTTTCTGCTCCTAAAATTATTTGCCCCTCGCATTCCTGACGCCTTTAGATTTTTAAATATTTGGATTGATTGTGCCTGCCGATTCGCGAAACTGCAGTAAGTAGTTTTTTAAACAACAAAAAAGACGATTCAGCTAACAAAATCGTTATTCCACTAACACCAGCTAGACATAAAAATCTTCAGAGTGGAAAATGTTGACTAACACGCTAAAAAAACTAATTTGAGATTATTTATATATTATATAAAATCAAATTTTAATTTACTTTCACTAATTGTGTATTAATTTGAACAATGTCCCCAGAAACCAAAACCAGTTTTCTTTCAAATAAAAAATGAAATCATTACAGCTTGTTTGTTTGAGTCAGAATTTAGAAACCGTAGATATTTAGTAAATTTTGAGTTTGCAATATCAAAGTAGCTAGATATGAGTATAGAATTTATTTTTCTCCCAAGATGAAGAATCTAAACCAGAATTTGCACTTGCAGGATATCACCACTCGTCGAACCAGCAGCCGCACTACCAGCAACAACAACAACAACAACAACAGCAGCAGCAGCAGCCGCACCCGCAAGGCCAGCACCACCACCACCACCCCTCGCAGCACCACCGGCGAGGGTTAGTGCCGCAGCAGAGAAGCATGGACCACCCGCACGACTACGACGAATTCGGTCTTCCCGTTGGAGGCGGAAGCGGAGGCGGGGGTGGCGGCCACCCCCAGCAACGTCAGCAGCACTACCACAGGGGCGGCAGTGGCGGCGGCATGGACGAGATGCAACAGGGCAAGCCGTACCGGCGCGAAGACGACATGGGCAATGGCGCTGGGGGCGGCGGTCGTCCCAATTACCACCCCCAGCAGCCGCAGCAGCACCACTCGCCCCACAGATCTTCGTCCAGAAGAGCGCTGAATGCCCTTTAAAGGACCGCAGTGGTTGTTGCAGTGCGCGATGAAGAGACGATTTTACACACAAAATTGATAATATGAAATTGATGGATGATTAATATTGAATTGAAAGAAAAAATCTGATTTGCACCTACTGTTTGCGAAGTGCAGTGATATATAAAATGAATTAGATTTAAAATCGAACGAGACAGAGAGAGTTATTATCTCTCTGGTCTATGTACATAAAAAAAAAATACAATTCAAAATGACAGAATGGAGGAAGAAAAGGCAGTATAAAAATTTAACTTGATTAAGCATCATCAGTGTAACCTGATATTATACTGTGGTGATGGAATTTTCAAAACTTGAACATGAAAAGTATGTCTTTGAACTTAGATAATTAATATATGATGGTGATCAATATTTTGTTAATGCTACCTAGCTTAATGCGATCCTTATCGATAAAAGTGAAATGTGGTGTATATAACAAGAGAGCGAGAGAAAACGTGAGGTTTGTGACAAAAGAGACCTCCTCCTCCACCTCCTGATGTGTAAAATCTAACGCGAGAGAAGCTGATGAGCGAGATGTTTTGTGAGTTACTGTCGATTTTTTTTATATATCTTGCAATCTTTGAGAAATTATCAAAATGAGGGTAATTGCTGAATTGATTTGATCTGTATGCCGTTCCGTTGTTCCAAAAGACAGCAGGAAAAATTTCCTCTTTGACCTTCTTGAGTACGGAAAATTGTTATCACCTTCTACATATTATATATTATATATTACTGTGCATTAACTGAATGCAAAGTTTTAAATTTTTTACCTATCACTCCCTTTTTAAATTGAGACAAAAGAGAGATATGCCTTAAATTTCAAAAAGAATGTAGATAACACTTTCAATAAAAGATAAAAGGCTGCAGTGTACTACTACTACCTATTAAAAACAACTACTGTTCTACTCTTCACTCTGTAAGATACAATTTAAACGATGAGGAAAATAGTGAAATAGCAGTGACATTATTTGGAGTGACCACACGTACACACATTATTACTTGAAAAAGAAAGAGAGGAAAATAGTCTACTTAGCTCCCCATTTATCATAAACCACAGTACCAAAACGGAGACTAAAGAGGAGAGGAACAGGAAATAATTAAAGGTTGTTATTTATCATTCGATTTGCATAAAGGATTAAACAAGAAAAACGCAGCTTTTCTCGAGAATTACAATGCCAAATCCTTCATATATGATGCTTTATATTTATATATCAATCAATAATATCTCCATTGATTACTAATGATTACTACTTAATTGATTGCCAATTGTATTCTCTACCGACAAAGTGTACGATCCACGAAGACCGTGTTTTTGGTTTTTGCAGACTTCTCAACTTCAGATAGATATTACTACAGCAAAACTAGGATTACACAGTGAGGAGATGAATATTGTTATATATCGAATAATTACAAATTCATTTTCTCCGTCGTGCATATTTTGCAACTCGCATAATGATTATTGATATATTGTAATGGCCAGAGTATGCGAAATTGCGGAACCCTGTTTTCATTTGGCGCAAGCATTGTTCGAGTATAATCTTTCTTATATTCTTCTATTACTGCAAAAGTATATAATATTGTCAAAACCTCGTCCTCCTTCTTGTTGCGTGGAGTTTTATCCACCTTTCTGTTCCCCCCTCCCCCCACTGTGTCAGGCAAGTGCAGTTTTTTTGCATCAACAGCTGATGACAAGCAAATTGTGTAACCACCGACCAAAATTTACGACTCCTTTTGCAGTTCTTTGGGAATACGTATATTGTACATGAATTAGGCACTCTTTCAAATTATCATTGAACGTCAAAACCAGTGGTTGATTTTCTCTGGAACTGTTCAGTTCTGTTGGTACATGATTCTTGGATCAAGTTCTAGATTAGCTTTCATTGTTATTTTATGTTCATGTGGCGTCCAAAACGACAAGCAAAAATATAATGTGAAATTTGACACAGATTTATAGATTTGCAATTACAAAACAATAAAATACAACATCAATGAAAGTAAAAAAAATCCGCTTTTTGTACAGATTGGCTCCCACTTTATTATTTTAACAAGAACTTTGCTTTAATTTTATCATTTCACTGCGCAATTGACAATTAAAGTGATTCACGCATTGTCCACCCAACGTCAATGAAAAAAAAGAGTCCGAGAAGGTGAGAAATAAAGATTACAACTGCCACAATACTTATTGTGCCCTTATAAAGTGTTGCACGCCCATCCAGCTTGCTCGCGCACAAAAGAGGCGCTAATCTCGAATATGGTTTACAGATATGCAATAAAAATTCGAGTTGCAACCTGTGTTATTCGAGATAAAAACGTCATTACTACCAACGCGATATCTCGCTGATAACATGGAAATGTACTTCAATAATCTTGATTACACGCCGGCATAGTATTGATTACGTGCGTGACTAATGAATCTAGAGCGTCCGACACACACAAAGAAAAAAGTTTGCACCACAGCTGCTCGTCGGGGAAATGACTAATTAGTGGACTCGGAATGGGAATTTGCCGCAAAATGTTTCGCCCTCGAGAGCCGACAAAGGTCGAGCCGCCGGTGCAAGGGTTGCGAGGCCTCTACCTGGCGGACCTGATCAGCGACTCCATAGGAGGGCCACTCGGTCTCGCCGTTTTTGTCCTCCTGGGTTATGTTGCCAGGTTGGCAGGACCAGCAGTGATAATTTCCGTCGTGTTTGCAGCTGTGGTAGCAATTATTGCAGGTAATGAGATTCGGTGAATAAATTACAGGAAAATATAGCATCAATTTTTTATAATTTTATTGCGTTAAAATTTGGCCAATAAATTGAGTTATGTTTTTACAAACCAACACTGTTGAGACTTACGTAAGTTTTATGCAACAATTTTGAAGCAACAAAAATTTAAAATAATTACATCAAATTGTCTTCTAAAAATTTGAATAAATCATATTTTCCCTAAAATTAAGATTATTGCAACACATTACTTTTTTGCATTAATTGATTCTCTTAAATAAAGATAGAAAATATATGCTTGTTATCTGCGTTAAAAAATTCGTCAATCAATCAATCTGACACCTAAAAAATCATGGAGGGATTTGATTTGACCAAATATACGATTTTCAAAATCTAGGAAACATTTCTTATTTAAAAAGAAATACTTAAAATTAAAATAAAACTGATTCCAAAACTAGGAGCATGCTACGCTGAATTAGGATCATCAACCCCTAGGACGGGGTCGACGGCTGCTCTTGCCCTAAATCTAGGGAGAGTCGGCGAACTAGTCGCGTTTCTAGTCACCTGGAATCTCATCGCAGACCTCGCAATAGGTTTTGTATTTCAAGTTGCATCCACATTTGGAGATAATTCACGTTTAAACTTCTGCTCATCAGGTACAGCCGCGGCCGCAAAAGGTGTTCGCGCGTCAATTGACGCCATGACAAACAACGCTCTAACGCAGTATTTCACAGAAGTAGCTCCTTTGGAATCGGAATACACGTCTCCATTCGTCGACTTCCTAGCCCTGCCACTTCCAATAATTTGCAGTAATTTTTAATAATTTAATATTTAATTTCAAAATTAATTCCCTTTGATTCCAGTAATTACTTGCTGCGTGTTCCGAGAATACATGATGCCGAGAGTGGCCGGAACGCTTTTCGCCGTTGTAATTTTCCTCTACATGGTAATCGCAGGAGCTTTCGAAGGTGATTAAAATATGGCTTCAGTAATCTCTTTCGCTAAAATATGCTTATCTTTAGCCGACAGTTCATTGTGGAGCATTCCAGCAAATTGCACAGGCAATACTTGCCCTCCGGGGTTGGCGGCGATCATAGGCGACGGCTACTTTCTGCCGTACGGAATGTGGAACGTCTTTCAAGGAGCTGCCATTCTGTCAATAGCGTTCATTGATTTAGGCAAAGGCGCATATCCAAGTAAAAGAAAACTTTGGAAAAATTGATAATAATAAAAAATAAAAAATATTGCAGTTCGAGGATTGGTCAGCAAAAAACAGATTCTGCCTCCTTTGTCATCAATGGTTGCATTTGCGATCGGTTTCGTGTTTCTCTTTTCTATTGGAATAATTGTGACGATGATGAGAGCGTACTTTATGCTGGTATGCAGAGGTTTTTACTAAAAGTACCTTTTTATTTAGTCCTATCTTAGATTCCAGCGCAAGAGGTCATAACCGTATTCAAATTACTTTCTTACCGCGAGGGTCTTTACATTGTCGCAACGGGAGCGATTCTTGTTCTTTTATTCACGTAAATTAAAAATATTTGTTTTTAGTTCATCATTTACAAGAACAATTTTTAGGATAGAAACATTTGCGTACACCATTGCTGGGGAACTGAATGCCCTCGTAAAAGAAAGAGCCTTGTTTCCATTTTTAGGAAACGTGGACGTTTACGGCAGGGAAAGGCCTTTATATGGAGCTCTAGTTATTGGATTAATATCAGGTTTGTTTGATCACAACTTAAAATTTAATTAAAAAATGAAAAAATTTAAATTTTTTCTGACTTATGAAATTGGAAGTTTTATTTCAAATATATAATGATATAATTATTGGATTTTAAAACTAATAAAAATTTAATTCATAGGTTTGCTTGGTGCATTTTTCACGGAAGGGCAACTGGCGCAGATGCTCTCAATCGGTACCCTGATTTCTTTCGGATTGATCATGTGCTCGTCCATAATCAACAGGTACTTAAATTATGAAAAATTGCATAGTTTTTATGTGTACATAACATAAAAGATGCCAATACGACGCTTGGAAAAATGAAACGGGTTCGTTCGCAAGCGTGGTCAAGCAATTTCTGATGTGCCGGAGGTTGGAGGCGCCGAATTTCGCAACGTCAAACGCCGCCAAAATAGCAACAGTCCTTTACAGTGAGTTTGACAAAAATTATTACGACGGCAGGTCTTGGTCTCACAAAGAAAATTTGACACACAGGCCTTCTGTGTCTCGGCCTCGGAGGGTTAATTGTGTATTTCTCGGCGGAAATTGGTTTTGGCTACGTTGGCGCGGTCATCGCTTTGATCGTCCTCTCCGTCCTGGCACTCTACGTGCTCACCATTATTACTTTGCAGCCCCAGAACACAAGCACCCCCATTTACTTTAAGGTTGGCTCAAAGTGTCCAATTTTCCTTAACTTATTTCCAAACTCCGGCAGGTTCCGCTCTTCCCGCTCTTCCAAGGACTTGGAATTTTATTTGCGGCTTTTCTGATTATGAACGTGCACGCGTGGGCCTGGTACAGACTTGCGTTGTGGAGTGCAATCGGTAATTAATTGCTTTAAAGAAGACTCTAGAAATTTTAGTTGAAAAATAAACAGGTTTAATTTTGTACGTCGCAAACTTCTGCTTCAAGTCCAGTGACCCCGAATCAAATGACAAGAGCAAAAGAAGCTCAGGAAGCGACGTGGCCGCTTTGGTTGGAAGCAAATCTAGCATCTCGGTCCAGTCCGAGACTAAATCAACTAAGGAAATAATTCTCACTGGCGGCGCCGTAATGAGGGAGAAGAGTGAACGGAAAACGGACGATTCGAGGCGAAATGGATGGTTGGAGGCAGAAGAGGTACATGACTTTTATTAAATAATATTGTTCAATTCCAAGATAAATTTCTAATTCTTTTTTACAGAATGAGGTCAAAATTGAACTTGTCGACACTTTGAGTCTAACATCAGAATCAGGTATTTTTAATATCTCTCAATAGTCTCAATCGATTCAATTTCTTTTTTAAGGACTGCTTCAAAGTTCAGTAGCACGGGATTTTGTGTAGTAATTATAATAATCTTGATGGCTAAGTAACTTCGCTCGTGCATTATCTCTCGTAATATTCTTTATCTCGTGCGACCAAATCTGCCAGAACAGAAACTTGCGATATTTATTAGAGAAATCCCTTTAATTATTGTTTTAATTAAATTTAAAATACATTTTTCGAGAATTATGGAAAAAAAATTGTTTAAATTTTTATAGTTTTTTGTATAATTTATATAATCATAATTTAAAATTACTCCAAATTAAAAAAAAATATATATATATGCTTAAAGATTACTGTTAAAATCTTGCATAAAACCGGCCTGCATATTAAATCATTCATGTATTTAACATGAATATTTTTATGCACTTTTTATTTTATTAAAAAAAATTAAAAATTTTATTAAATGTAATTTATGTATGTATTTAATGTTGTACTTACATAATACAAATCAGATGTTGCAGTTAGCGGAAACTCGTCGGCTACTGCCGAACAGCAAATTGTTGAAGTGGCTGTGCCTGACATAGTGGTCTCGGAAATCCTGAAGACCGCGGACGATGTCGGCACTCCGACATCCAGCAGGCACGAAGACACCCCCGAATTCTACGCCAGACAATTGGACGAAATGTTCACGTTTGACACTCCGGGCGACACCGACTCGCACTACAGCTCCGGTGAGAGCGTCGTCGAAGTCCACCAGCCGCCCAAGGTGCTCGTGGACGAGGACACCGGCGAGGTGTCCAGGGAAGAAAGCCGTTCCGTCCGCTTTGCGCACACGGACGATGAATCCTCGAGCGATGAGGAAAGTAATAATGAGAAAGACGAAAACAAACTGCATGTGGAGGCGGGAGAAGACGAGGTCGTCGTTGCCCCCTCCAGCCCTAAACCCCCTCCCCTCCCCCCGGCAAATTTGGTAATTTCGGCGCACCTCTCATCCAAGTCGCGACCAGTGGAAGTGGAGGATGTGGTGGTGCCTCAAAGTCCAACCACCAGTTTCATCCCCGAAGAATTCTTTGAGGAGAAGACGACGAGTCATTTGAATGACTTCCAGCTTGAGCTGAGGAACACCCTGAAGCTGCGAAGCCAGAAACTCATTGACAGCATTGACAACACGGTCGTCAACGTCAACGAAGGTATAGAAATTTTTGGGGGCCGCAGAAGTCGGGAGGTTTCCATTTCCGAGCCGGTTATTTTGCCCCCACCGGTCACCATGAAGGGAGGCAAATTCGAGAATCACGCCTTTGTGGAGAAATTGGATTCGATTCTGAAGGAGCAGATCAGCGGAGTCGAGAACAAACGACCGCGAGCAAAAGTCTACAAACAGCAGAAGAGGGTGGTTATTCTGCAAGAGCTCGAGGGTGGCGAATCCAGTGCGCCTATGAGATTCTCCTCGGCTGATCTCCTTTCGGCCAAGTCGAAGTTGCGCTCCAGCAATGGGGAAAGTTCAAGTCTGGGTGACCTTAATAATAATTCTAATAAATTGGCTGAAAAAGCGCCGTCAAGAAGGGAGGCCAAGTCGCTCGAAGCTTTTGAATCAAATCCCATGATCATCGAGGACAAGTGATGGATACTTAAAATAATATAGTGTTTTAATTGTGCACTTTTGGATATATGTATATCAATTTATTTTATAGAATTTAATATTTCAACAGTCCGTGATTGTACATAGTATTTTATTCTGCGCATATCTGTATAAGTTTGAGATTTATAAATATTTACAATTTTTCAAACCCCAATTTCTTATTCCTAACATTTTAGGAAATAAATTATGTCATAAATTCTTAATTAACTGATAAATTCTTTAAACAAACGGAATTCACATGCGCGCTCTTTGTTATAAAAATATCAGCCAATTATTAGACGCACCACTTTCTTCCACTATAAATCAAACGCATTTTTTTTTCATTTATATATAATAGTCTCTGTTCGATATATTCAACAATCACCAGATCAATCAGTCATAAGCAGCCCTAGCGTAAACAGGCGATCCCGTTCCCGCCGGATTGGAGGGAAGATTGTTCCTAAACAACAATCCGAATTACTCTCTAAAGCATTTGCGCTCTCTCGGAAAAATATTTACGGAGGCATCCAAATATTATCAGGCAAATCCGGCGACGCCTGAATACCACTCATCAGGGCTCCGTATCCTGAACAATTAATTTTCCGCACCTTTATTGACACGCTTAGTTTAATAGTGAGCTAAATTTTTACTCTTGGAGTCGATGTGGTGGTGGTCCTCGGGAGGCGCCGATGCCGGAGATTTGTTGCCGCACGACTTGCCCGCGTGCCACGACGCGATGGCCACCGTCAGCAGCACGATGAAGCCCACCAACACGGACAGGGCTAGCATTTGGGCGCTTGAAACCTTTTGGGTGGAAACTTCGGTCACTCGCTGCACCCGTGATCCGTGCGCCTCAACTTCAAAAACGTAAATCTCACCCTCCTCCAAACCATTTACTGAAAACAGCAATTAAAAATAATTAAAAAATTTAATTAAAAACGAAGTTTATTTTATAAGTATATAAACTGTGGTCGAACTAAATTGCTTCCTGTATAAATCAAGAATAAGTTCAAAGAGCTTAAATAAATAAATATTTTTGAATAAGTGTTATTCTTTATAAATTTTTTTCTTTTTGTCTTCTTGTTTCTTGTTGTTATCTAAAATTTTAAAATTATTTCTATATTATTAGAGATGCATATTTTGAAAGCATTAATGATTTATTTAATTCTTAAAAAAAGTTGCGAAAATTCTAAAATCAAAGTTCTTATACCAAGAATCCATCTGTCGTTGGTGTCGATGACTCTCTCCTTATTCGTTCCATCTTTCATTGTTCTCCAGCGCACGGTGTACTTTTTATTGTGACTATTCAATCTGCTTGGTTTGCTATCATCTTTCCATGTAACTAGCCATGACGGGGCGCTCACTGCTCGAACGCTTACATTGGACGGGCCGTTTCCTGCTCCCACAGTGTCTGCTGTTTGAATTTAGAAATTAGTGATCTGCAATTTTTGTGTCCTCTGCCAACCTAAATTATCAGCGAGCCCTTCATTTGTCTCAGTCTCGTCGTCTTGTTTCTCAAAGCTGTCAGGTTTCTCCCCTACAAATAATCGCATTATATTGTTATTTTTATGTGTGATTTTTACCCAACAACACAAATCTCGGTTAAAAGAGGTGCAAGGAAAATTAAATAATACTTCTCCAAAATTTTACTTCCAACCCCAGAATCAAATTTTATATCTATTAAAAAACTCAATTATATATTCGTAAAAAGGAAATTATTAAAAAGAAGTCAAACAGATAAATAAATCTATCAATAAACAATATTTTATTTATATTATTGGGTTTTTATCACAAAATTTAATAATTTAAATACCTTTAGTGTGGATTCGCACTGTTTTACTCATGAGCCCCTCTCCGTGGGGGTCTCGACTGGAAACCATCAATTCGTAAAGGGAACCAGGAATTAGATTTTCGACGGTCGCTTGGAAAACGTTGTTTTCGACTTTCATTGTTCTCCATTCATCGGTACTCACAAGCCGGAACCTGAATTAAAATTCTGTTTTAGTAAAAAAAAATGTGTGGCCTCGAGCATTTTTTAAACCAAACGAGTATTTGCTGCGACATCCTTGTTTCACTGGACGACCACTTCAGTAACACGGAGTCTTCAGTACTGCTGGCTGATAGGGAATGCGGCGCCTTCAAAGCGCCTTCCTCCACAACTAACTCGGCTTCTGCAGTCAAACTGGCAGCCTCGTTGGCCACCGTGCAAATATAAATCCCAGAGTCTCCAGGTATTAGCGATCGGATGGTTAAATTTCCACTTTCCAGCATATACCGTCCGTTTGGAAGTCCCGTTCCATCTTTCTACAATTTAGTGTGTTGAATGCGAAATAGTTTACCAGTTTTCAAATAGTAAATAAAATGGAAAAATGCGGTTGAAATTTCCAAAAAGTAACAATCTTTCCTTAAACTGGAGCCCAAATTTACCCTGCAATCCCAAAAATTATTTGCAGTGAGATTTTTTTTAAATTATATAAATTTTAATTAACTCTTGTGCACTTCTCAAATTTTCTTTATTGCTTTAATTGGCTTCTTTTTCACAATATTTTAATGATTTTATATATAAATATTTGCCGTTCCAATCTCCCACCACCAAATAACGAGTTTGAATTCAATAAAAAAATTATTTCTATTGCTATTTAAAATTCTTACTCTGAACCACGTGACGACGAGCGGGTTTTGGTTTGAGAAATCGTCAGATTCTGCCGCGCAGTGCATTTTGACACTGTTTCCCACTCGCCGCACGTAGAGACTGGCCGGACGCACCGTGAACATGGGCGGCTGCTGGACGACCACTTTCATCGGGCTTGAGGAACCGGCGCTTCCGAGATCGTTGAACGGCGTGCAGGTGTACATACCGGCGTGGCCTTGGTCCACCTAAAAAACGCATGATTAAACAACCTGCCCGACACCGCAGTTCGGCGAGTTGCATAAATCGGAAATTCGAAGGATCGTTTTTTCTCTTTTCCATTTTACTCACGTTGTCGAAGGCGAGCGAGCCGTTGTGCAGAAGAAAAACGCCAGGCACGTTGTAGGGATCGTACAGAAATCCGTCCTTCTCCCACTTCAGGTACGTCAAAGGCGGATTCGCTCTGAAATGGCAGTCGAGCAGACCAGGTTGGCCCTTTGTCAAAAACTGCTCTGGAGGTGAATTCACCACTTTGGCTTTATCTGAAAATTTTTCTTTACTTTTTACTTCCTATTTCTAAATGTAATTTTTTTACAAAGGACGTTTAAGTAGGCGCCTGCCGTTTGCATTTCGCCTGCTTCGTTGGTCACTTCGCACACAAACGTGCCAGGGTCGGTGAGTTCGGTTCGTTGGATTATAAGTGTGCCGTCGCCCTGAACCTCCGACCTGGCCCACAACTCAGGCACCTCGGCTATTGGTACGCCGTCGCGGTACCAAATAATTCTTGCTCCAGACTGCTTCGCCACACATTTGAAGTTCACATCTTCTCCTTCGAGTGTGGTTTGGTTCACTGGAGGGATGGTCATGACTTTTCCGCCTTGATTTAATTTAAGGGAAGAATTTTAATTTTAAATTTTTTTGGCCCAAAAGTTTAGTCACCTTCGACCGTCAGGTGGAACCAAGTTCCGTTCGGTCTGGTTGGAGGATTTCTGTTAGGGAAGAAAACTTGGCACTCATACCAACCCTGGTCACTTTCTCTGATCGACGTCAAGTTGACGGCCCCTCGGCCGAAGTGACTGCTCCCCTCGTTGTGGGGTAGACGAGAAACGCGGCCTTTGAAGTTTGGAGAAATTTCTAATTCTTCCGGTCCGTTCCACGAAAATGCAAGGGAACCCTTTTGTCATATGTTTAGTTTTAATTAATTCTAATTATTTTTGAGTGAAATGAAAAACCTCTTTGTTCCATCGTAAAATGTAAGGCACCACAGTGTCGTGCGGGAAATCAACCTCGCAGTTTAGAAGAACAGATTCACCAATCTCGGCAGTCAAATGGGTTGGCTTTCTCCCGTCAACAGTTTGGCCATCTAAAAAATTGGAAGATTCGAGATGCATTTTTTTCTACTCGTTTTAATTTTAGTTTTCAATTGTAGTGAAGCAGGAAGTTGCCTATCATGCTAGATAATTGATTTGTTTAATTTAAAAGTGAAATTAATAAAACTATCATTTATAAGAAAATTTATAATCCAATTCTGGCACAAGTGTTGGTATTAAGTAGGCTGTTGCTTCACCAGCCCATTCATGAGCCGAGCTGCTCTTTTATTATCAGCTCTCATGACTTTATATGACAGCTTAATTTGACTGCATGTACCATACTCGATCTGCCCAAGCAGAGTTGGAATTAAAGGATTAAAACTGCTGGCTGGTCGTGCGAGTGCTCTTGCATTGCTCAGCTAACCGCACTTACTTAGAATAATACAAGTTACAATTTTGTGTATTGTTAATATTTCTCATATTGAATTTTGTTTTTAATTGGACACAAAACTAAGACAAGAAATAAATTTAAATCATTGGAATAATAATTTGCTCTATTTAAGTTATTTTCAATCTTATTTACGTGCTGATGGTTGTTATTAAAAGCAATTACGTGTAAATAATTTTTAATTTTTTTTATCTTGAAATACTCACAAATTTGAGAGGCCAACAAGAAGATTGCAACCGCTGGAAAAATCAAGTGACTGCACAATGCAAACTTCTCCATGCCAAGTTTGCTAGAACTTGAAACCGAAAAACGCAATCCAATTCCGCTTGACACCACAGGCCGATCCAACTCCAACTGATGTCACGCTCAGCATCTGCGCTCCGTACCGAGCGCGGTGCTCGTGACGTCAGGCAAGCTCTAATACAATCCGGATGTCCCAACTACACAATACCAAATTGCTCTTAAAATGCACAAATTTAAATCTACTCACTCAAGTATTAAAAAATTTGCATTATCTAATAATTATAATAATATATTTTCCTTTAAATTCAATCTTTTTATAAATGCGGAAACACATTTATTATCTTATTTAATTTTTTATTCCTGTGTTGTTTGAATTATTTATAGAGGGTGGCGTGGGTGCACAGAATTGAGATGAATGGGGGCTATTTACTCAATTAACCCCTCGGTCATTCAAGAGTGCATTCTCTCTAGAAATTCATTTCTGATTGAAACTATATATGGCTGCGGTGAAACAATGACGATGAATTCTCTTCGGCTGGACACTTGACAAGTGCAATTATGGTGCGCGCATTCACAGATTTTGCCCACAATGGAAATTATGTATGCTAATGAACACCATTCAGAAGTGATTGCCAGGCAATAAGACTCAAAGGGGCAAGCGACTCATTTGAAGTCGCGCGCGTCTGCACCGAGAGCAGAGGACATAATATTTCATGAAGGCTACAATTATTTAATTAGAACAAATGGGACTCGTGCTCGTGTGCGCTTACGTAATCAATTATTGTTGACAACCCCATGGTGCGCGGTAACTCCAGGCTCTTCCCTCGCCATTGGGAGTCAATTTAACACTTCGGTTTCAAATTTGTTTCCTTCTCAATTTTATTAACAAAGGACGACTTTATTAACGCTAGTAAAATGTTTTCTTTTTGCTTCGGCAGCATTAAAAATTGCGGGTTTTTTTTACAAAAGAATTTCATTTTTATTGACAAAATTATTGAGAAATGAAAATAAATAAAAAAGTATCAAATATATTTAGACTCAGCGGGCCAACAAAAAAAAGCAAATTTTCACGGTTCGTAGTGCTAGAAGGGAAGTCCGCGCTGGCTAAACAAATGCATGCAAATTATGGTGCAGGCGGTTCAAGGGCATATGCAGTCTGAAAACAATTACATGCATGGCGCCCGCTCATTAAAAGGCTTATTGTGATTAATGATGCTTGTTCCAGTGCAAAATACAGGCAAATGAGTGGACCGAAATAAATTATACACCGGCTTTTCAATGGTTAAACACAAAACTTTTAATTAAAAAAAAGTAGTTTGCCACGTTTAGGAACATTTGTCCAATTCTGCTAGCAAATTTGTACATTTTGTTTTGAGAACTTTAACAGCATCTAGAAATAAGGCTTCCGGCTCCATAGCACCAACAGATTCAATAGTGACTGCAATAAAAAATTTGCATGAGAAATAAAATTATTTTATAAACCTTATATTATAGTAAAATTATGACTTGCAATTAATTTGACATGTAGATATTATGCTTAAATTCCAGAGGAAAACTATTGAAAATGGTACTTACAAATGTGGTGGTCTGGAACTCTGCCAACCTTGACAAATGATGCCAAATCAGGATGCAACATGTAATTTCGACTGCCGTTGTCGTACCTTGCATTTTTCACCTTTGCAATGGATTTTCCTGTGACAAAATCATATGAGAAAAAAAACATTTGCATTTCTTTAATTCACCTTTCTTTTCCACAACTTCGATCACTCCAGGACTGAATGATTTTTGAAGTCTATGAGCTGCGTCTCCTTCGATTTCACGTGTCAACTCTAATACAAAATTTTTTAGTATTTTTACTTTTTTGCAAATTATATTGCCACCAACCAATAGTTGGAAGCAGCCTGTAGGACGCTGTGGACACAGGAGAATATTTGGCGTGATCTTTTCCACAGCCTTTCCCAGCAAGCATTTTCATCTCTATTTCCTGTCCTGGTCTCAGTTTAGCAATAAGGATGTCGTCGAAAACCGGACCAACGTCAGCCGCACTGAACATTTTCTCCTGGTCTCCCATTGGCAACCATTTGATACTTTTGCTATAAACTGTTAATAAATATTACAGTTAGGTATAAAATTTCATGAGATGAAAATTTTAATTGCCTGCATGGTTTTTGTACAGGTCAGCTAGCTCGGTGGACTTTGCTGTGGCATTGTTGTTTTTGGTACACTTGATTTTTAATTCAAACTCCAGTGTGTCTTGTTCTGATGGAGCAGCGCCTGGCATGGAAATAATGAGAGATTTAAGAGATATTTTTTGTAACAATTAAGTGACAGAGAATCTCACCTTCTTGTTGAGTTTCAAATTGGTGAGGGTTGGCTTTGAATGGAATGAGGCCTATTCTGTGTGCAAGAACTTCGTCTTGAATCACCGAGGTATTCATGTACATGTGGACCTCTTTAATAGCAATACTTGGAACCTCCGACAAGAGGATCCTACGGAATGCATTAGCCAGGGAGGGTTCGACGCCTACCATGTCAAACTCCATTTCCATGTCACCCATGTACATAACTTGGATTTTAAATTTCTGAAAATCAAAGCTTTCTATTAAAAATATCCATAGCTTTGCTTTGCTGCAAATTTTATTTTTGTTTACCGTCTTAAAGAATTTTAAACTCCACACCGACGGCTTTGAAGGAGCCTGTAAAAATTTTGGAATTATTTTTTTAGTTATTAATACATTATACATGTTCCAAACAGCTGAATAAAAATACCTTCAATGGGCCACTATCAGTTAAAATGTAATTGTTATCCATTTAAAATCTTTTGTTTCTTGCGAATTTTGGCTTCAGTGTTTTCACACGTGCTTTCCTGTAATTCCTGTCCCTGTTTGTTTTTTTTTTAATTACACTGTTGCCAACGATGCAACGAGTAAAGAAAAAATAAATCATAACCGAAACCACTGATACACATACTAAAATTAATATAAAAAATTCTTGAATTTAATATTAATATTAAGCATTTGAGCTGAAAACTCCCATGGCCCTTTTATAACATTATGTTAGTATTTATTTTAGGTTGGCAAAACGTAAAATCAATTTTTGTTTTTATTTCGGGAAACTCCCCCTGAAGTGTCAAATTTTCTTCAATCCGATCAAGTCGTTACTCATTCATTGATATAGAAAACTCAAGGAAAATCGAAGCAAAATGGTAAAGAAGAATACATTTATTAACTCATGAACACTTTTCTTACATGCGCCCATTTGTTTTTGCTCAGATCCGGTTTATCTTGATCCAAAATCGTGCTGGCAAAACCAGGTTAGCCAAGTGGTACATGAACTTTGATGATGACGAGAAGCAGAAATTGATTGAGGAAGTCCACGCCGTTGTCACAGTGAGAGATGCGAAACACACTAATTTTGTTGAGGTTTGTTACTGAAATATTATTGTGTCCATTACCGTATTTATTTTTGTGCAATTTCAGTTCAGAAATTTCAAAATCGTCTACCGCCGCTATGCTGGCCTTTACTTCTGCATTTGTGTGGACGTCAACGACAACAACCTTTGTTACTTAGAGGCGATCCACAACTTTGTGGAAGTTCTCAACGAGTACTTCCACAATGTCTGTGAGCTTGATTTGGTGTTCAACTTCTACAAGGTGAGATTAATCTTTTTTTTTTAAACAGCGCCCTAAAATTGTTTTTAACACACAGGTCTACACCGTTGTTGACGAAATGTTTTTGGCCGGGGAAATTCGAGAAACTAGTCAAACCAAAGTTCTCAAGCAGCTGTTGATGCTGAACTCACTGGAGTAACTTCGGGCTGCTATCAAAACATAATATATTTGTCATTATTATGTGAACTGAAAGCGCAAGTGTAAAATTTAACATATATACAAATAATTATTGGTAATGTATTGCCAATTACAATGTCATGTAGCAACATCCTTCATTCAAAGCTAATCATGACTTCCGTCGTCATTCCATTTCATGTATAAAAAAATTAACTGGATCGAATTTGGTTTGTTTAGATCTGAAAATGTGAAGTCTTTAAAATAACCTCATGTAATAGAATATTGATAATAAAAAACATTTGTTTTTGTAAATTTTCTTGCTGATTTAACATTAAAAGCAATAATTTATTAAGATAAATCAAATAGATAGGTAAATAGATATTATACAGCAGGTACTTTTCCAGATGACGAGTTCCCTAGTGCCATCACCAATTTTCTAAGTCTTTGTTGTTTTCTTCTGCTTCGTCGTGATGCAGTCACTGGGGTAATAAAACTTCGACGCCGTAGACAAAAGAAGCAAACCACGCACACAATAGTCAGCAAAGACAAAATTGCTACTGGAGACGGACTGATTTCTGTATCCTGCACGTCCATGATCGGATTTGCTGCGTTGTTCCAATCGGCAGGTGGTAGGACACCTACAGAATGCTTCGGGCCACCTCCATTGCCCATCGCTGCCCTCAAGTCAAGCTCCATGGGGCCTTTAGGAAGCACGGAAAGTAGTTTTTGGGATTTGTACAAATTTCTGAAAAATATTAGTAGGATGAAATAATTTAAATTAAAAAAAAAATACAAACTTACGTTGGTGCAGATTTGTTTAATGGGTTGGGTGGTGCCCATACAAGATGAGGACACTGAGGAAGAGGTCTTGTTCTAATTCCACCCATGTGTGACTCGATGACTTTGGAATACCTTAATTAATAATTATTAACAATGCAGTAAACTTTGAAATAATATTTTACCTGTAAAGGTGGTTTGCTTCCATTCGTTGAGGCAATGGGAAGTCAGAGGGTTTGACTAAAGCTTTCCCAGCATTCGATTTGAAAACGGATGCCATGTGACCAGTGGAGGTGAACTCCAAAATAGCATCCAGCATCCAAAAGCAGTCTAAAAAATTCATTTAATTTCTAAATTTAATTATGCGAGAAATCAAAACTACACACCTTTTTGCAAGTGGCTATTATCCAAACAATTTGAGTCTCCGTAAACAACAATGCGCCCACTGTTTTTATTACTTGTGCTTTGGTACAACCCCAAGATGGGTACATCCTTAACTACTTCAGACTTTGAGCCCATTATCTCCGCACCTTCAATCAGAACATAGTTAATTTTAGGAACACTTAAGTTGCAACTTTTACCATGATCTTTAAGATCCTTGTAAATTACAGTTCCGGACTCGGGAAAATGAATAAGGCTTGTGCCCGACGCATAATGCATATCATGTCCTCCTAAGCTAAAATCACCTTCCAGCACCATATCACCCAAAGCCATCCCCCAAGAAGAGAGCAACTCATTGAGAGCAGGGATGTTTGAGCCTCCCGTGTCAGGGAGCCACCATTGCCTGAGATCAATTTTAATATTAATATTTTTTTCTTAAATAATTCATTGAATGATTTTACCTTGTGTTTTCATCATAAAATTTAACTTTTTTCATGACTGATGAATTGTACCAATCAGCCACTATCACAACAGAAAGACCAGCCTCAACATCACTCCTTAGTTTTGCAAGTTCTTCGGGGAAAAATTCTTCCTCCGAATCGACGATCAAAAGTGTGCTGTACTGTGATTGATCGAAACATGTAAGAGGTGCTCCGAGGACATCAACGTAGTAGCCAGCATTTCGAACGTGCTGGTACATATCCTAAAAAACGTATGGTTAAGAAAGCAAATTAAATTTAAATACTGATTCTACCTTAAAATTTGTGTGAATGTGATCTCCATTCCAGTCGAGTGGATCGTTTTTCATGCGCAGATTATCTCGAGGGAAATAGCCTGGGGGATATCGTAAATTGTGATATTGGTCCCATAAAATTCGTTTCCTAATAATTACAATGAATAATTAAGAAGTTATATGCAAAATGAAAGCCACTATACTGTTTTGGGGGCGTTGGAACAATGCGTGCTTTGATGGCCAGGCGAACCGAACTTTGACGAGGTTCAAAATTTCCTTCTTCTGGCGGCGATTCAACGGTTAGGGATATGTGACCCTGGACAATACCTGACCAATTTGCGCTGTTTTCGTTAACTGCAAGCCAAACGGCAAGATAACCTGACCAAGGCCATAATACCTAAGAAGGAAAATTCAGACATAGTCAATTAATTAGCAAAACATAGATAACTTACAGGCGAATACTGAATGGCAACATCAAGTCGATGACCCTGTTGCTTTGTGTATGGGTGCCACTTTGGCTTGCCCACAATGTGCCCAGAAACACCTAATCCATTAAGAACAGTAACGTTCACCGCAATGGGCATGCCACCCCTAAACAAGGGTTGAGTGCAATAGGGCCACATGTACTGACACTCTGTCAAATCAATATAACTGAAAAAACACAAATTGTTAAAATCTCTGCAAACGAAATCTCTTTGAAAATAGATTTTAGGTAAATTGTTCCAAAAAAACTTTTCTACCGCAGATCGACTCACAATTCAGAATACGACCTGATTACAATTATCAAAATAATCCAAGATAGGAAAGGCCCTCAGATGGCGCCCCTCGGATCAAGAATGGCACCCCTTGGGCAAGAACAGCAACCCTCGGGTCTAAAGTGGTGCCCTAAGAGCAAGGATGGTGCCCCCTTTTATGCTGTTACGTTATGCTTACAATATTAATTGTAATAGTCAGAAACGGCAATGGATTTGTCTTGGAACAATTTACTGTCACTCTTTGTAAATACCTTGGGCTTAGACTAACTTGCGGCTTGTATGTATGCAAAATATTGTGTGCCCGTAGCAAATCCAACTTTCCGTGGCCCTGTTCAAACATATTTACGCCAGGTAGTCTCCTGGCCGAAGCCATGAGTGCTTGCTTCATAGACGCAGGGTTGATGATACTGGCCCTGTGTAGGGCACCACTGTATAAAAGGGCAACAGCTCCAGCTACCACTGGAGAGGCAACACTTGTCCCTGAAGTGAAATTATCTCTTATGTTTTCATTGTAATCTTAAAAATGGAGTGTTACCTGACAGCGTTCTGCAACCTTTTTTGACACTTGAGCCTCGGACAGCTGAGCCATAAGTGACAATATCAGGCTTCAGCCTGCCGTAGCCTCCTGGCAGTTCCCAGGTGGTCATTCCTCTAGAGGAAAATTTGGCAATTTGGTCCTCAAAGTTGATTCCACCAACACCAATGACATCCATTTGGTCAGCTGGATTATTCAGAGTGCTAGTTTCACGCAATAAGATATTTTGTTTACTAAGCAGAAAGCGAACTTTTTACCCGTATAAAGGTCCGTCATTTCCAATAGCGGAGACCATTATTATTTTGTTTGCAGTGAGTTCCCAAACTTTGTCTACAAAGGGTTGATCCATGAAATCTGGACCCCCAATGCTGAGGTTGAGAACAGTTACTTTCCTCAAGATGGCGTAGTTAAATGCATCCAAAAACCAAGATGTGTAGCTGACCTTATTTTCAAATGCAGGTTAAAAATGGATTAATACTGTGTTGTAATCAGGCGTACTTGGTTGTTGGTAAAAACTCGAAAAATGTGCAGCTCTGCATCAGGAGCAAGACCCAAACATTCAGAGCTGGACGCGATAAGACCAGCAACAAATGTACCATGGCCTAAGCCGTCGTCAAAAGACTTTTCGTGGGTCCAGTTTGTCCTTTCTTTCACCTTTCTGAAGTGAGGATGGCCTTTGGCTAGACCAGTGTCGAAAACAGCTACCTTGACTCCAGCACCTATGCAAAAAATTATTTTGCAACAAATAGATTCAAAATTGAAACTCTAACCAGTTATGCCCAAGTTCCACAATGCATCAGCTTGGAGGATAGAAGTTATCTGACGAGGAACAGCTCTCAAAAGCCTTCGACTCGACAGTCTTCCAGTAGCTTGCCAAAATTGGTTGCTTCTCACCTATTAAAAAAAATTTTATAATTCAGCATATTAATTATCTTGTGGAATTAATTACATAGTGAGGTGTCTCGTCAGCTTCTTCTTCCGCAGTCTCTCCGTTATCTTCGTCTCCAGAGTCTTCATCAATGTAATGAAGTGTCCTTGTAACAGTTCGTTGTGGAGTCACAGACTTGACGTTAGGATGACTTTCCAAGCTCTTGATTGATTTTTGTTTGGAGGGGTCATTTTTGAGCTGGTGAAGGAAAATATAGAGTAACTTGAAACAGCCAGTGTAAATAAATATTACCAGCAAAACATCAAAATCACTGGGAAAGTCACTCGCAGGATTGTTTCTGGGCAAAATCTCCCAATCGGAAGTGGTGTCCCGCAGAGCAGCCGAAATAAAATTCTTTCGAGCGGACGCTTTGTAATACTTCTTAAAAGCGACTATGTATTCTAAATTTTTATATTTCAAATTTATAAGAAATATTATTAACATTTTAATTTGAAAAATTACCATCTTTGACAATATCAGAGCTGAATTCCATTTTTATGACTTGATTCACAGTCGTTCCATTGCCACAACCTTTTGCAAGGTTGACGAGGCAAATGGAGAAAGTCAAAATCCATATTACTCCTGAGAGCGCCTTCATTGCGACTCTAAATTGCAATCCTTCATGCTGCTATTAATAAAATGCCAATTCCCATTTTCCGCAGAGGACACCCAAGTCACGTACTTGTAATCTCAGCAAAGCTTTACGATTGTTGAACTCTATCTTGCTGAGTCTCTTCCAAGTTTGTTCGATTCTATAATAATAAGAATGGCACCATTCAGTGAAGAAAAGGGTCAATGCAGGAAATACAAAATAAAGTGTGAACTACATAATTATACAAAAACATAATAATCCAAAATATTATTGCGTTTCTCAAGTAAAAATTAAACTCACCTTCATAATTGGAGAAAAGATTGCGGAATGCTCTTAACATTTTATAGACTACCGAGATGATTGAATATTCTTATTTATTGACGGACTGATGAGTCTGTTCCTAGTGAGCGGTCTTCCAAATTAAAAACTGATTGTTGTTTTCGTTTTGCACCAAAACATCAATTTTCTGTCATGAGGTTGTGTGTGCGATGCAAAAGTGCGATGTGAGGTCGTAAGGTGGCGGCAGAAGGGGGAGGATGGAATCTGATGGAATCATGGAAATAATCAAGGAGGTTTATTTTTTACGTGCTTCTGGCGGTAAAATATAATCAATATCCCAAACGCAAACGCTTTTAATAAAAGCATTATTATTAACCAAACTTTCAACGATTAAAAAGAATAATTATTACTCATTTTATGGACCTTCCGATTTCTTCCTTTTGCAACAAATATTATCAGAATTGTTTAGAATTGCAATAAAATGATGAAAATATTTATAAGATCTAAAAATTTCTACATTATCAGTAACCCTATGGACCACACAATATATGCGTCTGAAAAATACTCATAATTTGCTGCTTTTTCATGAAATTCATATCCATTATTGGTAAAAATTTTTAAATCCTTTTTATTTTTTTATTAAGCTTAATTTTCCAAACAAATATATGTTTGATATCGGAAGCATAAATTATGAATCTTTTTTTCACTTCTTTTAATACTAATAAAGAGTTAACTAATTTATTTTATAGACGTGAACTAACTACTATTTTTGTAAAATTCTGCATTATAAATTATAATAGACTGTTTTCCACTGTTTTCTAATTTTCTTTTGACAAAAGTGCAAAAAAGTATCCTAGCGCTTAGATCATGCTTAATGGTGCTTAATGGGTTTAGTGTGTGTTGAAGGCGCGTGCAAGAATAAAAAACAACAAATTTTAAATAAACTATTCGACTAAAGGCACAATTTTATTTACGTTACACAAGCTCACTTTTGTTAACACAAAATATTACAATGCGTGGGAAAAAAGCTTTTCATCACTTCATTTATCATTTTCTTCAGTCTGTCCTTGATCATCTGGTTTTTCATTTCGAGCCCAAGGGTACAACGTGTGGTTCCGATACCTCTGACTTCTTCTAAAGCTGCCGCGCAAAATTTTGGCAACCTCCGGCGCGGTCAGCTGCTTGCTCCTGGAGGGCAACGTCTGCGACCTCTCTCCATAGGACTGCATTATCGCTGAGGGTAGCTCACTGCTAGCCTCATTAGAAGGCAGCTGCTCTGCATTTGGCAATTCTTCGGCAGGTTGGTGCATCTCGATGGTCACTGACGCTGTATAGGCTGGAGGCAGAGTTTGATCGTCACTTTGATTTTGAGCTGCCGCCTGGAAAATCGTGTTTGCTGATATTCTGCGAATACTGCGACGGAAACTTTGTCGCAAAATATTAGCAATCCTGAAAAAATATATTATTTTAAATTATGTAAAAATTATTGAAGTTGGCAAGCAGATATACCTAGCTCCAGTGGCTGTTGAATATGATGGGGGAGGAGTGTACTTAGGGGGTGGATCATACGGCACTTCAGAACTTTCGATTCCTTCTTGAGTATTCGTCACAAAGTTTTCAATATTATTATTTTGATTGGAAGGTCTTTCAGGTGGAGGCCTGTACAAAAGCTCAAGCCGCTATAGAAGAAATTGTAATTAATTCATTATAGTTACAATTTTTTTTTTTCAAAACTTACCTCAAGCCAATCGGAAGGGCCTTTTGAAAGATATCGACAAGTTTGCACAATTGCTACCAAAGGCACAAGTAAAATTGGCATCAACTGCAGACATGATCCCAGCTCACGAGCCCACACTTCCCAGTAGTGATTTTGCTTGGCTATGTTCCAGTCATACAACTTGACACTTTCACTTGAATAAAACAGCAGCACAGTCATGCCCTGTAAGTATTTCAATTGTTAGATAAGATGGTAATTAATCATCAGGTGCATACTAGAAGATAAACAGGAAGTGCTACGCTCCAAATGAATGCCAGCACTGGAGAGAGGAATTTTTTGACAGTGCATTCTTCCCCTAAAAGGACGTTTGCCAGAACTTCTCCATTGTATGGATACCCTCTCACGACAATGACTGCTATTATCAGGAGACAGTGCAGGAGCGCAATCCACCAGCCATTGCCAACTATGGTGTCCAAAAAGTACACAATCCAAATTCCAAGCTGAAATTAGGGGGAACATTTAAAAAAGATCAGAAGATAGTATATTTTAATATCATACCTCAGTCGTTAGCGGCAATCCGAGGACACATGCAAATATGCAGGTGAAAAATGCAATTGTTGTGCGCCAGGGTTTCAGATTTTTTGAACTTATGGAAATTATGCCACTAATGACGGAGTGCCATATAGCCAACTGTAAATGAGAAAGGAACTTATTTAAGTGACACAGTCTATGAATTAAATATATACTGAGTTCACCATTGTTCGGCCTGAGAAAGTTAATGACCTTGGTTAATTGTGTGAGAAATCCACCCACTATTTTCTCATACTCATATAATATGTTACACTTATTGGCCATGGCAGTGACCTTTATGGCACTTTTCTCCAGAAATGTCAAAATAAACGGATAATTAATTTTTTTAGCTCATTAAATATTTAAATTACTCCCAAACCAATTAATTTGCTCAAAAAGAGGCATCCCAACTAAAATAATAATTGCAATTTAAAAAATAAAAATTTCAAAAAATTAACCTGCTGCAGGAGACCAAAAAATATTAGGGTGAGAAACGCCAATACAGCCCAGCACGGTGACATCTGTCTCACTCCAAGGGCGGCAAACGTTGCTGGCAAAAGCTCCGTCACCAGCCGAATGGCTTGATATCCACTTCTGGAGTTTTGAGTTTTTGAGGCAGTCATCGGAGCAATGACTCTGTTTCCCACCATTAGCGAACTGTGCATCAGGTACTTTGTTGTAGGGTCAATAACTGGCTGATCCACCGTTCTCATAAATTGAGCAGTGCTCATGAGTTCTGCAAAAATTATAATAATCAGTTAAACGAGTACGTCAATTAAAATAGACAAAAGTACCAAATGAGGATGTGTGGAAATACTGAAAACCACTTCCAAGCAAAATTTGCGTGCAAGCATCGGCCATGCATGCCACAAGGGCAAGACATGCAATGACAGCAACGATGGTCACAAGTGATTGGCGCAGTATTTTGTGTCGGTTGTTTACATGAGATGCAGTTTGCATCGTTGCTGCTCCTATCATTCCCCAAGTGAGGAAAGTTTCAGACGCAGCTGCAATCCAGCTCTATAAAAATTGGAAAAAAAAATATTATGAATTATTCACCTATTTTTGAGATTTTTTTTCGAGTTCAACTTTCTTGAAGTTTTTGATAAAATGTTTTCCTATTTTTACAAAATTGTTTTTACCTGTCCGTTGTAAAAAATGTCATCCCAGGTGGTCTCTGATAAAATGCTGTGTTCATATTTTGAGGCCAGATAAAAAATTTCAGAGGAGAAAACAATCAGGCCACAAACAGATAAAAACACCAAGGCAGTAAGTGCTTTTGTGTAGGACTTCACTCCTGAAATTTTGCGAAGTTAGATAAGTTTCTTGTTTGTCTCTTTGTGGATATTTTACCCTTGCTCAATGTTAAAAACACGACAATCCAAACCACAGCAAGGTTGAAAACTGGGCTAAATTTAAAATGTCCAAAGGACCTGTCGTTTGAGTATAAATTGAAGCGCTTGAGTACGACCCCACTAAAATTCAAAATTAATTATTTTTAAGCAATCGATATATAAGGTTAGCTTACTTAAAGTAATCAGATACAGTCTCTTCCAATTTTCCTCTGTCTGAAAGATGACAATAGAAAATAGAACAATAAAACTTCTCAAAACTAAAATCTAAATATTAAATAATACCTCTTTTGGAGAAATCGTTGTGGGGCGTAAAAGGGAATACCCATCGGTATGAGTCACTGCCTCTTATGAATGAGTCTCTTAGATAAACCAAGAGCCACGACATCCCCACAATGCCGTAGAATCCAATGAATGCTTGGCCTATCAGCAAAGCAATGCCGACGCCCTAGTAATTTAAATAGGAAATGCCAAAAACCATTAAAAAGCTTGAAATATTTTTACCTGAAATATTGGACTAATTTTCCACATGCTGATAACTCCACATCCTAAATAGTGTCCCAGTGCAACATGGAATAAGAACAATGGGATGCCAAATAAAACTGACAAGATCAAAAACTGCACTAGGAATGAGCCTAAAAAATTATTCAACAATGAATTTAACACACAATGGGAATAAAAAAGTCACTTACCGCCAAACTGAGCGCTGAGAATTGCAAACCTACTGAGGCTGAAAAGCCCTATCACACATCCAAATGAGGCCAGTGAAAAGCAAAACTGGAATGGCCATTGGCCCAAAGAGCTGGGAGTCGCAGTGGGACTGTAAGGAATATCATCCACAGAATAATGACTTGATCTAGTGTCTCTCCTCTCTTCAATGCTGGTTGGTAACTCAGGCATTCTAATTAAAAAATAAATATATGAACACATAAAAAATAAGGGAGGAAAATCACAACCTTGTTTCACTATATTGCACAGTTGATGCTGATGATAAATTACTTTCAATGCTAGAGTCCAAGACGTTTCGTCTCAAAGTTTCCACTCCCGTAATTGAATTAGCATCTAAGTACGAGTCCTCAAAATCTGTTGTCATTGTTGAGTTTATTTCTTCGTTACTTGTTGCAAAATTAAAGGGAGGAGGCAAAGGATCAACAGGTGGCTCTTCAGCGGCAAGTGGGAGTCGAATTCGTTTTATCCGCCTCATTGAAGGCCTCACAAATCTCGGAATCACGTCCGGACTAACATCGACGTCTTCATCACTGGACGATGTTGAGTCCATCGAAGTGACGTCAGTCTTTAAAGAAACATCGAAAAATTCATCTTCTCTCTTTCCTGCCACAGACGCACTGTCCTCTGCAGGGGCGGAAGGCCCCGCCGTGGCTGACTCATCTGTCGCTTCCAGCGAAGGCGTTTCGTAGCTTTGATTGAAGCTATCAAACAGGGGCTTGCTTAATGACATCAGATCAAATCTGGTCATATCGACTAAGGAGGGCGCTCTTGTGAGAAAATAATGTAAATGGCCCGGTCTGTCCACTGAGTGAGACGACGAGGGTCCAGGATCACGCACAAAACTCCTGGCCGACCGCGGGACGTGATGGCTCGGAAGGTGCACCAAGTTGGTAGCAACGTGATCACTGTGCCGAGCATTAAAATCTCCTACTTGGTCGCCATAGAGTTTATTGTTGACTTGACTAGTTGGTTCCTCTTCGTTAAATGCAGCATTGGTTGCGCTGAACGTCCTTTGACTGCTTGCTTCTTCTTCAGGTACAAGCCGATCATGCATCCCGTCGCCGACAAGCGTCTCGTCGCACCGACTCATTTCAGCAACTTCCTGCAATGCGAGTTAAATAATAATGCCATGGGGACCTTTAATAAAATCCAAACAAACATGCAATCAAGCTACACACAGCACACCCCTCGTATAAATGAATATCCGCAACACCTGCTTCTTCCCATAGTTGCAAACACACCTGCCGCTGGCTATTTAATTATATTTTTTAATTTTCCCATAACGGTGTTTTTTCAGCAAGAATTTGTAAAAGGGATCACTCACGATTTAGCCTCGGCAGCAAAATCCATCTCACGCGTACCCGCAGATTATTAGGACACGATTTGATGTCGAGCCACCCGACGACGCACTCGTTGCATTTTGATTGCGAGGCGGAACACACACGTCGTTGCAGTAGAGAAAGGCCTGCAAAACAATTGCAGCTCCTCCGTCCGTTTGGCTTGGCGTGCGGCGCTGCAATTAAAAACAAGTCTAGTGTGACAGATGACAGATTACGGAGTGAGATGAGTCGGGAAGCGAGCAGCAGCAAAAAGTACCGTTCTGCACGCAGGCTCTTTAGCTTCTGCGCTGCTCTCAGGGTCTGATTATTGGGGTCATTGGACCTGCTGCTGCTGGAAGCCAAGATGCAAGGTGGTCACATGGAAAGGTGTTTCGCTCCTCCTCCTTCCAATAGTATTTGTTCGTTCAAGGGCCCACCAGGTGCCTCTTCTGCCGATACCAATTTTGTGGCGCGGACTTGTGCATTAAAAATAATTTCCTACAACAATAGTGAAAGTTTCAATTTTCTGGCTTTGTCTGAAATAAACAAAGGAAGCAATGCGTAGAAAAAAATTTATGCAAAGTGCTTCCCCCGTCTGATAAGAAAATTACTGATTTTGTCGAAGCGAGAAATTGCTTGTGGTGTTTCACAGTAGTGATTATGAAAGTGAGATTATTATTACATAGAGCAGACAGCTCAGATACATGGTTTTTAGCGTTAATTATTTCTCAAATATACATGCTTCATTTAATTAATAATTCTTACACATTCTTACGCCAAAATTAATGACAGGATTACTTGCCGGGCCAAGCAGGTGGTGCGATTTAATTCCATTTTAAGCCAATATACAGATGAGCGCTTCGTTCTTTTGCAATCACAGAATCCACGAGCACTTCCCTAACTGTAAAACAAAATAAAAATAAAACAATAAAAATCATTACACAGAGTTAAAAGAAAGCTTGACCCACAAAAACACAAAAGATTTTTCTAATATCAATAAAGCAAAATAATATCTTGATTTTTTTATATGTGTGGTGTGTAATTTATAATATTGAATTATGGATGATGTATTTGGGCAGAGAATGCCCGGTGGTACATTAATAAACACAATTTGTAACTAATTGTTTGCATGGTGTGGGGTGGGATTTTACGTTTTTTGTTTTTCAAATTATAATAAATAATGAAATTATTTAACATTCATTTTTGCTAGTATATTGTAAATAATACAATTGAATAAAATTTGCATTGCATTTATAAAGAAAATTATTAATAATGTACTTGAAAATCTAAATTTATCATATTATTAATTTACAATTTCAAATAAATTTGGAAAGATTAAAAAAAATTTGCAAAAAGTGTGAAATCAAAACCCACTCAAAATGGAAATAATTAAATATAGTAACTATAAGACTAATTGCTAATCGCCTTTACAGGGAATCACATCAGGAATTTTCTATACTATTTTATGCCGGCTTGTCTCAAATACCTAGCGTCTCGCAGGCGTCTCGGAACGTAATTCCACGTAAATAATAATAAGAATAAGAGAAATAATAATAAATATCGATTACTTGATTTTAATTGATCATAATTTTATTATATTTAATAAAATTTTTTTCATGATATGATAAAAAAAACCAATTGCCTTTTCGTCCAATAATTTTCATTTTTCCCTCTCAACAAAAATGTTATTCTTTTAATGTATAAACTTTGGAACAATTCGGAAAAATAAATATAAAAATTTATCATTGGGGCCAAACTGATACAAAAGTATCAAAATTATAAATTTAATCATTATATTGAATTATTATAATTATTAGAATCATAATTATTGTATTGCCTGCTTTGATATAATTTATCCAATTTTATCATGCAAAAAGCAAAAGCACCACCTGATTTTAATATTCTTCGAATGATTTAAAACTTGGTAATTTAGATTTTCAATCAGTTCAATTCAATTTTTTCTATCACAATAATTCTAGTTTTAACGATTTTTAATTGATTGTAAAATTATGTGTGTATATTGTAAAAATAAATATCGGCGCATTCACCAACATAATTATATTTTTGCTATGCAGATTTTTGTAACAACATTAATTAATAATTATTCTTGTGCCTTCCCTTACATAATTCTGATTAATGAATGTATGTAATGAGCCTTCTTGATTTAAGTCGACTGCACAAAACTTAATTATACATACTTTTTCCTACAATCGCATAAAATATGCGAAAATTAAGAAGGATGAAAACTATAGATACATAGACGATGGGTCGGGTGTCAAATGTGTAAAAAAAACGTAACAAAAAACCGAAAAAACATCATAATACACAATAATGTATGTAATACATAAGATGTTGTTGCTTATTTTTCTTCGACTCTTCGTCTCTGCTATTGGCCATTTACCCTCCTATAAACAATACTTATCTTACCTTTTGTGTGTGTTTGCATCCAGTTGTGTCCCTACAACCACATAATTCTGCACCCTTAATTGGTACTCAGCTGCAGGTACGTCGAGAGGTCCCTATTTCGCAGGTTTTGCGGTGTCTTCAGCATTTAAAGGGACAATATATGCTGGGCATGAGACGTGAATGGCATTCCCAGACATCAAAGAGGTTTTTTAAACATTGTTTTGGTTCCGTAGCTTCCGCACCAATGAGATGCGAGCTGCGCAGCCACATAAACAAATAGACGTCACGACACGAAGGTGCAGTGCAGTGCCGGTTCTCACTTTTGTAAATTTAGTTTTTATAATTATTACGCGTGCACTGCATTCCAAAGAATTTTACGAATTTTTAATACGCGTATAATCACCAAAGTTTGAACAACTAAGATTAAAATTTGCAGTCATCATGGACTTTTGGGAAACCATTGAGAAAGATGGTGAGCCTTGATCAGTCTCCAAAATTTAATTTCGTTTAATACATTTAATTAAATTTCTAGAAGTTAAAGTTATAGTTTGATCTTAAGCCAGTTTTAGAAATTTTCTGTTCAAAAATTAAATGCGTCTGGTAAAATTTCAGACTTCTTCAAAGCTTTCCTTGAAGGAGCCGATGAAGGAAAAATTCACGAGCAAATTTCCAAAGGCCTTCTTGTCGCAGACCAACTCGCTAAATTGTCGGAAGGTAAAGTACATAATATAACTAATGCAATTATTTACGTGTATAGATATATCATTATTTATTTTTCTTAATTCATTAAATGTATTATATAGGAATCGGACTGCTCGATAAAGAGCTTATGAAGCAAGTCACTGACCACTACGAAGATTTGATTTCCCAGGCAACTTGCATTGAGAAGCTCGAAGACGTTTTAAATGTGATGCAGCCACACATTCAGTATCTCCTTGTAGCTGTTGATCGACTGAGCTCTAAAATCGTAGAGCCGTACAACAAGATTCAATGCCAAACAAGGATGCTGAACAATTTACATGCCACATCGGACCTTTTACGACGCGGCGTTCGCATCTCCCAGCTCATCAAGAGGCTACAGAATCACATCAAGGCAGGGCCCCAAGAACTAACAAAGGCAGCAAAAGTTTTGAGCGAACTTGGTAATTTTAACAAATTAATATCTATTTGAAACCCAAGACTTATTAAATTATTTGTAGACGAAATGTCAAGTGATGTGGACTTGACTCATTTAGAGGCAATCGACAAAGACCTGAGGTTATCTCGTCATCATAGGGCTGATGTGGACAGGCAAGCTCGTCAACTTCTCATCGATGGTCTTGCCTCTCAAAATCAAACTCAGGTTGAAGTATACTTAAAATTATTGGATTTAAAAAATAACATTTTTTGATAGGTTGAGAATGCCCTGCTGGTTTTCCACAATCTTGGCCTTTTACAAAACACCCTCAAGCAAGTGATGTCCAGCAGTAAGGAAATGGTTGCGTCGAAACTGAGAGCCGAGCTTGATTTTCATAGTTTGACACAGCAACTACAACCAACATCTGCACCAAAGAAATCAGGTTGTCAATCTCCTATAAGATTTAAAAGTTTTTCTAATTTAGTGCTTAGGTCCAGGAGGTCCAGGACGAGCACCGTTAGTGACCCCTGGAAAGTCTGCCGAGTTTCGCTCTTCATTGTGGGGCGCTATCGAGAAGAGCTTAGAATGTGTGTTTGTTGAGACCAAAAAAGCTGCAACCCTCCAAAAACAACTGTCGTCAAGTTCAATTTTGACGCCCCATGCCAAGGATATTGATTCTGAGTGCTCCAAATTTTGGGATGACGTTTTGAAAATATTTGGCGAAGAACTTTCCAAAGCATCACAAAGTAAATTAACAAAGTCAAATTGATTTAAATTGCTTAATTTGAAAATTTTTTGGCTAGGCTCCATTTTTATCCAACAAACGCTGGAGGGTGAATATCCAAAGTTGATCAAACAATATTTGGAAATGTGTAATCGTATGCAAGCATTCAACAGTCAACAAAAAGGCAGTCTTTTTGCTAGCGGTTCTGCCCAGCAGTACACCTTAAAGTGAAAACAACCATTGATATTTTCCTGTTTTAATTTATTTCCCTTATTATCAACAGCCGCAAGGTGGTTAACTCCTTTGAAAACGCCTACTTGGCGCGCTCTATGTCAAGACTCTTCGATCCGGTCAACAACATGTTCACCACCGAAGATGGTATACCGTCCCACGACAGCATTGATAACCTTCTGAGGACTGTCCTCAATGAACTCACTGTGTCAATGGTTGATTCCCACCTAAATAAAGTGGTCGCCAGTAATGTCGCCAACACCATCAAGTTATTATGCACCAAATGTGAGCACCAGGCCGTAACGGGAACTGATGCCATTCAATTCATTGGTACATATTTTAATTTAGATGTAATTTGCTATTAAGAAATTTGACTACAGAGGCACCTACCAGTGGCCAGTTGCTGAATGCATCTTTGGTTGACATTCTTCATTATTTCACGTTACAAACAAAACGACGAGTTGGAAATATAAACGGCCTTTCCTCGGAGGCATCGACAATTATATTTGATGCCTTAGAGAATTGCTCGTCATTAGCAATAGCAATAATTGTTCCTGTGGTGACTGCAATTGAAAGTGCAGTGGAGGCAATACTTCTAACTATGCATAATGAGGATTTTTCACAGTAATTTTTTCCATTATTAATTGGATTAAAATTAAATAATTTTATTTCATTAGGAATGATGACAACAAAGCCGAGGCGCCGTGCTCCTTGTACGTGAAAGAGCTGCAGAGTTTTTTGAGCAGAGTCTCCAGTCAGTACCTGACACTTTTCAAGTGGTCGGAAGTTGTGGCAGAAAGTGTCAAACCCGCTGCCGAACGGTGCTTGGACCTATTTGTCCGCCTTGCTTGTTTAGTGCGACCCCTTGGTAGTCTTGGCAGACTTAAATTAGCTGCTGACTTTACTCAGGTATATTAAATCAATCTGATTAAATTTTACGGGCAAATTAAATAACAAATAAATGACAGATGGAAATGGCTATTGGTTTCCTCAGCATTCCTTCAGAGCTGGGGAGACCTTACAGGATGCTCCGCTCTTTGAAGCCTCTGTTGTTCCAAACACCAGAGGACATTTCCAAGTGTCCCATGTTAGGGGACATATTACCCCATAGTCTGGTTTTGACACTGCTGTTTGCATTTGGCCCAAATGAAATGCAGTCACCTCATGTTGTAAGTAATGTAAATAATCCTTTGTCTCTAATCTCAGAAATTTTGAAAAATTCAGAGCGCTGGCTGGTCGGTGAAATTTTATTCCAATTGGTTGGACGAGAACAAGAGTGAAAGAAAGCGATTGGAACTAATTGACGGTGCTTTGCAAGGGTATGCTAAGGCTGTGTCTGCGTCTGGGAAAACAAGTTATCACTTTGTTTATCCAATTATGGTTGAACTATTACAAGCTGGATCTGCAGTTTGAAATTGACAAGGATGGACAAAATCGCAAAAGCAATCTGCAATTGCGATCTGATCGCACTATTTTTTTGAAAAGATGATAGCAATCACAAAAAGGTGGTCAATTGCATGCGATCATTTGCAACCGCGTGTTAAATCTGGAAGAAAAACTCAGTTTCAGGCTATTTTATTTTTTGTTAGGACTCCTTGACCCAACTCTGATAATAGAATTTTTAAAAACAGGTCAGAAATGACCGGTAGAAAATAAATAGATCGCAAAAAATTGCATCATTTTGAGATTGCGATCTCAATTGTCACTTTTTCAATTTCAAGATCTTGATCGCAAAACTTGAGATCGCGGCCATCCTTGGCAATATTTTCCTTGCATTTTGAAGATTTTTGTTGATTAAAGCTAGATTCTTTAAAAGTTAAAATCTAAAATTATTTTATTTTTGAACATTGTTCTTGAATTTTTTTCAATCAGCCATCATCGAATCACTGGCATATTTGTCAATCAGCTCCTGTTTCTTCCTCTTCAGAATTGCAGCTTCAATGTCTTGTTGTGAAGGAACGGGCACATGAGCAATAAATCTTGACAGTTCTCCAGTTCCCTCAGTGGGGTACGAGGTCATTTCTTCGTCAGACTACAAAAAAGAAAAACAATATGTACATTCGTTCTCCATTGAAATAAGTTTGCTTACATTTTCTTCAACTTGTGCATAGTAAATGTCCTCTTCTTCGTCGGGCTTTGCACCTGTTGTATCTTTCTTGCCTTTCCACTCCTCAATTTCTGCTGCAATTACTGAAAAAACCAAATATTTTTCAAAATTCATGCATAGATTTTCATATTAGTTGTTGTACCTTTGCGTTCAATTTCTTGCTCTCTGGGAATCAAAATTCCGTCATCATCGTCTCTGTATCCATAATAATCAGCATCGATCTCTCTCATCAACTCGCCCCTAGTCTTTTTAGTAGGAGGCGGAGGCTCTTGTTCAAATAATTCTTTGACACCTGAAAAATAGTGTTATTATTTTAATTCAATTTGGTGTCTATAAGTATAACCAGGTAGTTCTTTTGCTGCTCCAAAATATTTATAGCCTCTGTTTCCAGGCACCTCTCTACCCTCGTGGTCTAACATTTTGGGGCCCGTTCTTGCATAGTCCGGACCACCTAGTTCCTTGATTTGCGCCTCCCAGTGACCTTTTTCTCGGAGAAGTTTGTTGATTTCATCGTTCAGATCTCTAATGCGGAATTCACCCAGGCCGGCTAGAATTTTAAAGACAAACAAAAGTGCATAACATGTTTATAAAATATTATTCAAACTACCATTTTGTATCTGGGTAACTTTCTTGGCAATTTCTCCAATGACCTGTCTTCTCCATTTCTCGCACCACCGTAAATTTTTGCACTCAGACGCCAAGTACGGTCGTCTGAGGGTTTTCTTTTTCCAGTCATCAAGCTGAGATGCTCTCCACCGAGCAAGTGTCGTCCTGAAGAAGCATTAAAATACATAAGTGAGGAGATCGTCAGATCGTATGACATAATGTATGTATGTATAAAAATTTAAATCAAAAGCAAAGAGATAAATATATGTACTTACATAGCCTTCTCTGCATTTCGTGCCTGAAAAAAATTAAAGCAATAAATAATACATGAAAACACATTTAAATCGCTAATATTAGCTTATTACATTGAGAATTACTAATTAATTCTAAAACGTGTTTGCAAAAAGCCGGCAAACTCATTCCGTTGTTATTATTACAGCAAAAGTTCTTACCATTTTAATCTATCCACGGGGGAATGGGGAATTTTCTGAATATTTATTTTGCGAGAAGAATGATTTTAGATAATTAATATGCTAAAAGTAGAGATGGATCGGGTAAATTTCAAATACTGCAGTCAAATCTTCAAATTTCTCACGAAAAAACAGAAAAAACAACGCAACAACACAAGCTGATGCGCCGAGTGAGGGGAAGAAAGGGGATGGGTTATCAAACACCAAGGAGGTTTTCGGAAAAACGTTTTTAATTGGTGGAAATCTATTGCTATTGTTTCCCCTCCTCTCTATGTTTGGATTTGGAAGACAAATTTGGAAGGTTTTTGTGGCTGCAATCATTTCTGCTGGATAAATGTTCTTATTTTGTTGAAAACTTTTCATGTGACCCTCTCGCTGCTTTGCAATCAAATATTTGAAGGTATGTAAAATAGATTTATGATTATTTATCTGGAAGAAAACTTTGAGTTTAAAGTTTTGCTCCTGTGCCAAATGTAGAAATGTATCAACTGCCTAAAAAAATTAGGGAGTTTTCGCATTGTCCCTTAATTGAGTTTTATTTGTACCCTTATTGGGTGTGGACATAATTTACCCTACGCACTTACAAACATAAAATGTTTTTATTTATTTTTACTAATCTCAAGACTGTATGATCCAGGAACTTAATTTCATCTTATTGACACTGTGATGAATGAAGAAGCTGCCGGTGGGGACCCCCAGCAGGGTTGGAAGCCTAATCCGGAGTTTCTCCAAACTCTAATGAGTATGGGGATTGAGAGAGCAGCTGCTGAAACCGTAAGATTTCAGATTAAAACGGTATTAGGCAATTTCCTGGATGTTTATATTGCAGGCCCTTCAAATCACAGGCAACCAGTCTGCAGAACTTGCTGCCAGCTTTTTGTTTGACAATGAAGAGGACTGGGGCATGGCAAGCGCGGTAGGCGGGCCTGGCGATGACACTGTATCTCAAAATAGGGTTCAAATCGATCCTCTCGATGACTGGACCTCAGCCCCACCAGTGGAGGTTGTGACGAACGTGGTTGGGGCAGGAGACTCGAGCAAAATGGTTTTTGTTATCAACACCGAACTGAGCATGACTCCAGGAAAAATTGCTGCTCAGGTAGAATTACATAATAATGTGCTTCAATTAAAATTGCTAAATATTTTGCTCTTTGTGAATCCAGGTGGCACACGCAGCTTTGGCCTTGCACAGGAAACTTCAGTATATGTGCTCAGCGGGAACTGACATATTGACACAGTGGGAACAATCGGGGTAATTTTGGTAGTTGTACAATGCGATTTTGTGTTAAATAATTTCTTTGGACAGTGAGAAGACCGTAGTGCTGAAGTGCAATAATTTTCCTGAACTAAAGAGGCTCCACGAAAAAGCAGATTCAATGAATGTGGCCAACTGCATTATCCATGACGCTGGTCGTACTCAGGTAATAAAATTGATTTTAATTTATCTCTACCTTTTGAAGACTTTTCAAGTGAATTAAATATAACTTTTATTCTTTTAGGTTGCCCCGAACTCGGCAACAGTTATGGGATTGTTCGGATCTGAAAAGGACGTTGATGATATTACTGGCTCACTCTCACTGCTGTAGAGAAAGTTGCTTCAAGCTGAAGGATTATACAATTTTTTGGGATTTTGTTGACCCCTGCTACTGCTTTGCTCTTTTCTTATTTTGCGCAACTTGTATTAATTATACCGCAAAGTGAGTATTGGCCCATTTAAACATTCCAGGCTTAAAGAAATCGAGCTACAGCATCCTTGCGTACCTTGCATTATTTATGTAGATTGTACATAAATTTTCATTTATGAATAAAACGAGCGCATTGCCGCAATAGACTTTAAATTTATTTTATTATAAATAATTGTAGCTTTGCTTTCAAAAAAGCAGTCCACTCTAGATCTTCATTCGTCAGTACTCATCAAGACTCCAGAGAGAACTTTGAAAGAGCTCTCCACTGAAAAGATCATATTAATTAAATAAAATGACTAGTTCTGAAATAATTATATAATTTTACTACATAAAATTCACTTTACGTAGTTTTCCTTCAAGACGCATACCTTTTTCTGCAACAGCAAATTTTGCATCCACCAGGCAAGACTTGAGTTGGCATCCAGTTCCAACGACAGCTCGGTCGCAAATTAGGCAATCAGTCAAAACGGTGCCTTCCTTAATAGTTACACCATCCATCAACACTGAACCACTGATCGTCACATTCTGTTCAATAGTGCAAGAACTGCCTATGGAACTCCGCTCGATTTTTGAGCCTTCACCAATGCTACAGTTGGCACCAATCAATGACGATTCAATCTAAAAAAATACAATATTCAAATATTTGTTTAAATACTTTCCGGAAACTATAGTAAACCCTTTTTGTTCTACTGGTGCAAGAAGAGTCGACACGGACCAGTGGCCTTCCCCTTGCCAGCCGTTCCCAGTTTTCTGTGCTCAAAATCTGCCTATTTATCTCACAATAAGAAACAAGGTTGTTCACTTTGAAGCTGCTCCCTGTTGGAGCAATGTATGCAAAGCAGCGCAGGCGATCTTTTAGATAAGGTCCAAAAATGGAGTTCGGATGATCGTGATAGCCAGTGCAAAGATCAATTTTATTCTGAAGTTCATCAACAACAAAGTGCTTGAAGAATTCTGTGAAAATTGATAAATAAAGCTAAAAACTAGAACAAATTTTTAGTCTTACTGTGCGTTTCTTCAGTCTCGTCGTTTTCATTGGTGTCAGCATCCAATCTCATGAGCACACCCTCTTGACACTCATTGACTTTGTTGAGCCGAGACATTTGCTGCTTGATTATGTAGGGAAGTACTTCTCCCTTCAAGGACATGTCAGAACTGGAATAACAAGTTGGGTTTTAAATATATGTTGCACACTTAATTTTCATTATTAATTTACTTTTCTTCACTGATAATGAAGTTCCAAACTCTATTATTAATGATGAAAAAGTGTCCATCTGTCAAGCGGCTTTTGATTTCAATGCTTCCAAATTTCCTCAACAATCTCATTCTAACATTCATTGAATCGTCGTGATCCATGGCCGAGGTTAACATCAACAGTCTCTTATGTTTGTCAAGTACAACCAAGTCACGATCTAAAAAAAAATAAAATATAAACATAAAAAAAAAATAAGAAGAAACCTGTTCTGTTCTTTGACTTGGGGCCTGGCACGGGCGCCGAATCAGAAATCGAGGGAAAGAAAAAGGATGTTACTCCGGATCCAGTCGTTCGGTGCAAATTGATGATTTCACTAAGGGATTGGTCAGTGACAAAGTCACAACCAAGCACAATAACATCTTCTTTCCACTGCAGGAAGAAATATGTAATAATATTTAATAAAAAAAATTTGATATTCACACCTCTCCAGGGATTGCGACTTTTTTTAAAGCATCCGCTGTTCCTAAATCATCAGATTCGCGTATGGTGTAATACTTGCACTCAAGCCTGAGGCCTAACTTTTCAATGGCCTTCTTCACTTCAGCATGCTGCACGTCCAAAGTAATAATCGTCACCTCTAAAAAAATAGGGGCAAATAAAATAAAATTGAGGCATTGTGCATTGACAGATAAAATAGCTTGAAAAATATTTTATTGATAATTCAATTTCCAAACCTTGAAAGCCTTCTCTTTCAAGCAGGGACAATGGAAACCAAATCAAAGGACAATTTCCGACAGGCAACAAGCATTTCGGCTTGTTGTTTGTGATGTCTCTCATCCTTGACCCCGAGCCAGCGGCAAGCAGAATCACACGGAACTCTTTGCCGTACATTTTCGGAAGAGATTAATGATTATTTTGCCCTAAAAGTGAACAAAACTCTTCGACACTGCTACACGAGAAAAGCTGTTGTTTACTTTTTCGCACATATGGTGTAAAAAATGTACACATGGCATCACTTTTGTTATGACAAGTCGCAAGTTCACAGTTGTCGTGCGTGGTACTTTCTTTGTTCCCCTGTTGCGTTGCGGGGGGAATTCATGAACCGAAACTGTGCGTGTGACGTTGTGCGCAACATCTGTGAAGATGCTTTACTCCTTGATGCTTTATTAGAAAGGGGAGGAGCCATACATATTATACACAAACAAAACAAAAAATTCAATTCAATTTCTGCAATTCAATTTTAGATTGCTCTATTAGATTTGAAGATGTCTGGAAGAAATGCCTTTTTCTACGTCGACAACGCATATTATGCAGCCTTGGAAGATTTAGAAGACGAATTGCCACGACTTCCAAGCAAACCGACCAATCCTTTGGAGCTCATTGACAAGAGAACCTACCTGGCGCGGAAGAGTCAAGCCGACAATTTGAAAAGCCTGAAAGACCTCTGCCTTGAAAATGTTGCTAGGAACATGGACAAAATCTGGTGTAAGGACTACGTCGAAAACTGGTGTGGACAAACACTGACCTTTTTCCTTGGTCCCTTTGAATTGCTAGGTAAAATTTAATCCACGAGTATGTATGCATTGCAATTAGAAAATTAATTTTGAAAATTATACTTTAGCCGGCAGATGCATTTTTGAGCTGATGGAATTACTGAGGTCGAAGAATTGTCTGCATTTCCGATACCTGCCAACCTTAGTGACAGGAAACTTGGCCGCTTTAAATTTGAAGAACTTTAAGAATATCAATAGAATTTTGACTCCAATCAAGCATAGATGCCAGGTTCACACATTAAAAGTTTCCTGAATGAATGCAATTTAATCATGAGTTTTTCTCGCAGAATAATTTACGTATTCTGAACTTAGAAAATTGCCTTGGGATGACGGAGGCAATTTTGTCATCTGCCCTCGAGGGTTTGAAAAGGTTGGAAGAACTGAACCTTAAAAGCACAGGTGTGTCAAATAATATTTTGGAAACGATTGGATTGTGTGCATTCCCTCTCAGGTATTTTCTTATTTTTTTTTTTTTTTTGTGTTGCGGTCATTTATAAAATTTAATCGGTAGATATCTTCAATTGAGTGACAATGAAAAAATAACAAATGAGGGGATAGAAAAACTCTGCACAAAACATCTTTCGCTCCACCTTTCTGCAGTTTTACTGGATTTCACTAGCGTCGACATCGAAGGACTGTTTAAATTGATCGAATCATTACCAAAACTCCAGGTTTTAGATCACATATCAACAACAGATGCAGTTCTGTGTTGGAGACTCAAAAATATGGACAGCGACAACAACGTACTAAAAATCAGGCAGTTGAAACTTGACCCTGGGATTTACAGCATTGATGAGCTCTGTGGAATTGTTACGACCTGCCCTAACTTGACTGATATATCATTTGCCTCTAGTGCACCAATAGATTTCAATGCCGCCTTGCCTTTTCTGGACGCAAAAAATCTTTCAATGTTTGCGTCTAATAACAGTTTGATACCAGATAGCTCTTGGTTTATGCATATGGGTCAGTCTTTAATAAAAATTGATCTTCGGGGCAGAAACTCAAGCAGCTTACAATTTGACTTGACTGTGATTGGAAAATCGTGTCCCCTTCTGCAGTTTTTGAAGACTGAGAATTTGTATTTGACGGAGAGCACTGGCCAAACTACAAAGATGTTTGAAAGCTTGACTTCCCTATCTTTGCAAAACCAAAGGTTGAGCAATTGTGTTCCAAGCACACTTAAAATTGTAGTTACACATGCTTTCAATTTGAAAAGTATTGAACTGACCAGATTTGAACTCATGGACAGATTTTTTGAAGAATTATTTGTAGAAAGCAGTTTGGATCACAAAATACTTGCAAAATTGCAAATTTTGAGCTTAGTTAAATGTGAAAACGTGACTGATAGTGGTCTAAACCACCTGATTTGCTGCTCTCCAAATCTCTCAGAAATTCACTTTCATGAGAATGCAAACTCGTACATGATTGACAAAATTGTAGAATTCAACAAGTTAAAATTAAGCATCCTCTGTGATAAGTCAGTTGAAGATGTAGATTAAGTGCTTTCTCTTGTCCTGTTCATCACAGGAAAAATGAAATGTAAATTTTTAAATTTTAAAGGTTTTTTATGAATCAGAAAAATGAATGAATTTTTATTCCTTACATATTATCATTATTTTTTGTCACATAATTTATAAGTTCATCGCATAGATCTTGTCTGGAGAATTTTTTCCTGCACACACCCAGTAGTTTGGTCAAAAGTTCAATGTCAATCATACCAATGACTCTGAGTGTATCTGGAAAATGTAAAGTTTTAAATAGTTCAAAGAAACAAAGAAAATTAAATTACCCAAAACGGCAGCTGAATAGTTTAAATCTTGGTCATCAAGGTGAATGAGGGCCGTCTTGTACAACAATTCAAGGTGCGATTTATAAGAGGGTGGCACATGATGAGGCAGTGCTGCTTTCACAACTCTCAAAGCTTGAAGGCGAACTTCTGCTTTGACGTCATCTAGTCGTTCAGCGGCAACTGCAATAGAAAGAAATGTTACACATGATATTATATTATTTGTATAGTTTGTTCTTAAAACCTTGCACAATTCTAAAAGTAGTGTCAAGATCCAAGAGATTTAATTTTTTCCATCTGAGACACAAAATTTCAAGGACTTGTGCTGCTCCAAGGCGTGGTTGGTTAGACATTTCTTCTAACATGGTCATGAGAAGAGGAGGGAAATTCGTAGCCATGTGAGCAAATATGCTATCAGGTACCTCTGGATCACTGACAGCAATGACAAGTAAAACCAGAGCCTGCGATCTTTTTGCCTCAGCCACTCTTCCTGCCGACCATTTCAAATTTGGTTGAATAAGCCCTGAAAAATATTTTGAAACAAATTAAATGTTTAAATTAAAAATTAAATACAAGAAGAAAAAAAATACCATTAATAAGTGAGAGCAGAATTTTCTCTGGATCAGCAGCACAACTTTCCAAAAATTTCCACGAAAGGATTGGCATTGCAACTCTTACCATGTCAGCCAGGTCCACCCCAGTAGTCGCATGTTGTCCCCAGGTAATCAGGATATCTACTACCAGTGGCAGGTACACACCAATACCAACACCTTTTAAGTTTATTAGTTTATGACAGATTACAAATTAAATCTAGATTTTACCAGCTTCTCTTGTGAATGCTATGAAAATATTCTTTGGTGCGCAGTATTCAGTCCACACAGACACTGTTGATAGGATTGGTGTCAAAATTTCTTCTCCGTATAGCTCAAACAATTTTGGATTACTCGTTTCCAGTAAATCAACCAGATCGTTCACTAAAACTAGTAGGAAAAATGAAAACTCGATTTTATGAAGAAAAAAAACTATTCAAAAAAATGTATATAAGATAGTTGCAATTCATTTTTTTTACCTTTTGAAGCAGAGCTGATGTCCAGGGACTGTGAATTTCCCATCAGATTTAACAACACAGTGAACAAAGAAAGGGACGAAGCTCTATCAAAAGCTTTTGTCTCATCAGATTTTGCTCGTCTAGCTGCATACAAAGTGTTTGCCGTGCAATTCAGCAGAGCATTTTGGTACGAGAGCTGGATTAAACAAGAGATGAGAGTTAGTCAATTTTAAATTACAAGGTTATTTATTTAGTACCTCCATGTTGGTATTGACAGATTTGCAGAGAGCCTGGCAAACAGTTGCGAGATACGGCTCTTCGAGAGTAGTCAAACCTTTCAGGGCTGCAGAGAGGCAACAGAGCTGGCTCATGGTAAGCTCGTCTTGTGGAATGGCAACCTGAAGAAGCGCATTTTCGGGCACAAAATATCCTAGCAGGAAAATGCATTGCTCAATCTGAAAATTTCAAGTTTAGAAAATGTATTGCATACACTAAGTTTTTAAATTTCAAGTTAATTTTTAATCAGCTTAAAAGTTATGATATGAATAAATATTATTATTTTATATTCAGTTTATCAATAATTCATTACCTCTCTGCAAAATTTTTAACAAAAAACACGATTGTTTTTTATAAGTTGTGCTCTACTCGACAGTCTTAATAATATCCTCCATCATGCAACATTATAGACCTTGATTATAGAGATATTCAGGATATTAATAATTATAGGCACAGCCGCACAAGAGATCTGATATTTTTCTTGACTTGAAAATTGCTGGAAATTTTTTGCTCTCGTCTAGGAACGCCGATTGCCGTCTGCAACCTAACTAATTACTAATATAATTATGAAATATTTTTTTTAATTTTTAGCAATGCAGTTGATTAAATATTTAATCGATATCTCATCGAAATATTGAGTTAAAATTAATTTTAGGCAAAATTTTTTTAATATATCATTTATTAATTTTTAATTATCTTTATTAAAATACCCTTACTTTTGTTAATATTAGTCAAATCAGAGATTTCATTCAAAGTTTGGCGTGTTCCAAATTTTGCCAGGATCGAAAGTTATATTTTGTATAATCAAATTTATAATTTATGCAACAAAAATTTAATTTTAATCCAATACAAGCAGTTCTGCGCTAATCACTTTCCAAAAGGCCGAGTGACGCTGCCATTCGCGATCAAAAATCTGTTTTGAGAAAATAATTGAATTATAAAAGTGATATTGAATAAGGTGGGATGGGAATTATATTGTTTATGGGGAATAGACTATTATTAATTCGTTTCTGTGGGCCGATCCTGGCGGTACTGCAATACCAGGCCAACCCGTGTCAGGAGTGGAGCAAGCTCCTAGCATCCCGACAATTTCCAAAAATCAGTTTAATATTCTGGACCGGCAATGCCGGTCGTATCAGATATTAAGCTGATAAGAACAGATACTACACTTTGATCTTAGCCAAAAGGCCGAGAAGCGATAACTTTTAAGAGGAACATTTAGGGACCCGACGAACGCTCATTGCTCAGTTGCACGTCCGTGGCTCGAATCTATTTTGCTAACGCTTACATTGCAAAGCCTTATTTTACAATGAACTGAACATCATAACTAATTCTATACTTGATTGTTTGTAAAGAATTAATTAATTCATGAAAATATGAATTAATTATGTGTTTAAAATTGTATTAAGTAACAAGTTTTTATCCTAATTTATAAGTGACACCTAGCGGTCGACTATACTACTTCAGACCTGTTGGCGCTGTGCACTGCTTGGCAACGCCAATCATGTTCGTAAATTTCTATAGCCGAAAATGAGAAGAAGCAATAGCACTTGCAATAGCAATAGCACGCATGTTTTAATATCTTATATGTTTTTTTTTTAATTGTAAAAATAGTTAAAAATAGACACATTTTCTTTCTGATATATAATAAAGACTGGGCTTCCAATGTTCTTTCCTCAGACTATTCAATTCAATTTTGAATATGTGTTAAAAACAATAAAATATACAAAATATATATTTTTTTAAATAAATCATATTATGTATTGCTGTTGTGACAATTAAAAAAAAAAAAAAAAAAACAAGTAGTTCTGATATTGCACCGTTTAGGGAAATGGAGGCAACAATTGCTTCAAAATGTGTGCACCAAATTTTTTTAGTAAAAATGTTATAAAAAAATTATATTTTGATTATTTTTGCAATGTATATATACATAAAAAATTAAACCAATGAATTTGTACTTACATTTTTCTGCATGAGTTGATCATTAGGGTCAATGCACTTGAGGCAGAGGTCAGGCCACAATCGTTGCAGATGCTGAATACATTTACTTTCAAGGTGTCTGATTAGTTGGTACAGGAGACTAGCCGACTGCATTCTGACGCCAGCATTCCAGTCATGGAGCTCTTTCAAAGTTGCAGGAATCAATTTCATTGCATTTTGCTGAATTAAAACACGACATCCAATCCGAGGACGAGGTTCTACTAAATTTACAACATATTTTTAATATTCTTCATTTATAGGTAGAAAAACTAAAATACCTTTTAAAGGGTAGTTGGGGAGATTTTTGATGCCATAATCAAGTTCGTTTTTTAACTCGTCTTCGTTTTCCATCTCGAACAGCCGCCCTGCTTTATCCCAAACAGTGAATGCGATTTCTCGAATTTCAGGCATTTCATCGTCCATTCTATTTAAAATGGTCGAAAAATAAGTTGGCAAAATAATTTAAAAAATAAGATATCAATAATTACCCTATGATCACCAAAGGGATGATTCGGCAAAACTGTGAATATCTGTCTGGTAAGTTGCAGAGCCAGTCACCACCAATACTGACAACTGCTTTCCTAACTGCAGGGGAAGAGTCGTAAAGACGTTCAGCAAGCACCTGCGCAACTTTTTCCACCAGGTTATGAGTACCGTACTGGATAACAACTCCTATAAATTAGAAATTGACTTATATGTCAAATAATAAATTAAATTTCTATCTAACCAATGGTGGATATGGCGGCAGCTCTGACTCTGCTGTGTTTGTGAAGAGCCACGGGGATCAAAGATTTTAAATAAGTTTCACACTGCACATGAAAATTTTTAGGCGCTGACAGTACGAGGTCCTTTGTGCAATCACAACAGGCTGACTTCACATCTGGAAAGTCATCTGCAAGTCCAGAACACAAAACCTTGCTCAGGTCATCCAGGTAAGGGATAAGATTGCATCCTTTGGCCTTTTGAAGGGCACCAGACAAAAGTTTAAACAGCAACAGGCGAATTTCCTCAGATGGCTCTTTGTTATCCCCAGAAGAGATTCTCTTGACAAGGATGGTCAGCAGGAATGTTAAGAAGGGTTCGATTGATTGAATTTCCGGCAAAAAATCACTGACCAGCATAACCGATTGTTCGCGACACGCTTCAGACGGGTCATTGAAGGCTCGGAGAAGATCTTTGAAAATAACTTCAACCGCCTGGGCCAACTTTTCGTGCGGCAAATCATTCAGATGTGATCGAATTTTTAAAATACAGCGTTTTCTTGCAACTTTGTTTTCATCACTCAGTCCTCGGCACAAGCTAATCAGGGCTTCCTGTTCAAACTTGGCTGTTTCGTTAACATTCGATTCCTCAGACGGGCTCTCCATATCAAGAAAACGCTATAAAAAATAATACATATAATTACATACACAATATAATTTATATAAGTAGTTAATGACGTTAATAAAGTATGAATCAATATTATTTAATGAATACATAGACCAACCAGTGTTTGTCAGCAATTCGCCAATTTAGTCGTTTGTAAAAGATTAAAATGAATGAAAATACGTATGAGGAGTTCGTGATCAATTTGGCAATTTGGCGTTGGCCTCTAAACTCTAAACAGATTAAATTTTAAAATCAGTCAAAACTTTTTGCTGTCAATCTTAAGATTCAATATTTGAGCGATCGAGGATCGAGCTCCGTTCAAGTCAAGCGTGTTGATGTTGATGTTTGTTTTTGTTTGTAATCAAAGGAATCCGTTTCCTGCGCGCTGATTGGCTCAAAGGTTGCTAGAATACCACTGGCACGCCCTCTTTTGTCGACAAAAACTTGCAATGTTTTGATCGAGGTGCCGCAGTTTCTCGTCTCCGCACTCCGCACCTCCGCAGTCGGCTACGAAACGAACCAAACGAACTTTCGTTCAATATGGGGATTGGAACTCCACAGTCACGTGACTGAATTTTAAGCCACGTGACTCAAAAATCTATTTCTGATTGGTGGAGCTACGTTATCACCCCACATTCTTGTGTCCAGTGTCCATGTTTAGATTTGATTTTCGCAGCTTAACTCGCCTATTTTATACATAATCATAATTCTAGCAAAATAATATCGGATATGTACATAAACATTAGATTGTAATGAAAGAACTAATTATCTAGGGCAGAGGGTGCATTAATCAACAAAAGTTCGTCATGTCTGCATCTGCTGCAGAGATTGAACTGGCTGAAGAGCAGGGAGCTGAAGAGGCTGCAGAGCAAGGAAGAAAACAAGGCATGTTCATATTTATGAAAGGAAAACGATTTAGAAAAAAAGGAGAAAAAAATATTTAAAATGCACAATGATACAAATGATACATGAAGCATTCACTGCAAAGCTCACACATATTTTCAAATTTAATTATACAATAGCAAACATAAATTAATTTAAATTTGCAAGCTGTTTGCAAGTGAAAAGTATGCATGAGTTTTACATAATATGTACCTTAACAATAATATTTTTTTTGATTTTTAGGAAAACAGTCAACAAGCAAGGCAGAAAACAGCATGCAAGTGAAGCCCTTAAAAATAGAAAATGAAAGCACAGAATGGCCTCTGCCTCCTAATAAGTGGGGAAACAATTACTGTTGCGTTCGAGGTTGTCCAAATCGAAGAAAGTACCATCAAGTCAATCATGTCTACGGAATTTCCTTCCACAGTTTTCCACGAAACCCTCATACGTAAATTCTATAATATATGATCTGTTATTACATGTCACAAACTGTTATCCTGTTGATTTCAGGTGTAAAAAGTGGTTGGATTTTTGTGACAACGAGAATTTGGATGCATTGTCGCTGGATCGTGTTGCTAACCGTCTGTTTGTCTGCTGTTGGCATTTTGACTCCAGCGAAATCTCACATGACAAAAAGAATAGGCTTGCTTTCACTGGTCTAGTGCCTCATTTAAGGCCACCTCGGCCAAAAAACGTCATTGAAGTTTTACCAGGCGACGAAAGGCTAAAAGCAAACCATTCAGATGATCCCAGCAACACGAAACCAGAAAGCAATTCAGAAGGCCAAGGCCCCTCAGAAACTGAAATTTCATCCTCAAGCCCGTAATAATTATTTAATTTACCTTAAAAAAAATAATTATAATTTTATTTTGAAGAGTGTACATGGCAACCCGACCAATTCCGTCAAAAAGGGCAAAAGGGACACTTAAAGTCACAAACATGGAAGCCGAAGTGACGAAAAAACCTAATACTGTTTCTATCTTACCCAATCCTACCCAAGGGTAAGGAAACCTGACTGTAATTTAACATTTTTCACATTCAATTCCATTAAGAATGGTGCTGTTGAAAAGGGATGTTGCCACTGGTACTTTGACTCCAGTCCCTGGTGCTCCAATACCTAAGTTGCCAGTTCCCAAAGTTGCTAAGAGGTTGGTTTTATTTGCATACTTAATTATTGTAATAGCTATAATTATAATTTTTTTCTTGTTGATTATTAGGGTCACAATTGCACAGCGGGCAATACATCCGACCCTGGGTCCTGGTATAGTTCTGCAGCAATTGTCTCCTGCAATACAAGGGGACCCAACAAAGAGATTGATTGCTCCTAATTCTGTTATTTTCTGTCAAAATTCCAAGAGGTAGATTTTTAACATATTTTGGTGCATTAAAATAATTGGTTTCTTAATTAAATTAGGCTGGTGAAAGTTCACGAGGTAGCCAATGATATGGAGGTCGAGGTCCCTGGCAAGGAATCAGAAAGTCCCTCTAATTTGGAAAGGTATAATTTTTTACTATGTTAATACATTATTTATCAAAACGCCTGTACCTGTAGCTCACCTGCACCAGGTCAACCTAGTGGTGGTGTTGAAAGGTAAATTTTGTATAAAATCCCATAAATTCAATTAAAAAAAAAATAAATAAAAAAATAGGGTGGTTGTAAAGAGGCATGGTGTTGACACTTCAGCAAGACTGATCTATAGTCTTCTTGGAAATAGCCTCACAGGAGCTGTGCCCCTAGATGCCGTCGTTTCTGCTAGTACAGTACTGCCGTCAAAGCCTTCCAACCCATCCAAACCCTGTAACACACCTAATTCTTCCAAACCCTCTAGCCCTTCTAAACCCTGCAGTCCCTCCAAGTCTTCTAAAAATCCCAAACTTCCACTCATTAGCACGCAAAGGTTTGACTTAATTTAAATTGGTGTTAAGAAAAAAATTGCAAAGGATCAATAATTTTCAGGGTGCTAAAAAAGATTCAGACAACAAATCGGCCATTTCAGCCTCAGAAGTTTCTTGGCTTGCAGAAACATGACACTAGTGCTACTTCAAACACAGAACCAAGCTCAGAGCCTGCTTCTAAAAGAATTAAAACTGATGAAAGCAACCAGGACGAACTTAAATCTGCAAGTGGTGAAGTCTCTGCAAAAACGACTGACAAGCAATCCGAAATCATTGACGAAGGTCCGAAATTGCCTGGGCTAGAGCCAATAGAAGCTTCAGATTTTAGTGCAGCTATTAGGAGAATGCCGAAGGACTTTTCTCCTTCTTCCCACCATCTTTATGCCGTCACTGATGCAAATTTATGGAAAGTTCCTATTGGTACTCTACTCTCATTCAAGATGAGTTTGCTGGAGGCTATTTTGTCCGAGAAGAGCGTGTCTAAACCAAACATTCTCAGCAGAAATCGCAACACTCCACTAAATCAGATTTCCAAAGATCAATTCCAGAAGATTAAACTGCTGGGCAATGCCGTTTTTGACAGGGGTCAACTACTGACTAAGAGTACCTTAGTTGAAGTGATTGCTTCAAAACAAGCCTACATTGTGCCCAGTACAAAGAACAAGCCGTCTAAGGTTCCAGCCAAGAGACAATTGGTACCTGAAAAAGTACTAGACAAACAAGCCTCACCAGCTTCTACTACTTCAGAAAGCTCTGAAACCTTAGAAATGGTAGACAACTGTATGCTTGATCCTGCAGGTAAATTTTATTCACATGGCATTTTTATTTAACTCGTTAATTTTGTTTACTTTTTCAGGTGACATCCCTGTTGACGAATCGGCTTTGGCGAACCAAAACTCTGAATTAAATAGACAAGAAGTCAGCCAAACCTCTTCTTCTGGTACATTTTTAGCTGATGGTTTATTTATTTTCTTTTAATGTGATGTTTTGTAGGTAACATCCCTGTTGATGAATCGGCTGCAAGCAACCAAAACTCTGAACAAGAAAAACCAGAAATTAGTCAAACCTCTACATCTAGTGCCACAAAAGTGCAAAAAAGGAAGCAAAAATCTCCAGTCAAAAAAGGGCCCATACAAAGCAAGGATAGTGTGTCGGCTCCTTCAGAAGAACCTAAAAGTCTAAATTCAGTTTTGTCTTCAACTAAGATGTTCCCTGTTCTTGGTACAATATCGGCTCTACCAGGACAGATTTCCACTCCATTAAATAATCTGGCTCCTACCGCATTGCCGGTTGTGGCCCCCCAGAGACAGTTAGTCATGCTTCCTGATGGGACACTTGGGACTTTGGTCAGCAACCCACTTGCTCCGCCTCTTGCTCCCATCAACATTCCACCACCTGCTGCTGAAGTGCCAAAAGAGAATGAGCAACAACCGAAGAAGAAAAGGTCGGTTGCTACTCCAACTTCAATTCGTATTCCACCCAGTGTCACAGCAGCTCTCAAAGAAAAGCTGCCAATGCTTGTTGGCAAGGAGGGAGAACTGCGAGTCTCTAAAGGAAGTTTCCAAAGTATCTTGAATGCACTTGACGAGTTGCATTACCGAGTCGATTATCGTGGCCATGTTGTGCCAAAATTACAGAAGAATTGCAGGCGCATCGCTAACGTAATACCAGGACGAATTGCAAATGGTCCACCCAGAGACCTGAAGCAAGAGGCTCTTGATAGAGAGGCCAAGAAAGAAGGTATTTATTTTATTTAACACATTTCCTATTGAACTAGCTATTAATTATTGTAACTATATAGCAAAAAAACGAGTCCCCCGCAACCGCATCAAAGATTCCGTGGAAAAAATGTACAGGGAAATCACTTTGCTCCGGCGCAGAAACAAATACCTTGCTGCACAGATGGAAAAAATGAAGACTAAGCCACTTACCAAGCAGCAAAAACGAAATGTGACTATTGAGACAATGAAGGAAGTTTTCAACAAAGAGCAATTTATGTTCTTCATGAGCCAGTTGGAAAACGCTGGAAAGTTGGGAGGTTCTGGAAACCGATACGAACCAGAGCTGTATGAGTACTGTGCCTCAATTTACCTTGAAAGCCGTAGAGTGTACAGGAAGTTGAGGACCACTTTCCACTTGCCTGCTCACCACAGTCTGGAGAAGAACGTGCCCGAACCGAAGTACTTTGTACTGCCCAAAAGGAAACAGTATCCCAAGAAAAAGACTTACACTTACCCCAAGAAAAAGGCTCAGCAGCAAGATGGAGAAACTTCTGTGAAAAGCAGAAAACAACCATCTGCTGGAGGTGGCGGAAAGAAAGAAACCAAGGCCAGGCCTAAAAAAAATCCCAAGGGGTATTATTTTATATTATATATTTTTTTTTTAATTTTTCCTTAACTAATTTTCCTCATAGGAGCAAAAAATCTCTGGCCGAAATTGTGCAAGAGGCCACTGTGGAGGATCAGCATGTCTTTAATGATGGTATATATCAGGATGACTACAGGTAAATTATTACTTTTATTTGCAATGGAATCAAAATATTAAATTAATAATTTTTTTCAGTGGAATTCATGATTTGCTGCAAACGCTATGATCTTCCAAATTTAGCAAGAATTTAAAATATTTGTTACACAAAGGATAAAATAAATCAAATACATATTATACAAAAATTACTTTACTATTATGTTAAAACCGTTCACATACTCATGATCATGAAATTCTGAAATTCTACCACAAGTTTAAGGATAAAAAAATATAGAGCAGCTATTTATTTTCATAAGCTATTAACTTCTGTTAATTTTTATTTATATTATTGTTGAATTTTTATAAAAGGAAAGTTGAACAGATTTTTTAATCTTGCTTTTGAGAGGAGATTTTGACTTGACTGGCACTGGATATGGTTAAGTTGGCAGCTCTTCCTGAGTCACTGCAGCTGTAATTTTGCCATAACAAAACAGGAATGGCGACTTACAGTTCGTGTGAGAGTTCTTCAGCACCCATAGACTTCCATTTATCCTCGTCGACGGACGACTACACCTGCAGGATTTCGACTAATTACCAGAAATGTCCATTGTGTAAAAAATCCCGCTGCAAATTCTACTGCAGGGACTGCGTCAGGAGCGGAGACTTTGTCCGTTCGACTGCGCCCATGGTGGACAGGTAAAGTGCAATTTTATTAGTAATTACATACCTGCAATGATTACCCAAGACACTTTACTTCTCGCTTGTTTTAAATTCCCAGAATTAACATTAAAACTTCGTATTTTTCTCATCGGTAGGAAAATTTGAAAGTGTAATAAAAAAAATATTTATTTGTTATTAACTTATTAGCAGTTTTTAGTGACGTCTTCATTATATTATGTGTTATTGTCTTTTAATAAATATTTAAGCCAATTAATTTCTTTACGTTAAAACTCGATTTATAGTTTATTTTCTTTTTAGATATTTCTATAAAGAAATGAAATTAGCGTCTTAATTATGGGACTTTTGACGTTTTCCCATATCAATTACATATTTTTATTCTTCTCCTAACAAGTCAGAACAATCACAATCCTTTTGTATCCTAACGAGTAACGAGTTTCATCTTTTAATGTCTAAAATATTGCGTTCTATTTTTATAAGAAATAGAATTCACAGAAAACTTTAAACGTGTTTATATATGATAAGAATTTCAGCGATTCCAGTTAAATACATGACTCATAGATGAACAATGATCAGGGGCGTTCTTTATAAAATAAAAACATTTTTTTTGTAAATATTGATTGATTAATTATGATTACTTGAAAATGATTTTGGTAAAGTAAACTATAATAATGCAAAAATTGATACAAATTTTATTTTATTAATTTAAAATTTCAACGGTAATAAATTTGGTAGCTTCAATATGGTGAAATTTTTTATTTTCTTATTTATAGAAACATTTAATCAAACATAATCATGCTACGATTTTAATTATTGCTTGGGGTAATTTTATAACATTGAAAATAGTATAATTGTAAATATTTTTTTCTTTCTAAAAATTTTTTATTTAAAATTACAAAAATTTACAATTATGGGGATTTTAAGAGAGAAATCTATATTTTAATGTCGCGCTTAATTTTACAATTATTAATGAGCTGTCATTTGCCATCAACCAATTGCCTTCCTGCATTTTCCATTAGCGTCTCTGCGTGACCCCGGCGAACAGTTGAGCAGGGGTGCCTCTATGATGTTGTACACCCTCACAGGCTGGGCGCAGTTGAGCTCCATGGTGGTTTCATTGACAGTGAGGACAGTGCCCTCCTGGATGTCGTTGCAGGGGCCGCCGGTTGTGTCGAGGGGAATGCATTCGGGGCTCCTTTTGGGCTTGACCTGTCCGTCTGGACACGGGTTTCTCGTGCACTTGACCTTTTGGGTGCGTTTCGAGAAGACGAGGTATTCATTCTTGTCACAAGGGCCGCGACGGAATAATGGGTAGCATTGCTCCTAAAAATTTAAAGCAACTGTTTTATTTTTCTTAATAAAAAAAAGGAATGTTAGTTGATTCCTCAGCTTTTAGTCCAAGCCCCGGAGTTATCAACAAGAATATTTTCAAATTAATATGATTGATCATTTCTTAAGAGGTCAGGCCGAGGTTAACTTGTAAAAAATATGAGAGCAGATAAGTTGATAGTGATTTATAAAACTTTACCAAATCCCTATGACTTTTTCCTCGTTTGATAAAAATTTTGCTTTTACTTTTTCCCTTCAACCTTGATTTTTTTTATTCTATACCTTGTCGCTGGGGTTGGGTCTCCAGTAAACGTGTGCTGGTTGACAGTCGCAAACCCCTTCGCCAGTCTCTGTGATACTGACATGCATTCCTCCCGGACACCTGGACCTGTCCTTGTACTGGACGCACGTGCCGTTGAAGTGCACCGACGGGAATTTGCACTCGTATTTTTTGCACACGGGTTTCAGCCTGTCCGAACTCATAACCAACCATTCGCCTGATTCGCACGGACCTGAAATTTTTTATTTAAAATCTTCCATTTCCTTTTGTACGCCTTGAAATTATTTTTTATTATAATCTGCAGAGCATTCAAAATTCCCATCAGGAGTCTATTAACAAAATATTTTCATGGAACTTGAATAATCTACTTGGCCGCGTTATCATGCTTGTTTTTCTTTTTCTGGTTTCGTAGCCTATGTCGCCAAGTCATTTCCAAAATTGCTCCCTCCGAGAAGATGATTTTTAAACAAAAAATTCATTAGTTTTAAAAATAAAAAACTTAAAATAATTGACTCTTCAAAAAAGTGACACCGTCAAATTGAAATGAGATCATTTTTTAAATCACCCTTTGCAAGCAGCGTCTCGCACTGGCCAGTTCTCAGGAACCAGACAGTTTGGTTGAGGGGGATGGAGCACTCATGGCCAGGTCCTTCAAGGCCTTGGCGACCAACACGGCTCCTGATGGTGGCGGCTGCGGCAGGCTTGATGAATTGGATCTTGTCATTTTTGGCCAAGTCGACTGCGAAGAGGAAGATGACGATGAGCGATGCGTAGAATGTGGCTGAGTTGGCCTCCATCTCTCCCAAATGCCCCAGCAACACTGTGACCGAGACTCGGATAGCAGCGCCGGCGACCGTGACTTGATTTATTGTCGCTCCTTCGGTCAGCTATTGTTCTTCTGCTGCTTCCGTTTAAATTGTAATCAGCACTTAAATTCCGACCAAAAAAAAAACTCATTATTCTAATCGCAATTAAATTTGCATAAATTGTTTATTTTCCGCCAAGGTATCTCACACACGCACTTTATGAAAAAAGCGAATATCAATCAAATTGATGCTCTGCGCTCTCATTATTGAATACTCGCTTGACAACTTTTGCCACAGGTGGGTCAACTCATGGGCAAACCTAACCGGATCCTGTGTTTCAAATCATCTGCCGATTTAAAAATTTCCCTGTTGTCCTAGATGTTGGGAGGCAAAACGTCTTTCTAATCGCAAGACTCGAACCAAGCTGCTTATTTTAATCACACAACCAGCGCTAGTAGAAAAATGAACGCGACTTTTATTTCAGTTTGTAATCTTGATATTCACAAATAAAAATTGCTGCGTAATGGTTGGTTGAGGTTCAAAGTCAAAATTAAAAGTTTCCAATTGATTCTGCATTATAAAATTATACACGCCTAAAACTTTTAAAAATAATTCCATTTTTCCCATGTGTTCTCTTGTTTCTATTTTACTTATTTTTAATTGTTAATCTTTTGGCAAAACGCCTATCATGTCAAGTTAGTTGAGAATAGGTGCGAGTATTTATATATATTTATTTGTTGCTGTGAGAGGGTGTGTGCAAGCCAAAAATACCCGGCTGTTGTGAAATGCAGTGCGCGGATGGTGCGCAGTTTGGCTGATTCAGCTCGAGAAGAAGTGCATAAGTACAATAACAGCAGTAGCTCAGTATGTGGTGCGCGAAATGTGTCCTTCTGGAGACGGCCAGGGTGCGAGGGTCTCGTTGCCAAATTTGCGATCGCCAGCCTGCACTTGAACCCAGTAACTTTGTCCAAGAGTGAGTCGACGACCTCTCTTTTTATTAAGTGGTGCTCACGTGGCCTTGCTTGCTAATTGCACAACAAATTGACCAATGAGCAAGGGTTCCCCAACGCACACGTTAAATATGAAACGATTATTAATATTTTAATTGAAATAATTTATTTTAATAGATCAGGATTTTTTTTTCATACATGTTATTCCTTGAGAATGAGATTTTTACCAAGAAAATTTTCTGTTAAAGGTTTTCTGAAATGAAAATTCAGCTGCAAAGAAAGAAAAGACTGAGGACGGAGGTTCAAGAGAGCTGTGAAATCATTCTTCGAAAGAGAGAGAAGGCTGAAAAACTGGCGAGCAAAATCAATTTGATAAATAAGAACAATAAAATTATGTTTTTTTTTCTCAGAAAAATGACATAGATGCGTGTAAGGATCGAATAAATTTGCTGAGGAAAATCTCTTCTCAATGCAAGGAAAACATTACTAAAAGTGAATAAAAAAATATTTTGTATATACTTAATTTATCAAAACGAGCACTTCTTATTTCCTAGATAGAGCATTAGCACGGAATTTAAATGAAGTTAATAGGCAACGTTCCGAGCGGCTCCCCAAGTACCAGGAAAGAGTTGCTCGACTGGAGACGATTGCTCGCCAGTCAAATGAAAAAGTGGATGTCCACCGAAATCAACTGGTGGCCATACAGCAGAAACTGAAAGTTGTTGTCTTGAGAAGATCAGAGCAGTTGCTCAAATACATTTTTCCCATTACTGAAGTCATTCCGCCTTCGAGAAGGTAATTTTATTTTAATAAAAATAGTAAAAATAAATCATTAAAAAAAAAATTTCACAGTGAATATTCTGACGGTCTAGAGGATTCGGTCACAAGTGCAATAGCTGAAGCTTCGCAAATGACCTTTGTTAGAGGTCAATGGGTGTCCAGTGATTGCTCTGGAGAGTTGCACCACTGCATCGTGGCACCAACCCTGCCCATTTCTGGCGATTATTCAGCTTACAGCATGTGGGGTAATTATCTCAGAATTTTTAATATCTATTTTGTATCTATATCTCTATTTGTTGAAGTTGCTGCAAATAAAGATGGTGTGCCGGGCGCAGGAGTTTCAGCCGACAAAGTTGAGCTCAACCCAGCCTACACTATATCAGCAGCACTCACCTACACTGCTCAGCTAGTCAACGTTCTTGCCTTTTATTTGGACGTCCGACTACCTAGAAAGCAGTACTACAGGTTGATATATATTTTACTAAATTTGATCTTCATCTGAGGGTTATAAATTTTCAGTGGAGATTTTGATGAATGGTTAAAGCTTTGAAATAGAGATTTTAATACATAATTTTAAAAGTACCATATTTTTTTAGTGATTTTTGTCAGCATGAGATGACGGACCAGCAGTTTGCTAGACGTGTTGCAAGGCTGAACGCAAACGTTCTTCACTTATGTTTTTCGCAGAATATTTCTCCTTCTGTATTACATCCTACAAGGACCCTTCACAATTTGCTTCAGTTGTTTAACAAAGACGTCAGCGACCTTGGAAGGTATGTTGCTTGCCATGCTCAACTTAACATAAACTGAAAGTTTAAAAATTTAAGGCAAGGTCCAGTTGAAGTTGACACAGATCTTGTTCGATCCTTGGAGGAACAGTTGATTCGAGATTTAGAGGCATTTGACGGAGACGAAGAAGAAACTTGTTCAGACGGTGAAGAGGAAGATTACCTGCCAGGCGAATGGGAATCGGTAATTGTTAAAGTTTTTGGGTAAATTTGGATTTGTAACTACGAAATCGCTCAGGTTCCTTCACTGCCGTACCAAGAAAGTGGCGCTGGCGCCCTTGTCGGCCGCAGTTCGACTGATGGCAGGGCTTTGGTTTCTGCTCAGGGCAGTGCAGTTGGCACCAGCGTAGCTGGTGGACTTGTGACTAGTGCGGCTGCCAGCATTGCGTCCCTCTGGCGTGGTTGGACGGCTGGTGGCAATACCAATAGGTGATATTTTTGTTAAAGCGCAGATATTGTGCTGATTGTGCAAATTTAGTTTATTTCAATGTTAAAAATACTCTTTATAATTTGTGGACTGTAATAGTTCCTCCGCACATTTTTTTTTTATCTTTGTAATGGACCAAGAACTGCAATCTTAAAGCTAATAAATACAGATTTAAGCATATAAAATATTTTGTTATTAAACTGGGTTAAGAATTTTGTAAAGATCATTATCCTTTTGGCGCACAAGTTGGTTTTGAACTTCTTTGATTTCCTCGACTTTTCGCACAAGACGTTGGACCTAAACTCACCAAAAAATTATATGAATGAAGGTGCACTATTCAAATTAAGATTTTTTTACCCTGAGCTCAACATTTAAGTCCTTGAGATCTGAAATAGGCACTTGAACGTTTCTGAAGAAGTCCTCGCAATCCGATATGATGTGATAAGATTTGAGCCTGCTCTCCAATTTCTGGTTGTGCTTGCTTGCATAATGATGCCAAGGGAGAACAACTTTTGCAGATTTCTAGAAAAGATAAAATAAAATGTAAATAAAATGATTTTCATAATGCTCATCATGTTATTAATAATCGTGCGACCAGTAGCCAAAATGTTTAATCCTTACCACTCTGTTTATCTTAGATTCTTGCATCTGCTCCAATTTTTTGGCACACTTTGCAGATTTTGACTTCCTGTATTGAGCTCTTTCGTATAATTGGTTGTAGTAAGCCTCTGAAAAAGAAAGAAAAGTTGTGTATATAAAAAAATGTCATTATGAAAGAAAATGAATTCTGTATTTAATTATATTATGCTTGTACCATCATCAGTGACATCCCCACTGGTTTTGCTCTGGGAAACTTCCTGGTTACTCATTTTGCTTAGTAGGCTACGATAAACTTGATCCCGAAATTGTTGACAGCTTTAATGCCTGTCGCACAGCTTCCTTGAGCTTCCTTCAAGTGTCCTGTATTGTATGACTATTAAACTTTTGTATATCTGTATTTTTTGTGTAGCCTTCTGCTTTGCTTATATTATTCTTTATTTACTTTACCTGCTGTTCAGCAAATTAACCCGCCAAGAAAGGAATGATTACATTTTTTTGATTGGCTGCCCCGAAGCCCCGCCCCTACAGAGGAAAGACAACTCTCCGCCGCAACGGTCAAAAATAAAAAACACGCGAAATCGAGTGGAAAACAGAAATGATCATCTGAAAACACGTTTTTTTCTTGGATTCACTTGGATAATTCTTGACAAATATCATCTGAAAAGTGTGCATTAATCTAAGGTATGCAAGGAATTTCGTTCGCGAGGAACTTTTCTTTGATAAATCATTCAAAACATCTAAAAGATAATGCATCCGCATTTTGTGTCATATTCCACGCCTGGTTTTTCAATGCCTACAGCGCCTGTTTTAAATCCATTCTGTTTCAGCTTATAAGAGATGAAGTTTTCAATTTAAATTATTTTTATTTAAAAATTTCTATAATTTTAGCACATCATGAGAGACATTGTTGTGCCAAACAGATACAATAAGGAGAATAAAACACATCATGCAGCCGGCACATCGAGGTAAAAATAAGAGATTTTATAATTATTTAAACACACCACCCAAATGTGCTTATAAATTTATGATAGGAACATTTTTAGCACTTTTTAAAAGTACCGTACCAAAACTATGCAAAACATTAATAGCAGAAAAATTTCAGCTCATCAAGACCTACTCCAACTGAGAAAAGCAACTCTTCTTTAAATTCGTCTTCAGCCAAAATCACAATCGAGATGAAAACTGCTGTCACTCCAGGCAGAAAAGATGGGTTTGCCACCCCGAAAATAACTGTGTCGCAGCACAAGTCAAGTTCATCGACGTTTCACCAAAAGAAAACACAAGTTTACAGTTCAAGTATGTATGATTGTAATATCAAAATACTCCAAACACCGTTGAAAAATTTCTCTTAATCTAATTTAAATTCATATAGCTACAGATTCTTCAACACCAGTTGGAAGCAGCAAAAATTTAGCCACGCCAAGTTCTGCTTTCAAAACACCAGACTTAGTGAGATCAAATTCTGTTAGCCAAAAGAGGAAGTTTTTCAACACTCCCACGTCAACGAAGCATCCAGACACTCCGATTCCCAAAAGAACCGCCAACCAAAGTCTTCACGCTTCCATGACTGAGACAGAGGAAGAGTGTAATGTTACAGTGGCCGTCAGGGTCCGCCCTTTAAACTCCAAGTAATACAAAATATTTAGAATCGAGCATTTAATATAAATAAAAATTATAGAGAGCGAACTGAAGGCAGCACAATCAAGACTGGTCAAGATGGACTTGTGACGATAGACGGAGCCGACGGTTCTTCCCTCAGTTTCCAATATGAGCACTGCTTCGGACCTGATTCAACGCAGATGGAGGTCTTCAGGGATCTGGTGCACCCTTTGCTCACAAAAGCCTTGGAAGGCTACAATGCTTGCTTGTTTTCCTACGGGCAGACAGGTTCTGGCAAAACCTACAGGTAGATTTAAAAATATTTTGATTATATTAAGGAATTCAAAAACTTTGCCTCTCAGCATGATGGGTGCCGAGGTTGTTAGTGGCTGCAAAGTTAGTCGAGAAGCCGGAATCATACCTCGATTTGGATTTTCCCTGTTTGAGAAAATCAACAGAGGTAAAATGAATGTATCCATCGAAGTGTCATACTTTGAAATCTACAACGAGAAAATCCGTGACCTTCTGAGTGATGACGCTGGACTGCGACAAGCCAAACCAACCCTCAGGGTGCGAGAACATCCTCAGTATGGGCCGTATGTAGAGAACCTGACCGTGCAGAGCGTCAGCAGTTTCGAAAGTCTTCAAGTACAATTTTTATTTATTGAAGTGAAAAGTTGGAACTATTTTCTTTTATCGTTAGGGATGGCTGCGCCTCGGTATCAGCAGAAGGGCCACTGCCGCCTCTGCTATGAATGACAAGAGCTCCAGGTCGCACAGCATTTTCACCATTACACTGACTCAGGGCCCCAAAAGAAGCAAAGTGCACCTGGTTGACCTGGCTGGAAGTGAGCGACTGGTGAACACCTGCGCCACAGGAGACAGACTCAGAGTATGCATACTGATCAATTTTGCAGCTGTTTAGAATTTTAATATTATATAATATTATTTGTGATATTGATTTTTTTTTTCAAATTGATTACAGGAAGGAGTGAGGATAAACACGTCCCTCTTGACTCTGGGCAAGGTCATCAACGCTTTGGCCGACAAAGCAAAAAAGACGTTTGTCCCATATCGAGACTCCATGCTGACCTGGATCTTGAGCGTAAGTTTCCAGAACAATTTATTTTTATTTTTATTGACCCATAACAACATGAGGGTGCCAGTTGCGTAATAACAAAAACTTTAGTTAGTAAATTCAAATCTGTTTATTATGTCAACAATTATTTTACAAAGCTATTGCCAAAAAAGCAGAGATCCGATTGAACTTTGTGGGTCGCCAATTAGTGAAAATCAAGGGAAAAGGGAGAGCCCATGGCCACCTTGAATACAACTTGGCCACACCTGCACGACCTGCCACATTTGCAGTTTGAATTTTTGCAAAATCTGTTGACGCAGCTCTCAACAGTACCAGTGGACGAACTTCCCTTGCAGGAACAACACGAGCCTAAAATCATGTTTAGCAAAATTGATTTTTTTTTTAGTTTTGCGCTGACAAGGTTGATTATTAATAATTTTACCGCTATTGTTATTGCGCAGCTCGTCCTTTTTGCTTATCTTCGGCTTCATCTCGAAAAATCTTATCAGAGACTCGGTGCTCGCCTTTTTAACGGTTTGTTTTCACCCGTCACTGTGCCTCGTAGTTTTAGAAACTTTGGCCCAAGTGCAAAATGAACGTCATGCGCGCTGCGGTATCTCTCACTGCGCCTGCCGTGTTCGCCGACAAGGCGACTCGAGTGCACCATTGGGGCCCCAGAGCGGTTTCCCATGCAATGTGCCAAGAATAGGCTGCAGATACATGCACCGATGGCCGAGAGTCACTCGCTAAATAAAAATAGCATGATTCACTGAACTGTGAAGGCGATCGCCTGTGACTAAAATGCTTTGTCTTTAATACAAAAGACAATTAAAATTTACAAATGAATTTCTTCGAGCCAAGGGTTAAATAAATAAAATGCATTTTTTCCAGAAAATAGAAATAACTTTGTAGAAATTTATTTTTCTCTATTTGAAGTAGTTAGTTTTTTAATCTTTTAATCAGACTTTGCCGTACATTGGCCTTATCTTTTTTCCATTAGTTTTTATCCACGTTTGACAAAAATATAGAAACCTTAAACTTAATAAAATATTCATTAAACCAAAATTTAAAAAATCAAAATCAGTTTTAAAAAGTGCTAATACTCCTCAGGAGTCAACTCTCCTGTCTCTCAGGTCTACAGGGCAAAGTGTTAAGTGCGAACTGCGAATTATTTGTACAAAAAGGAGGAGCGCTTATCAGCGATTAACATTTTTTAGTCTTATCTCGGGCGCAACCAACGATCTCTTCACGTGTTTTGCACCCAATCTCTCCAGTCCATGATTTTCGCGATCGAAAATTTTTCACTTTTGCTGTTCTTGGGGTTCTTCCTCCTCTTCTTCGATCGTACTTTCGCTATCCTGCCTCGACTTTGAGCGAATGTAGTTGTTGAGTTGACGGCGCCGATTCGCTTTGCACATCGGACAGTCTTTGTGGTCTTTCGAGCCTGACGATTGTCGGTGCCTCGGTTTCTCGGCCACTGTAACAAGCAATTTTAACAAAAATTAGCGATTTCTAGCAAAAGAAATAAGATAATTTTTGTAATTTTATAAATATTTGCTAGAAAAATACTTCATAAGTTCCGAACTAAGTACTAAGATTTATTTATCCCAAATTGTTTGTATTTTTTCGACCCACAAAAATTGGACCGAGGTCCCTGTTTGTTATCAGAGAAAACATCTACTCGTCTGGTTGATCATGATAATTTTCAAAATAAAAATCAACGAATGAATCTTTGTCAGGGGAAAACTTTCTTTTTGAAAGTCAAAGGAAAAGAATTTTTGATATTTTTCACTCGCTGAGAAAAAGTGAACGTCCGCAGTCGCAAGGATGACGGACAATAAAAAATAAATAACGACTCAAATTGCCACATAAAGTAACGCGCTTATCATCCTGTTGCCGCGCGCCATGCGACGATACTATGATGTGTTTGGCATGAGAGTGATAAATGTTTGGTAATAATTATGTGTGCGTAGCCTTGGGAGTAACGAAACGAAAAGTCCAACCAAAATATTTTTGACTAGAACTAGGCGAGGTCCGCCGCTTTCTAATTTTTGCCTCTGACCTCAACGTCACTTTCAGGGTTTATAAAGGTCGTTTGCTCACTGTACAAGATAAATTAAAAATATGCGTGTCATTTGCTCGCTGCAGGATGCTTCGTGTGGTTTAGGGGTTTCCCGATTATTGCTCGTGCACTAACAAAGTTTCTCTAAAAAACAAAGTCATAAAATTTATTTTACTCTTCAGCACAAGTTTAGCATTTTCCTTACGACCGCAATTTTTTACAATGCACGTGATGCGCCGAACCTATTTGGATAAAAACCTCGCGTCTCTCATGTGATCTGCAGCGGATGCTTGAAATTTAACCACTCACATTTATTCTCAACCGACCGAGAAAAAAGGCTTTCTCCGATGGAGCGTTGCTAACTAGAGACGAAAACAGAGCGGCGACCTGCGTGGGCGCACGTAGCTGTTTCTTTGCGCAATCTTGACAGCGTGCGTTTCGCAAAATGTAAACATACGGAGAGTCTAATTACTCCTTCACTCTGTTGAGGCGAGAGAAATTCGTTTCCAATCTTTTTTGTTCTACGAAGGTCTCGTTGGATGTCGAAGGTCAAACTGAACAGTTGACTATTGATTTGTGAAGGATTTGGCATTCATCGGATATTTAAAAAAAATCTGAATATCAAGCAAATTCAGAAGAAAAAAAATCAATAATGATTGTGCGATTGATCGTTGTTCCGCTTCACCTTATTGTCGGAACTTAAAAAAAAAAATTGCTGCGTAAATTGATTAGGGAACGCACCTTTCGAGGTGGACTTGTTCGGGCCCCAGAGGATGCGTTCCTCCTCGTAATTGTAGTAATTGCTCTGGTAGGTGTCGGGCAGGTACATCAGGTCCATGGCTGCGAGTCTGCTTTTGGCACTCGGGAGGGTCGACGGTGCGTTCTTCCCGGAGTGGCTTCTGTTTAGGACTGGACGAAAGCAAGCCAGCATGTTCTCCACTCCCCTCGCCCGAAGCCTCTTTTATTCCGCGAGCGAACCAACAAGTCCAACGAGACGCGCGAGTCGTTCCGAGTGAGCACGATCGAAGCTCGAATTGCGTCTCATTAGCTTTAAGCATGGGCCTACGTGTCCTTTTCAATGACACGCTCGAGATCAAATTTCAAATTCCAAGACAAATAAATTGGATTTTTAACGATTTTCATAATTGAAAAATATATCATCTTATAACAGAAACTATTTTACTGTTGAAAATTTTCATTTTTACTTCTAAAGTTTTCCACCTGGAATATATTTAATTATTTATACCGATTTATACGAATAAAAATGACGCGCATATATATTAAATTGGGTTATAAAATAAACTATTATTCATTGGGTTCCTTATTTTTAATGGACTTATCAGAATTCAAACAATTTGCATAGCTCTTTCATTTCTGATAAATTTTTTAAGTCGTAAAACAAAGTTTTCTTCAATGGAAAAAATTTCCCAAGCTTCAACACTTATCCGCTATTTCCATTATCAAAAGACAATGCTATTGACCTTATCTATAATTTTTTGCGTCATTCATAATTCAATTCTCAAAACGGAAGGGCTTGTCTCAGAAATTATCACATGATTATTTTGTTTGCTACTTTCAAAAATATTTTGTAGTAAAATTTAAACAAATAGGAGGCATTAACCTGTTGCTACGTGCTTAAAAATAATACTTTTCCGGTATGCGCCGCGTCAAACTGTAAGGCTGTGGTTCTGCAAAGATAAAAAAAAATTCAAAACCTGTTGGCTTCCAACAAGGAAAGTTATCATCAAAGATCGATGTTTGATCAAAAATTTAACGTTCCCATCATACAAGTTATTTTTTCTAGATAAAATAATTTTAATAATTGAAGAAATGTACACTAATAGTAATATAGAGTAATTTAAATTGTAATTTTTCGTGTCAAGGAGAAAATTTTGTCCTTGTCTTTTCTTCTGGGAAGAAAATCTTTCTGCAAATTGAGAGTATTTTTTTAGGTCGTGCCATGAAGTTCTCGTTTTACCACTTCAAGTTGGACGATATTTCTTTCTTCAAATATTATTAAAAAGATAATTTTTGATAAGGATGCCCTTTGTTATCAACATTCGCAAATTAATTAATTTGGCTTTCTTAAACTGTCAAAAGTGAGCTGGTTTTATTTGAAAGCATTCTCGCGTTTCTTGGAAGACCTTTCTGCGATTTGTTGCATCTCAAAAGCCGCGTGCAATTGAACAATGCTCAAGAGAGTTTATTGCTCCTGCCAGTCTTTTAGATTAGAAATTTATCGGTGCGCGACGTGTTATTATTTATTTGCTCTCAGCGTCCAACTGGCTAGAATGGCAAACATTTATATAGAGTCTACGTTTAGCAATCTGATCTTACAATAGAGAACAAAAGTTGATACGTGGAGTGGTCATTGCGAATCCAATTATGTATTCATTTTGATTGCCGCCGAAGGCTGACCAAGCGCAATTATTAGGATAGGGACCATTATCAAATTTATTTGATCGCGACCGCTATTACGCGATTAAACGTTGACGTAAGCACTGGCGTTTGAATTTTATTACAAAGAGAGAAAATATGAAATTTCTTCTCTGGGAAAAATGAGTAGAGAACGACCAAGCTGTCGCACACTATTAAAATTTTTGTCTCGTCTCGCATCAGCCAATTTTATCAGTGGCGTCTGCATCGCACTACTAAACTTATTACTTAATCTTCAAACACACACTGTACGGCACAGTATCTTTTTTCTAATTTATTCACGGCAATTACATTATCAGATTTGATGCGTCACTGCAAAACAAACAGCTGCGAAGACGAAACGTAGAATTAAATTGTTATAATCCCCATTATTCATACCTCACATGAGACTGATGCGGCTATTTTTAATTATTCGCCTTTTGGACGATAATATTTTGCCTGTTTATGCGTTGCTGACCTAATTTCTAAAGGATGATAATTATTTTTTTTAATGTTTTGATCGCAGGATTCTTTGGGTGGAAGCGCAAGGACGGTGATGCTGGCCACCGTCAGCCCATCCAAGTTGTTTGTCGAAGAGACTTTGGCCACTTTGCGCTACGCCTGCCAAGCCAGGACCATCGTCAACAGACCGCAGGTTCAGCTTCAACAGGGCGCCACCCCACAAATGCAGTAAGAAAAAATTTTATTACTTTAAAATTATTTAATAAAATATTAATACATTACAAATAGTTCTATGACAAGAATAAGACAATTAAACTTTGGATTTTTGAAATGAAAAATTTAGTCAAATTATATAAAAATTCAGTAAAAATTCATGACAAGCCCCTCAAATGAATCATATTTTTTTTAATTAGAGCTAAGAATTCAATCTATCTTCTAAAAAATATTCCAATTAAATTAAATAAATGACAATTTTAAGGCCAATTTAGTTTCTTAAAATGGAATAGTTTATAAAACAAATTAGTCGTAAAAGATTTAAAAAATTATAATAATAGAATTTCCAGTTCCACGTAATCAATTTTTTTTATTGAATGTAAGCAAATAATTTATTTTTTTTATTCAATAACTAAAAATATCATAGGTGCAATTAAATTAAATGAATCAAATTTTAAGGCGTCAGCTGCACGAAGAAATGGATCGACTGAGGCAAGCTCGCGAAGAGTATGAAAAGCGCGGCGCCGGCCGTGAGGTGCAAGCGCTTCAAATGGAGTTGTCCTCGGTGCGGCAGAAGCTGCGGCAAGTGGAGGAGGAGCGTTCGGAGTGGGAGTCCAGGGTCAAGGCCTATGATCTTGACCGCTCTCGCCAACTTGCCGAATTGGCGCGCAAGGGAGTGACCACCAGCGATAAGCCAGGGTTGATGTTGTTGACCTCTGACCCTTCCTTATCACTCCATTACGCGCTGCCCACCGAGGCCAAGCCGAAATTGGTGTTCGGCAGTGTCCAGCCCCCAGCAGATGTTATCCTCGACTCGCCCCTTGTGGCCGAAAACCACTGGTAATTTTTTTGATAGTAAATATTATAATTTTTAAATAATTTTGAATAATTAGCTTGTTGGAGTTGAAATGTGGCACCTTCTGGCTGACCCCTTGCGAGGGCTGCGAGACTTTTGTCAATGGAACTTTGGTAACCCAGGAGTTGCCCCTCACAAATCGGGACAGACTCGCTCTCGGAGGTGACGTGTTCCTTCTTTTGAATCTTGACAACTTCAATGAGTCTGAAACTGGCACTAATGCCCCTCTTGTGGACTACGAGTTTGCTCGCATGGAGTTGAGCTTGGCCCAAAATGCGAGACTCAACATGGAACTAACCTCGGCCAAACAGAAGGCGCTTATGGAACTGGAGGCCAAGAAGGCAGAGCTGGAAAAACTTGGAGCATCAAAAGTAGTTGAAAAAATAATTTTGAAATAAATCATGTATAATTTTTTATTGAAGGATGCTGCTGAGGCAGAACTGGAGCTGATGAGAGCTGATCAGCAAAAATTGGCTGCCGCTTTGAGGGCCGAGATCGAAGCTGAGAAGAGACGAATGGAGCTTGCTATGGCCCCGCTCGACATCAGTATTGCACCTTCGTATGATTCAAACTTCATTCAGGTAGGAGAAAAAAATAATAATAAATGTTAAATTCTGAATATCTCAATTTTTTGCTGTTGTAGGAGTTGAAAAGTCTTGAGCAAGCTTCAACGGCGCCGTCTGGCATCGGTCTGCATGAAATGCACTGCTTGGTTAAAGAGGCAACTCAGCGCTGCAAACAATTAGGCCTACCATATGTAAGTTTATAGAAGAAAAAGAATCAAATTTTATTAAATTATTATCATTATTATTTTAGAGGTTCACTCAGGCCCAAAAAGTGAACTCTGGAGGCAGTTCAAACCAATCAGCGTTGCAACCTTGCGTAAAAATCCGTGGAAAGGGAAGACTTTCTACTGTGTGCACAAATGACCAATTTATGGATGTTCTGGACACTATTAGAGATTGCGAAGGCGAGGTATATTTTTTTTTTTTTTTTTTTATCATATCGGGGACTTATTTATCTATATCCAGGTTTCCACTGCCACTGATCAGCTAGAAAATGGTTGTCTCTTGGAATGGTGTGAGGACGAAAATGACTCTTCATCGTCTGAGAATAGCATTTTAGTTGACATGGCTCCATTCCGACGCCCGAATTCCACTCCAGCAACTACAATTGATCCCGAAAAATGCTTTGCTGTCATGCAAGAAACTCTGAAGCAGCTCCAAGGCGTCACTTTCAAGCACCCGAATGCCAGTACTTATCTGAAGAATGTCTCTGACTTGTTGTGCCAATTGGAAAGGGCGTACTTGCACCCGGAGTTTGACTCGTTCCAGTCAGAAATTTCTAGTGTCCACAGCGAGAAGTCAAATGACACGGCCAAGTCTGACTCGTGGCTGAGCGAGGCTCTCGACAGACTTCGAAACACCTCGGTGGCGTCCTCAATCGCATCATCAGCAGCGTCCACCTCCACCATTCTTTACTCGCCACCCTCAATTTCCGCAGTGCCCATGAAGTCCAACATCAGACAGCCTTTGGCAGATTCGCCTAGCAAGGAAGTCCGGTTCCACATCAAGTTGAGCAGAAAGCGAAAAAGCGACCCGAAAGATAAGTGACTAGAGTAATTTGCTCAAACCTTGAAATCTTGCCTTTACGATTGTGCCTTAACATAATTTTTCAAAACTAACCTGTACATATATAAAATGTACTTACGCATTTAAATTATTTTCCCGTATTTTTTAATTAACAGACAATATGCGACAGGCATGTTTGATAAATAAAATTGATCTGCATTGGAGTTTTCAACAATAAATATGTAATTTATTTGTACAAAATAAATAATGATAATGTTAGGGGGATTGAAAAACTGTGCTCGGATATGCCACTGTAGCACACAATTTCATTGTTGTGTGGTCATCCATTGGCTTGGAAGAAAAGTGTTAGTGCCAAATAAATTCTTTGAAGTATCAATTCCATCAAAATATTTGAGCATCTTCTGCGCTCTCTTGCCACTCTGGAGACTCTCCGAACGAGACTTTTTGCGTCTGACAAAGAAGTCAATCAAAGAGGCGGTTCGGTCGGACAACGAACGTCTACTAGAGGACGCAAAGGAAGATCGGTCGCTCGAACCAAGGCCTGAAATATTCATAAATCCTAATGAGAGACCGATTAAAGACGCTAAAAATTATTTATAATTAAATATATGTTTACACATTGCAAACTTGATTTTAGGCAGCAAAAATGCAAATAATAAAATGTTACAAAAAAAAATAAAGAAATCTTACTGTTGTTGCTCAGTGAATCAAGATCGTCCGTAAGACTGGAACGATATATTGGTATCTTTGGTGATGAGGTACAGAATGGAATCTTGAGAGGCAGATCGGAGAAGGAGTCTCGGCCGCTGCGATAATTTGCTGAAATTTTTATGAAAAGAAAAAAATCACTATATTTAGTTTTTACAAGAGAGGAAAAGACTTAAAATTATAATCTTATTTTATGCTTAGGATGTTCATAAAGTCGAAAATGAATGAAAGAATTATAACTTTTTTATCTTTCTCGCATCTCAAAAAAAAATTTGTGAAAATTATTGCTGACGGATTTTAAGAACGGAATATTATTCTAAAAATTAATTTTTTTTATGGGGGGTCTTGTTCAATATCATTGTGAAAAATGATTGATGAAGGATTTATTTTTCAAATTTTAAAATAAAATCCTGCTATGGGCAAAAATTGCCTTTGCAATAGATCAATAAACAATTTTTTTTAACTAAAATGGAAAAAAGTTGAGTTTGGTCAGATATTATATGAATTTATTCCCTTTGCTTATGGACCAACCAAATTTTTATTCCTTTTAAAAGGACCATCGGCGTTATGGGATTAGCATGACGTGAGTATTCCCTAATATTATTTATATAATTGTAAGATTATTTGGTTTTTACCTTATTTTTTATGGAACTTAAAAATCTGCACAAAATCGATTAGGGAACGGAACAAACCTTTCGGGTTGGACTTTATAGAGCCCCAGATGATGCGTTCGTCCTTGTCGGAGTAGTAATTGCTCTGGTAGGTGCCAGGCAGGCAAATCATGTCCATGTTTTAGTCTGCTTTTTGCTCTCGCGAGGGTTCACAGAGGGGTCAGAGGGGCTGCTTCTTCTTACTGGAAGAAGGCAAAACTTCATGCGAACTCCTTCGGCCGAAGCTTTTTATTCAGCGAGTGAGCAAACAAGTCCAACTAGCGGAGCGAGTCAACAAGCTATGCGGCGGGGGTGAGCAAGGTCAAAACTTTAATTGCGACTCCTCATCAGCTGATAATTATGACCAATTTTAAAATCCAATTTGAATAAACTGTATTGAAGGAGATTGGAGCTTTAAAAAAAATTGGTGTAGATTAACTGATAAAGAGAAAATTAGTTTTTTCATGTTCCATAAGTTTTGTATTGACAATATAAATCTCAGTGAAATATATCAATCGATTTTAAAATGAATGGAAGATTTTTATCCTTATATTTATCCTTATTTTAAACAAACTTTTAATACTTTTTTACACTTTTTATGTGAATAAACTTTATTTGAATTATTTTAAAAGTTTTTATTTGAGACTTTCAATAAATTCTGCGGAACAATTTGATTATAATTTTTTCAAATTGAATAATCCCATAATATTGATCGACAATAATCAGATAATAATGAGTAAATATATTTTAACAAAAACGTCAATCTTCAATTTTTTTTAAATCCTTAAGTCAATGATAGGGGTGACATTGCCTTTTTTTTAAATCAGTGCTGTCAAAATTTTTGTCAAAAATGAAATTGATGCAATAATCAAAAATTTTAATTTTACTTCTGACGTGGAAACTAAAATGGCTCGCTATAAAAAAAAAATTTTTTTAGTTTTCTATATATGCTATAAAAAAAACAGGTAAATTTTAGTCTAAAAATCCCCCATTGGCTATTTTGGGGAAAAAATCACTTTCGCCATTCCGGATATCTATCTCAATTGGTAAATAATACTGCCGCAAATAGACTAAAATATACTTATTGATTATAATCTAGTTCAAGGTTGGCAATATTTTTTTCCAAGTATGATTCGCAAGCAGATTTTTTTGATAAGGATGAAGGACGCCGTTGAAATTTGTGTAACTGGGTCTTTCAAGCCCTACGACCATGGAGACCAGAGAGCCCCTTTGCTTTATTTACCCTTTTATCACTTGAAGGTTGTGTTGAATGCACAATGCCCAAAACGTTTAAAAAAATTAGAGAGTAAATAAAATGGGGGATTAAACTGCCTGGCTTTTAAATGCACATTGGTGAGCAGATAAAGTATGGATTGCACATATTTTCAGCATACTAAAAACTTTTCCTTTCTCACCATTCCTTGTACCTATGATTATATGCTGACAATGATAATGGAATGGAATAATTCCAAAATTTTTTGTAATGTTCTCTTGCGATGTAATATAATATGCGGCATGCGCCAATTGGAGAATCATAACTATTGGTGTTCTGTGTTGATCACTATTTGATTTGCTACAATTCTTGCATTTTTTTTATCCCGTACATGCAAATGAGAATTAAAGTTTATGCATGTGTTTGATCTTTGATCAAATTAAATAGTCATTATCATGATGACCAATTATTTATAAAAATGGACTATATCATTTATTCATTTTTTGCTACCACTTGCTACGATTAAACACTGAATCACTTTATATTCTTTTAATGAAAATTAAGAACAATTCCTTCACCCAGGAACAAGCTGCGAGGCGCATAAAAAAAATCCGCGAACAATATGCAAATTGATGAACTATAGTATAGTCAAATCAGCCAACTTTTTAAGCTGCCTCTGCATCTGCATAGCACCTTTTAGTTAACATCATAAGTTTGCAAAAACAAGCAACTTTGATGACAAAACCAAGAATTAATCTGCACTTCAGCGCCATTATCCGCATTATTCATGCCTCACATGAGGCTGATGAGAGGCTATTCTAATTTGAAATCTTTTGCCTGTCAAGTTCTTACTTATTTTTTATTAATTTAATAGATTAAGTTTTTTTAAATTGAATTTTCATGTTAAAAGCCATTTTTATTGTATTCAAAATTAAATAAATAAATGTATTTCTGAGGCAATCTTATGATGAGTACAAAGAGCGCCAACCTCAATTTCCGCAGATCATTTTTCCATTAACATAGACAATATTATAATTAAAAAATGATCAACATTTAAATTTCAAAAATATTATAATTATAATTTATTAAACCAAAAATGTGTACAACTTAAAATTTACAACAATAAATAAATAAATAAAAATAAATATATAATTTATTTGTACATAAAATAAATAATAATTTTACGGGGTAGCACACTGTGCGCGCCATTTGATTTCATTGTTGGCTTGGGGGAAAAATTCCATATGCATATGCAATCTGCGTAGTATCAATTTCGTCAAAATATTTGAGTATCCTCTGCGCTTTTGTGCCACTCGGGATACTTCCCGAACGGGACTTTTTTCGTCTGACAAAGAAGTCAATCAGAGAGGCGGTTCGGTCGGACAACGAACGTCTACTAGAGGACGCAAAGGAAGATCGGTCGCTCGAACCAAGGCCTGAAATATTCATAAATCCTAATGAGAGTCGCTAAAAATTATTTATAATTAAATATATGTTTACACATTGCAAACTTAATTGATTTTAGGCAGCAAAAATGCAAATAATAAAATGTTACAAAAAAAAAAAATAAAGAAATCTTACTGTTGTTGCTCAGTGAATCAAGATCGTCCGTAAGACTGGAACGATATATTGGTATCTTTGGTAATGAGGTACAGGATGGAATCTCGAGAGGCAGATCGGAGAAGGAGCTGCGATCAATTACTGGAATTTTTATAAAATTTTCTACAGTTAACACAAGAGAGGAAAAAAACAAACAATGATGAATTTATTTCATGCTTTCAAATGCTTTGAAAGTTCATAATATCGAAAATGGAAGTATTACATTTTTTCTCTCTTGCATCTCAAAGTAAACTGAGTAGAGAAAATTGTTGGCCTTCTTTTTATTTTAAATTACAGATAATTATTCTAAATTTTAAAATAATGTTCATTTAATTAATTGATCTTAAATTGAACCACATAATGTGAGAAAATATAATATTTAATTGAATATACAATGTAGCGTTCGCTTAATTTTGGGACAAGACTTATAAAAAAATCGATTATAAGTGAATGCACCTTTCAGGTTGTATTTCTTAGGACTCTTGATGATGCTTTTGTAGTAATTGCTTTGGAAGGGCAGGTCCAACAGCTCCATGACTGTAAACTTGCTTTTGACACTCGGGTACGTTCTTCTAGGACGGGCAGCGTCTTCTAACTGAAGGAAGGCAAGACTTCGTGTATTCCTTTGGCCAAAGACCGCCTTTTATTCAGCGAGAGAGCAAACAAGTCCAACTATATGAGCGAGTCGAGCTATGCTGCGGGGGAGTATACAAGGCCGAAACTTAATTTTGTCTCATTAAGCTCTATGATAATAATGACCCATTTTTTCTTTTTTTTTTTTTTTTTAGGGTCAGGCCAAGAAAAAGTCTTGTCGGCCTGTGCCCTTTATTGGTGGTACAGAAGGCACTACCCAATTAATTTTTTTTTTTTTTAATTCCAAATTGAAATAACTGTTTTTAGGAAGCTTAAAAAAAATTTATGTCATATAAAATTATTCCGCATAAAATTAATGATATCATTTATTCATAAAACTTTTCTCTCAAAAATAAAATTTTGTGCTGTTTTTTTTAGGAAAAATTTAAGATTTTGCTTTTTTATATATATGGTTATAATATCTGTTTGATTTCTTCAATACATTTTGTGATATTTTTTAGTATGGACTAATGGAAAAATTGTTTTACATTTTTTTTTTTTAATGCTACAAATTTAATTTTTTTTTCATCGGATCTTTGATAATCATATCATTCTAATTATATTTTTAAATATTCTATCTGAAAACTATTTTTACGAAAAATATTGCTGCTTTAGATTGTTTGATAATGATAATTTATCAAGACTTTATTTTAAACTTTAAGACTTGACCTGTTTAAACGTCGTTTACGACTTCTTTGAGACAAATACGCATTATAATTTCTTTGCGACTAATTATAAATGTTTATAAATATTAATAATTCGGGGAGCAATATGATCATTCTGTTTTAATTTTAATAAATGCAATTGTTTTACTGATTGACTATTGTGTGAAAAGTGTGTGGCCACACACTGGCTCGATTTGACGTGGCTTGGGGTCTTCTATTGAGGAGAAAATTATTAAAAAATTTGTACAAAATTCAAATTGATCAGTAATTTAAATATAGAAACTTAAACAATGGCTTGCTAAAAAAATTTTTAGACTATGAGAAAATGTACCAAGCAACTAAAATATTTAAGCCTTAAAAGCCACTCGTTTTGGAGGAAAAATTACTTAAGCCGAATTTTAGAGGTATCTTATCCCGAGTAGAATAATAAATTTAATAGTATTAAAAAATTGACAAATAGACCAGAAAATTTCATCTCAGGGTTATAATCGAGTTCAAGGTTGACAATAATGTTTTCCAAATATCATAATCAGAAAGCTATTTTTTTGATAAGGACGCCCTTGCGCTTCTTACTTCGTGGAACTCGGTCTTTCAAGCCCCGCAAGACTAAAAAGAACATAGAGTAGACCTAGCCCACCACATAGCGAGAGGTTTCTCTGCACTTCTCCGCCTTAACTTAATGTAATGCATTTACCCATTTTACCCTTATCACTTGAAGGTTGCGTTGAATTGAAGTGCTCAAAATTTTTGTTGAATATTTAAAGGTAAATACAATGGAAAAATTCAGATTGGCGAGCGGTTAGTGCTCTAATTTTCAGCATTTTCAAAACATACAACTCTTATGTATTTTCCTTTTTTTTTTGTATTATAGTATTTTTTTCGTACAGTGCACCAACTTCATGTGTTGTTCACATGCAATGTAATTTCTACGAATTTCTGGAGAGCAAATATATTTAATAAATGAATCAAAAATACCCTTCTTTGGGCCGGTTCGTGCTTGCGCTGTCCAATGGCTCGTAAATAGTATCTTTTTTCTATATTTATTTTGCCATACCTTCAGAGCGGGAAGCTTAATTATTGCTCTGATAGGCTGCTAAGTTTGTGGTCAGTCAAAAGACCTTTCCGCTAAGAGCACAGCATCTCAAAAGCCAGTGTGTACGATCAAACAAGGCGAGCAGAGTTCGTTTCTTCTGCAAGATTAGGAAATTTATCTGTATAATATAGTAGCGCGTGTTTCTTTACTAAATTTGCGATTAAGTTAATAATACACGTGCTAAAACAAATTAAGTGGGCTGCGCTACCATCATTATGTATTGTTATGCATTAAATAAAAAAAATCCGCGCAGTATGGTATTATTATTTGTAACTATTATTATTATTTATTCTTCTCATTGTCAGTCAATACAGTAGTAACCAAATTAATTTATCAGCGGCGTCTTTGCACCTGCATCGCACCTTTTAGTTTATCTAGCTTCAAACAACAAACCGAAGCATCGCATTTTTATTTTTATTTACGCAAGGTTGTGATACAAATAACAAATTCATAGTTAAATTTGATAACAAAATCAGGAATTAAGCGCCACTATCCGCTTTATTCATGCCTATAATATTTAATTTTTTTTAATCTTTAGCCAGAAAAAGTTCATATCAGTAAATCTTTTTTTCCTGGTTAAAGCCATTTTAAAATAAAGTTAAAGGATGTCAAAGGCAATCTTTTGACGAGAAATAAGAGCGCCAACCTCAATCTTTATTTTAATTTAAAAAAATAACTGATGTATTTTATTTGCAGAAAATTAAAGCACGATTAACTACGATGGCGGGACAAGTCAATAGCAGAAAGCGAGCCGAAAGAAAAATAAAAAATTAAATTTCCGAGGTACGAAAGTGAATATTGAATTTAATATTTAGGCGGGGTGAGTATTTGCGGCGGCGCGCTATGTGCGAAACACTCCGTGTGCCTATAGAATGCCGAAGACTGGACTTTAAATTTCAAAAGCTCACCCTTGATATAAAATGTTGCCCATCCAGAAGTAGTTTCTTTGCGTATGTTTCTTCTAAGAAAATGAATTTCAGTGGGACGAGTTTGTAGAATTTGAGTGAATAATTTAATGTGATATAATGATGCGCGCAAGAATAAAACGTGATCCTTTTACACAGTAAAATGCAGCAGACTTGTTTTTAAAATTCAATTGCACGCTTACCCCTTTAAATATAAAGCAATGCATAATGCAGAACTTTAATTACTTATACTATCATCTATTTTTATTGATGAAAATAAAATTTGTAGAATAACGAAGCCCCCTATGAAATTTAAGCGGAGATATTATTAAACTGTCAATGAGGTAACAAGTTTGCGCTTTGAAGTCAAATAATGCGTTTCATGGAATTAATTAATGAGCGGATATATCCAGTCAAGTCAAAGCCCTTGCAATGAAGAGCTGCCCGTCCAAAAATAGCTTATTCTTGCATCATTATATATTTTTTTCATTTTATAAAAAAAAATTAATGTAATTTATATGGGAATGAAGTGCTTATGAATTCATAGGCTCCACATGCCGCATCTGGGTTTATAGATCTGTGTTCGCGAACTTCGCGAGTTAAAAGACATACCTCAAAACATAATATATGATATGTACAAACAACGAACTTAAATCTGAAACTTAAATCCAAGCGTATTCCTTGAAATAAAAATAATGAAAATAATATGCTCCTCTCAAAGATTTTCACCGCCTATATTTGTACGAGTGACATAAAACTCTGTCCTACTCCTACAACGCACAGCACATCTCATCCTTACATTAATTTATTATTTATTTTCATTTATATACTTTTATCATACTTATAGAACATTACACTCCTTGATTACATTTTTTCTCTTCGCGCCAAACTAAATCTCCACACTTGCCTGTTAAAGGGGCGTAACCAAACGGGCCGTACCAAACGACGGACGTACGACGGACGTCCGGCAATCTTTTTCTCGATTTTCCCGCTTTGCCGCTGTTGTTTTAGATTATCCGTGTAATAGAATTACCCTCTCAGAACATTTTATGTAATAACAATTTAAAACTAAGTTCAAACTGGTCCAAAAATGGCCAAAACAAGCACCTTCCGTGGCCCTTCATATCGCTATCATGCAAAGATACCCGTCACAGATCATGAATTGTACCAAGAAGCATTCAAACAATTCCAGCAGTTCAAGTAAGTATCAAAAAAATATTTAAACTAAATTTTGTTTTATTAAGAAACCTTTTGCAGGTATCTGACGATTAATAAGATGGAGATTACGATAGGTTCGTTTGTTGAGCTGCAAGATGATGTTGAAAGGCTTCAAATTCCAGGGTCGAAGGATAATCTTCCTCCACCTAAATTTGCCCAAATCTACAGGATTTTGGAGACTGGTAAAAATCCTTTTGACGTTTAGATTGCTCTTTATTAATGGTTCCTGCATTTATTTTTTAATAGATAATGGCCCATATCTTTTGGTATTTTGGTTCCACTCCATATCCGAAGGATTGAAAAGCTTACCATTAGCCCCTCCCAAGGACAGAATCCTACAATTTCCAGATTTTACAACAAAGGACGTGATTTTGGATAGGAGAAGATCTCCAGATTTCTTTGGCGGAGTGACTTATCATCAAATTGCTGCTGTCAGATCGGTTTGGAAAAATCTTAAATTGATTGAACTATAATTTTAATAATTCCTTATCATCTCCAGTTTGTTAAAGTCCACTTCCGTGATGACCCAATAGAGAAACTTGGAGAGTCTGGAATGGAGTTCATCCACCGCTTTGATGTTGCGTACAAAAACGATAAATCAATCTTGATTCCTCGTTTAAAACCAACTGACCTGAAGAATGATGTCTACCCAGTTGACGTTAAAAAGACCAACGAAACCTTGAAAGTAAGCAGTCTATTGATTTTCTTATTTTTGATCAAATTATTTTAAAATATTTTAGGTAAAGACGGTAAAGTGTGCAGCTGATTTGGCACCACCTGCCACAATAGACTCTAAATCAGCAAGTGTAAGTGGACAGAAAAGCAGTGACAGTCAAAAAAACAAGGAGAATGTGGCACCATCCACTTCAAAAAATAAAAGAACGCCTGTCTCAACTGAAGACGAGGACAAAAACCTTCAGACAAGACTTCGAGAGAAAGTTATCCAGACAAGAAGCAATCAGAAAAATCAACCAGACAGGAAGAAACATGCTGAAAAGCCTTCCATTTCAGTTGAATCAAAGGAAGAAACGGAAATCAAGAAGCTCCAGAGGAAATGTGATAAACAGAAAGAAGAGAAAATTAGGTTGGAAGTCACTGCTCAGCTATTAAAAGAGAAACTCCAGAAAACTGAGATTGAGTCTACAGCAAAGGCGAGCAGCGAGCCGGATAAGAAGAAAAATAAAAGAAGCGAGCAATATTTGTAAGTGAGCCATGATCCTTGAATTGGAAGAAACCTGAATGAATATCTTTTTTCTAGAACCCATCTCAAAATCATCTCCCAAAGGATGGCGAGAGGAAAGAAAAAGGAAATACTGCTCATCCACCAAAATTTTCTGGTAAGTGACCAATATTCATTAATATTAATATGTAACAAGTTAACTGTGAATTTATTAAATTAAAGGAACAGGACGAAGCATCCGAAGTCAATGGAATTGGAGTTTGTGATGATATGGTGCTGGTTGCGAAGGCTGAGTGCAACGGAAAACTGTTTAGCTACGCTCAAAAGCTAGCCACCCAGATTTTCAAGAAAGAAGGGGCCAAGTTTTTTTCCACTTCGGGCCGTGCGCCCAAAGGTGATAATCTGAACACCCTAAAATTCCCGTCAGACTACCTTTTTGGATTTCAAAGTAAGTTGAAATTGGCTATTAATTAATAGTTTGTACCTTGAATTAATTGTATTTTAGAAATTGTGGAGTTGACCGCTAAAGCTCATGATATAACAATGCCTACAAAGCCTGCGAACCTCAAGCCTGATGATGATGATGCGTACAAGAAACAGATTAGGGAGGTCACAAATCGAGCTCTAAACAACTGGCTGAGCAAGTTGCGAGACCCTTTCCGCACTCATTGTCAAGTTAAGTCTAGGAAGAACAACAGTGGCGAACCAGTAGAAGACAAAGAGAACTTTGATGAGAGCAGTCAGAAGTCATCAGAAGAAAGTAGTAATGAATGAGACAAAAATCAAAGCGGTCTCATTGATCTAATCTTAAGGAATGTCGTCTGATGAAAAAATTAAGTCACTTTTTATAAACTCTTATTGTATTCTAAACCCATCCTGTCTCACAAAAGCAACGGCTGTGCTGTGTGCATAATAATTTTTATTTTTCAGACTGCTGATATTTGTATTTTGATAATGAACTGATTTTATACAAAATATTTGAGTGAGATCTCAGACGCTATTCAATAATTTATTTTGTGACAGTAACAGAAGAAAATTGATTTACATTTGTATTCCTAATGAAACAGAAATTTCAAGAAGATTTAATTTTCAATGATTTGTTGTTTTCTTCCCAACTACCTAGACTCCTTTGCAAACAAAAATACGATAATATATTATGATTAACATGTTGGATCAATAAAATTCATCTTTATTTAATTTATAACAATTAGATAATAAACTACAATTTATTTGTACAAAATTTATATACATAATGTTGGCAAGGGTGAATTGTTTTTTCATTGTTGTAAGGGTACCCACTGGTTTGGAGGAAACATGCCTGGTTGAATCTTTGTAGGAACCGCTTCGATAAAATATTTGTATAAACCCGTCACTTTTCTCTCACTCTTCGAACGTGACTTTTTGCGTCTGACAAAGTACGAGTTGGAGGAGCCGCTGGAGAACGAAGGTCTAGTCGAGGACACAAAGGAAGGTGGGTCGCTCCAACCAACACCTGAAATGTTTTGTATCATAAATATGAGGAGATACAAGTTAAAGAAACTTGGAATTATCAATATATGATTCCATGTATATATTGTAAACTTAATTTAAAATAATAATAATTAATCACTCTTACTGCTGCTGCTCAGTGACTGAAGATCACTTGGAACATTTCCTGACATTTTAGGTGACGAGGCACAGGATGGAGTCTCGAGAGGCAGACTGGAGGAATATTGACCGCTGCAATCAATTGCTGAAATTATAAGAATTTACAATTAGTTTTCATAATCAAGACAGGAAAAATAAGATCTAGCAAAAGTCGAAACACATCCGTAATTTAATTAATTACTGCATTGGAAGAGCAAAGGCGAAAATAGAGGAAGAATCTAAACTTTTATAAACCTATTTATAGTCTCTTGCATTAAAAAAGGTAATTTGTTAAATTTAATTAGTATTTGATGCAATAAAATTAATTTATTAAAATTATTGCTGCTGGATTTTCACACCGCATAATGTGCACCACAGTTTTTTTTTTATTGAGTTTTGAAAATGATTATTCATTTATATTTATTCTTCTTTTGTCAATGATAAAAAAATTTTAAAATTGGAAAAAGAGAATAGTTTACAAATAATATATTATGTCTGCTGATGTCTGCCAATATGCCAATGTCTGCTAAAACGACTGATATCAAAACTCAGCCGCCGCGGTAAACCCTCATCAGTATTACAAAAAAATGTTAAAAAGTATTTTTTTTTCTGTGAAGGTCTCGTTGAAAGCCTCTATTTAAAAAACATTAAATTTGATTCTTAAGGATTATTTAAGTTTTAAAGTTTTTATCATTTAATAATTTCGTAAATTAGACCAAATTTGTACAAAAATATTGAAAGATTAAGTGTTCCCCTTTTAATTTTTAACTTACAAAAACTGCCGAAAAAATTGAGCATATGTAATACGCGGAATTGAACACACCTTTAAGGCTAGACTTCTTTGGGCCCCAGATGATGCGATCATTGCGGTTGTCCTCACAGTTGTAATAACTGCCCTGGTTAGTGAGGTTGGGCAGGTACATCAGCAGGTGATTCATGGCTGTAAGAGAATGCCTTTGACACTCAGGAGGGTCGACGGTGCGATCTTCTCGAAGGGGCTACTACTGCGGGTACTGCGGAAAGGAAGGCAAAATATATAATATGCTCCCTCGGCCAAACCCGGCTTTTATTCAGCGACTGAACAAACAATTCCTACTATACAGGCGCGGGCGGCGGGGGTGAGTGCCGAAGCTTTAATTGCGTCTTCATTATTAGCTTATGCGACACGCGCAAATACCACTTTTCAAGTACCAAGTTCAATAAACTGTATCTTGTTGTAGCGCAATAATACCTTAAAAATCCGATTGTTTGACGAAATTTTAATTTTTTTTTAACTTTAAGTTTTGGTACAAATTAATGATATTTAACATCAGGTCTGTGTGAATTATTTTTTGCTAGAAGTAGCTTTTTCAGGAATTTTTTTTCCTTTTCAAATTTTGTGCGCATTTTTGTTTCTTTATTTATCTCAATTAGGTTTTGCAATATTTTTGGCACGAAAATTTAATTGCGACATTTTCTGTCCGTTTTTTCTGGTACGTATCAAGTTTGGTGATGATGTTTGTTCAAATATTAATAAAAAGCTAATTTGTGATAAGGACGATCCGACATCCTAATATATCAGCACTTTCAACGGTTAAATAATTCGCCTGTTTTGTTAAAAGTTTGCGGGCCTAATTTTGTTGAAAAGCATTATCAGGTCAATATCAAAAGACCTTTTCCACGAAGTACAGCCTCTCATAAGCCGTATGTACATATTATAGGCCACAGCAAAATTGAACAAGGAGCGCTGAGTTCATTGCTCCTACTAGTCTAGAATATTTATCAGTACATGCACACCATCGTCATATTTGCTCTAATGAAATTGCAAGCATTTATTCGGTCTGCGTTCTGTTTGTGCAGTCAAGAACGAAAGTTAGTACACGTTTTTGAGAGAGTTAAGTGGTCATTGCTATTATTTTATGTATTCATTTGGTTGCCAAAGGCCAACCATCTGCTAATTGAAAGAGGATCATAAAAGTCGTTATATAGCTGCACAAATATTTTTATCTTGATAGAAATTGTCTTTAGCCAGAAAAGTTTGAATAAAATTGATAAATTTAATCAATATATTTAAATTTTGTTTTCCTTGTTAAAGCCATTTTTATCGATTTCTTATTTAAATGAAACCTGAATGAAACAATAAAAACGCCCACTGAATGAATAAATGGGTCGTCCGAGGCAAGCTCGTGAAGAGTGCACAGAGCGCCACTCTCAATTTCCGCAATGCCTACAAAGTGCATATAAATAGAGGGTTGACAAGTAAAATTGATCTGTATTTAAATTTTCAACAATGTAACTATAATTTATTTTCACTTTTCACAAAATAAAAAATTCACATGATTCATTATGACGGTGGTGGAGGCAAAACAGTGCTTTGCGCGTCAGTGCCACTGCTGGGCGAGTTGCTTTCAGACTCGGGCGGCACCAGAGGTTCTGCTGGCCAAAGCGGCTCCTCGGTGACCGTGACGTCAGGCGCGTGGTCCTCCTCGTCAGAGCGCTCGTTCAGAAAGTCGTCAGGGGTGGTGGCAGAAGAGCCGGCGGGGGTGGCGTTGGAAGGGTTGTTTGGAGGAAACATGCCGGCCGCAATCTGCGTAGGAACCATTCCGCTAAAATAGTTGAGCAGACCCGGCGCCCCCTCCTCACTCAGCAGACTCGCCGAAAGGGACGAAGGGGCGGTCGGTTCGCCACCGACAAAGTAGTCGATCAGAGAGGCGGAACCGTTGGGCGAGGAAGGTCCACTCGAGGACACAAAGGACGGTGGGCCGCTCCAGCCAACGCCTGAAATATTCACATCAGAGATGAGCAACACAATTGATTCGGAGACGGGGTGAAGACATTTGAACTTATCAATATGTTCCCATGCAGAAGGATTCACTGCAAACTTAATTTTAGCAGAAAATAATAATGCAACGAAAACCAAATTTAGAGGTCACTCTTACTGCTGTTGCTTGGTGATTGGAGATCGTTCGGCAGACGGGGAAGATTTCCCGGCAACTTTGGCGGCGAGGCACAGGACGGAGGCGTCCGGAAAGGAGCAGCCGTCATCCGTTCGAGAAAGGCGTCCAGCTGGCGCAGGGAGAGAGCGTTGTGAAGAGTCTCGAGTGGCCGAATTGGGGGAACTCCGCCGCAGCCCTCAATGGCTGAAATCCATATAAACATAATTCAGCATTAGGTGAAATTTTACTTCAAATGCAATTGACAATCAAACGTAAAAAAGGGGACAAAATAAAAAAAGGAACATCCTTCATTACTTACTGCTTTAGAAGAGTATAAAGGTGAAAATGGAAGTATTAAAACTTTTGTTAACCTCTCTTGCATTTCAAAATATCTTATAAGTAAAATTATTTTTGCGGATTTTCTTTTGCCAAAACTTAAAATGTCTTCTCAATAATTTGTATCAATGTTTTGAAAGTTAATTCCAAGAATTTAATTGTATGTAAAATTTTCAACAACTAACTGGTCCACGGCCAATCAGCTAACTACTCCAAACATTACATGAAATATTACGCTACTTGCAGCAAATAATTCCAAGATACGAAGCGGGAAATGGGACACGTATTTAATATTTGAAAATTATCATTTCTTCCTAGGCGTGACTTAAAGTGAATGACCGTTAGCTACCAGTGGGTTGGGGGTTACGTGAGGTGGCAATTATTTGATATATAAATAATTTTAAAAATTTCAAGCATTCCAAACTGATTCCAAATACTCTTTATCCTGTCACAATATTGAATAAATCGCCGCGTTCCACATCTTAATTCTCTTAATGCTTTGAATAGTATTTTCGAGTTTCTTATCCGATCGGCCATGGAAATTCATGACTGTATTAAATGGAGAATAAGTAAATAAATAATAGCTCTTGTAATGGTAAAATTTAAATTTTCAGTTTAAAGTGTGCAAAATTGGTATTGTTTTGATTGTATTAAAAAAATGAATGAGAGGGAAAGGCATAATGGTGCGCACCTGCGACGGTGGGGATCTCGTGGTCATGCTTGAGGAGGCAGGGGGCGCTGACAGCCGCCGTGCCTCCACTGATGACGGCCGTGCTGAAGAGGCTGGAGGCGGAGGCGCCGCCTTTGCCGAGCATCTTGAAGAGGCTGGGCACCTGGTGGGCCAGCCGACGACCTTCGGCACCTGCGTTCAGGGGAGGTAAGGACGAGTGTGTGCCGCACGGCGTCGAAAAGGAGCGCACAAAGAGCGAGGAGAGCGGCGAGGAGGGAAGGGTGGGCGAGGACGTTGCGTATGCGGACAGGAGCGGCGCCGGAGCCGACGTCGGTGATTGCGAGCGCGGGCTCAACGGCGCCAGGGGCGGGTTCAGCGAGTGGGGAGCCAGGGGACACGGGGGCAGAGACCAGGGCGCCACTGGAGACCACAAAGAGAGAAGAGCAGAAATGATCAAAAGAGAGAAAATGACATTAAAATATTCAGCGACTTCTTCATAGCAAAATGTGATTTTTTTAAACAATTTCTTTGTTAATTAAAAAGTTTTTTAAAATATTATTAAATAATATCAAATTATTTCAATAATTTTTTACTTTTCAATTACTTTATTGCTGATTGTAACAAACAACTGAAACTCAGAAACAAAACAAAGAAAAAAAGACAAGAAATAAGACAGGCGATTAAGAAAAGAGTAAACAGAAAGAAAAGAAAACCGGTGTGAGTGGCAGGTCTTGGGATTGGTAAATAGGCGACGGCCAAACAGCACACAACTCAATCAACAAGTTATCAAACAATTAGCAGTCAAAGAGTTAATCACGAGCCAAGCGTATGGAGGATTTATTGTGACTTTGTGCCCAATACCTGGCCACTGGGCTGCATCCAGACTCTGGTATCGCGCCCCATCTGTTGGCAGGCACATCACAGATCATATCCGGGCTCGGGGGTTCATACTCTTTGCCACACAAAAGCTCTCACAAGTGCAAACTTACCCTTGTCATGTGTCGCCCTCTCCCTCTGGTGGTCGAAGCTGCGAGACCGAGGCTCGTAGTCATCGGCGTTCAGTTTACTGCGATTTAAGGAGGAACTTCTTTGGTTGCTCTCCTCGGCAGCCACCGTTGCAAGATTGATATCTCTTGGAGGACTTGCTCTACTTCTATTTAATTGATCACTAAAAAGTTTAAATACGTTCACAAATCTCAAACCTTATTGGAATTGGTTCCGATGATCTCAATATTGATGAAGACGAACATGACAGCTCATCTGCGGCTTCATCAAATTCGTTGTCTTCCTCGGCAAGAGCATCCTATAAAAAAGTTAAATTTAAAAATATATATTTTTTTTTTGTAATTTTTGTGATCTTTGATTACGCACAGGGGTAGGAGTGACCTTGTCCTGCTTTGGTTGAACTCCCATCATTTCGTCCATGTTGAGATCTTCTTCGTCTTCCTCTTTTGTTGTACTTCCGCCAGAATCAGAGCCTTGCTGCAATAAGAATAACCAAATGAAGTAAAAGATACATCGTGCCGCTGATTTTACACAAAAGAAAAAACTTGACAAATTTATTGCCGCCTTCTAACTTTGTGAATGAAATCAAACTAATTGTATAATTCAGGATTTTTTTAACCATAGAGGAAGAACTAATATTGCAAGCATAGCACGGTAGAATAGAAACAGGCTTATATAGGTCTAAAGGGTTTAGGTCATAGAGCACAAAAGTACATCACTTGCACAATTACCTTGCCCACTAAACCAGTCCAAAAAGCCTGCTGACACAAATAAAGTGGAGTTACTAAAGGGCTTCATAGAGTCAATAAAATCCCAAAAACTTGGAGCAAGGGTGGGAAATTTTATAAATTTGAGCAGCTCGGTTGAAAGGATTGAGGAAGATTATGCATACCATATTTTTTGATGCTGCAGAATCGTTTCTGCTGTGGGGTCGAAAACCAGGCCCAGGAGGCAAATTTTTCTGGACACAGCAATTTACTCCTGGACTGAAATGCAGCTCTACGTGAAATCTACCAAATGAAGTATTTTAATGCGTTTTTTTTTTTAAATTTATTAATATTTTTGTAAATTTTACCTAGCCTCAGAAAAAGGATCTTTAGTTGGGTCTTCGTAAAGCATGATGACCACTTGTGCCATGTAATTGAGCTCGGACACCATGGATACATACTGCATTGCACGGCGCCACTGCTCATCCTTTGCTTCCTGAAATGGAAAAAGTAAGTTCAAATTGCCAGGGAACATTCGATGGAAATTACAAAGCAAATGAACGGATCCAATTCTAAAATAAAAATTACAGAATAGTCAGCGCTGTCATGCATAGAATAACACTTATTCCATCACAGACTTGCCTTATTTGCATTGCTTGTGTCAGGAGGACAGGTTGGTTCTATTGTTTCAATCTCTGTTTGGAGCTTTTTCTGAATTATACGACAAGATGTTAAAGATTTAGCAAAAACGTTAGTGTGAAAAGTGCAATACATTAATTAATTTTGAGAAATAAGCAGAAAATTTAATTTCATCATGAAATTCTAGCCTACAACTTACGTCAAGAAGGCCTCCATAACGAAGAACGGTCAGTAGAGAGTGCACATGACTCTCGCTAGTGAAATAAAGGCGGGTGCGCACATGGCGTCCTGGGCTGGACACTCCGTGAGAGTAACGTGGGTTCAGTCGGTTCACACTCTCTTCACCAAATTCTTCAATATTTCTCTGCAAGTCTGCTCTGATTTTCTTCAGCAAAGGTGTGCAGATTCCCTGACCAATCATCAGCTTGTTCTGCTTATTCAAGCCGTACTCCTGCGTAGCCGAGAGTCAATTTTATTTACTTTTAATTTCATTCAATATTTACTTGAGGTATCACTATGTCAGCCAGGTACTTTGCGCAAATATACAACTCTTCAGCTTGCTCAAATTGAAGAGTGTGCTGGTTGTGCTGGAGGTCGTATTTGATGCAGTCATAAATGTCAGGAATTTTCGAAATGTCAAACGACTTGTTCTTTGTGGAAAAATCCTTTTCGATTTTGCCCCACCGACGGCCCATCAGTTCCCATGTTTCACCATGGTATAATATTGCATCTAAAATTAAATCAATTAATAATTTAAAGGTATAAAATAGCACCGTCTACCTTTAGTTTTTGGGTCTTCACGTTTAGTTCTAACTATGGCAACTAGCTTTTGAATCAAGTCGTGGACTCTTTCACAGCACCTAACAGGATTTTTCACAAAGTCAAGGGCGGCAGTAATGGACGAGGCATTGCACGGATTTAACTTTTCCCTGTCTTCCTTGGTAAACTCTTGGTCCTGCTGCATCAACTCGTGCAGCTTTGACTTAGCCCTGGAGATATACTTTGTATAAACTTGCAAATTTATATTATAAAAATTATATACATATTCTGATGCTTGCTGGAGTCGCAGTCGTTGTCTAGCAAGCCGTTCGTGTTGGCACTCTTGACCATTTGAACGAGGATGGGGGTGAGTTCGCCCTCGAGAGCCAGCAGCCCCTTGGCAAAGGCAGCCGCCGTCATCTGGACACGGCCCTCGTCTGAGGCGTAGATCTTGAGGTCGTGTCTGAAGGTCGAGTGCAGCCGGAGCAGGCCGAGTCCCTGAGTACCAGCGTACTCGCCTGAAATGTGGCAGCAGTCAGCCACAGGCCCCTCTCTTTGAATCTGCTCTGCAACGCTCGGTCTCGGTCGTGCTGCTCACACATACTCTCACTCAGTTTAAATTGGCTTTTTCCAAAAAATTTTGAAATAAAATTTCTTATAAATAATTTAAGATGGTATAATGATATTTAAAGAGAATTAAATAATATAAAGTGACAAAATAAAAGAGTTAGAACAACAAAAAGATTTAGAGATAAAGCAACAGAAAAATTACACATCCCTGCGCTTTAGTAAAGAAAATTTTTTACAAAGAGAATAATTGTGGTCATGCTTTTGGTACTGTACTTTACTGCGTTTAATGAGAACTGGGACTGCATGTAAAATACACAAATAATGATCTATGTAAGTCGAATGATCAACTAGACGGAGAGCAAAAAGTCAACCAAAAACAAAAGAGCATTTCCTCATCCACTCTCACATTGCAGCAGGCAGATTCTAATTCTAACCAAGAGGTCATAATATACTAAATAATATATTTTTTAAATTCATGAGTAGAGACCAAACGCATTTGCAAATCTGAAAACTAAGGTGGCCCAACAGAGAGTGTCAACTGAGACCAATCTTGTTAGTTTCGCCAAGATCTAGAAATGTGGCCAGCAACCAGTCACGCACCACTTGGCCATTTCAATCAACCACACATTCAATTTAGCCGTGGAACCTCCACCGAAATTGCAAACCGAATCAAGACATTATCACACACACACATTTTTGCTATTTATGCCTACTCAGTTAATTAAGTGAACATTTCACTGGTTCTAAGGCAAAAGCAGATTGTTTAGAGTACAAAAACCATCCTGAGCCGCAGCGTACGTTTTTATACCAACAACGCACTTGCGAGGCTCAGCATGGTGTGTCAAATCAAGTGATTAGGAGCGTTAAAAAGGCGATGTGAGCATAGAGGGGCTCACCCGCAGCTGTGTGCCTAAACCTTCTACCTTGGCCTCCTGGGTACATGCAGCGGAAAATTCGGCCCAGCTCCTCTGCCTGCACCCGTCCAGCCGGGGTCAGTTCGCCACCCCACTTCAGGATGAGCACCAGCGATGGCTCTTTTGGCAGGTCTAGGAAAAGGCCTTAAGTTTAATTGAAAAACCATTGCAATCAAGTTTCAGTCTCTGACCATCATCGCTGCTTGAGCCTCTGGGTCTGCCTCTCGGTTGGTATTTCATTTGAACTTTGCGGTTGATTCCAGAAAAGTGACCGTACATTTCCAAAACACTTTTCAGCTGCTCAAGTTTCCCTTGCTTTTCTTCCAATTCTGGGTCAGCAGCTCTGTGCTGAATTTCTGTCAGCAGCGAGCGAGCCGTGTCGAGAATTTCTTGCAATTGCTTTGGTTTTTTCAACTTCACATGACCTTTTCTGTAGCCGTCGTACTTTTCGAAAATTTCAAAGAATCTATAAATTATTATTAATTTATTGAACACATTTTTATCATTTTTGTATTTATTTACTTCGGATGCCGAACTTCGACTTTCATTTTCTGTTTTGGCGTTCTGTCACCATGTCTAATCACAGCCACAACACATCTCAACTCCATCCTGCATTTGGAATGAAACAAAAATTATGTAAGTATTGATAAAAAAAACTTGAGTATTACATTTTTCCAAATGTTGTAGGAACGATTGGGGGATCATCTAATTGAAACGGAACATTCCAAGGGATGTGCAAAGTAGGGGCGAGCTCTCGCAAAATCATATTCCCTAGGATTTTGGCACAGTCGTCGTAGTACTTGTTGGAGTTCTTGACAAAGCTGAAGCCATTCACATCGCAAACAAAAGATTTACCATTTGCTCTATAAAAAATATATTATGTAATGGGGATTAAATTTTTAAATCCAATAGAGCACCTCAATAAATCAAAACCGCACACAGTCTGCTTGAATGCCATGCAAACCTTGCGCGAGATTAGCTTTTCAGCATTGCTCAAAATGACAGGATAGCGGATTTCTTTGCCCTCGCTGTCTCGCTCTACTTTGCCGTCCAAGGCAGGAGACTTTCGAGCCTCGGCATGGGCGTAATCAGGCCCAACAGTGTAAACCTTGATAAAAATAAGTCAGACACAAGAGCAACAAATAATATCTCTCACTTTAACATCAGTCCCATCAGTTGGCATGAAATCCTCGTAAATGAAAGAACCTGTCTTTCTAACTCTCGATTCTGGCGAGTAAACGGAACTCCTGCTTCCAATCTAAAAAGACAATCTAGATCAAAACTGGTGTTAAAAAAAGAGCTTGAAAGTACCTTTCTGAAAAGTCTCTGACTGCCGCCGCCAGCAGAAGTTGGATAGTAAATGTAAATATTATGATCCTCGGCCGAAACTGGCTTCTCGACAAAGGGCTTATTGAACACAACTCCATTGACTTCGACGTGATCCTCCGACTCCACCAACTCGTGATCTAAAGCAAGTTCTGGATGTCAATTTTCTCTTTTACCGAAAACTCCTTTGTTCCTACGTCTCGGATCGGGCGAGTCTCTGTCCAGGACAGCATATCTGGGAATCTCGATGCCCTCCTTCGCCAGTATCGAGTACACTTTCCGCCGGTCCTGTATGTCGTACTGCATGTGCAGGTTGTTAATGATGAAAGGGTTCCGCAGGTTGGCATACTGAATAGCCTTGTCCAGCGGGAAGCCCTTCGAATGGAATGAGATGAGACAGTCGCAAATGGGCCAGTTTTCCACAGGCTCCTGAGGACAAAATTCTAGTTTTAGTTTTTCTGTATACAAAGCGCCAAGAAATAAATAAAGTATGGTTAATGACTCGGAACTTGGATTCCAGCTTAGTCATGCATGTTAGCTCGCAAACAATAAATTGTAAATCAATTTTAAGTGTGAGAATTAAAGCACGTTCGTGATAATAACCAACACCCCCTTCTTCATCTTCGGCGTGCATTATTGCAATTTTAGTATTATAAAAAATTGAATAGAAAAATCATTTGCAAACTTTACTTTATTGAGATGAGATAGAGTTTAATTTGAGAACCAAACAAGCTTGCTGAGAAGCTGAGCGGGGAAGACACCTAGTTACAAAAAGCAGGAGGAACAAACGAGACCTTGAGAATGACCTCCTCGTTGAACACGACGATCCTGAGGTACTCGAACTCCTGCAGCCGAGTGAGGATCTCCTTCATCGGCTTGGACTGCGACTTCTTGGCCATGGCGCACACCCCCACCACCACCTGCTTGCCGCCGTCTTCGCCGCTGGACATTTCCGTGTCCAAGCCCAATCCATTGTCGTCCAGACTTGAGCCTTCGCCCTGCAAACAAATTCGCACGTCACACAGGCGCTGATAATCATTTTGCGGCGCTAATGAGTGAGATAAACGGAACGAAAAAATAACAGAGAGACAGCGCAGAGGAAAAACAAAAACAAATTTTTAAAACTTGACTTCTGCACAGGTTATACATAATTATTATTTCATCTCAAATTGTGTGTGCTGAAAACGAGGCGGAGTTTTTCGGTCGGTGATGACGGAGCGCAATCAGGGCTGACAGAGACAAGCTTGCATTTTTTTGCATAGTACACAAGCATTATAATTAATTAATCAATTTAAGAGTTCAATTAAAAATCTGCTTCGAGCAGCAGCTGGAGAGGAGCAGAGCTAGCACACTCCTGTGATTTTTAACAGAGATTATGGATTATTTTTAGGACAAGTTAATGCTGGATGATTGATGTTTAAAAATGGATGTTATGGTTATCAACAAAGCACTAAAAATTTAGCTCTGGGTTCAAATTAGTCTTTTATATTATTTAATTACAGCATTGGAAATTCGTTTTTTTTTTCAAGAAGAATTAATTTGGACACGTAAAAAACAACAATAATAAAAAAAATAGATATTAAATAGTAAAATTTACAACTAATATGATTTCTTGCTGTAATCTTTTGTACGTGGAAATTTTAATTTTGAATAAAAAAGTAAATTTTCAATAAATTTTCAAAATAAAAATTTAATACTCAGATTTACGTTATATTAAAAATAATTTGTAATTTAAAAATTATAAATAAATAATTTAGCAATTGTAAAACACGGCAAAATCACAAATAACTAGGCTTTTCCTTGTTGAGAACATGTGTTATTTTTAACAAAATTCTCAACGCGGAAAACTTCCATATATTCAATTCAAACTATAGAATTTTTTTTTCAATGAAGAAAAATATTTAAAAACATCAAATTTAAATTAAATATTTTTGTTAGTAAAAAAAATGAGGGTATGCAAGAAAAACAGACATTTTGTCCCCAGCAGTCGAGAAGGACGCTGACGTCTGCTCGGACGCGCCACCAGTCGCTGGCCCACTGCCGGACATGCTCCATGCCGGAGAAGAGTCGGCTGCCGAGTGAGTCGCGGGCGGGCGTTTATCATCCATCGCGACTCGCGGCCGGCAGATAAAGAGCGGAAAAATAGCATGTGTGTTAATTGGGCATGCGGTTAGCGGCGAGCAGCGAGCGAGTGAGCGAGTGAGGGAGAGCGCGGGGGACACAAACAGCCGCCGGGACAGTACCAGCAACAGCCAGTAGGGCTCTGCGTTGCTGTCCACGTCCACAATGCACACGCCGGGCAGACGCGCCGAGGAAGATTTACCACCGTCCATCCTCCGACCTCGACAGCTTCAGCAACGACAAAGCCGGAGAGAGAAAGAAAGAGAGACAAGTAAAAATCATAAAACGAAAAGAATGTAAAAGCCGAATGAAAATCATAATTAATTCTGCTACAAAATTACAATGAAATCAAAATTCGAAAAAAAAAATATAATGTTACAAAGAAAATAGATTCAATTATCATTTGATCAATGAAGGTCAAATCAGGTCAAATCAAAAAATAAATATATGGAAAAAATGGGTCGATTTGAAGAAATTAAATATTTTTATAATTAATTACATTATTGCTAAATGAAAATTATTTTCACCAAAAGAATTCACAACAAATGTTGAGATTTTTCAATTTTAAAAACATCAGATAAAAATTTCGAACCAAAAAATTTAATCTTGAAATGCCATTTTCTCAGAAAATTTTATTTTCTTGGTGCAAGGAAAATTTGGATGTAGTTTAATGGGTTAAATGAGAAAATCTTCAAAAATTTGTAAATATTTTTTTCTTAGTAATTCTAAAACAAAAAATTAGCCGATGTGAAAAATGTTTTGTTTTAAATTTTAAGATCATAAACCCATTTTTTTAACGTTTAATTTGTTTTTACCAAACTTCGAATTTTTTTAAATACAATAAATTTCATAAAAAAAATGGCAGAACTTTTTTGGCTAACAAATAAAACGTTGATAAGTTACTTAAATTTAACATCCAAGGTTTCCGCCTTTTACTTTTTTTTTATATAAATTAAAAAAGTTCTCACTCCCGATTTGATTAAAATTAAGAAATGTGTTGTTTGCAAATTACTCTCAGTTTGGCAATGCGTTCCTCGTGCAGGTAGGAGGGCCTGGCTTTCTTGAGTCCCTGGTAGCCGTGCTCCAGTTCCGTGTAAGACATGTCAGTGGAACTGCGTCTCATCCAATTCGTGGTTCCCACGACTCATTATCAAAATCACTGGCGCGCCTCTGTTTTTTCCGCCAGCAATTCCAAACGCCTTCCTTCTCAGTTGCCCTTGGCTTTTTTTTTAATGTGATGAATAACGAAAAAGCAGCTCTCTTCAGTGGGGACACCACGAACTCCTGAAATCACGATCAGCCCGAAATAGATATTTGAGTGGCCTGTCAAAAACAGCTGCCGCCCATTCAACATGACAATCAAAATGCAAACAAAATTATAATTCAAGTGCCTGTTGAGTTGAGCGGCTTCGGTGAAAGTAAATTAAAGATTAAAATTCATTTGTACTTCATTTATTGGAAAATTATTTTAAATGCGTAATTTTAAATAGTTTTTCATAAAAAAAATTGTTAATTTCAATGCAAAATATTTTTTAAAACATTGATTTTTGTACTAATTTATATCTTAATTATTTCATCAAATATTGATATATTTAAATTTTGAACACGACAGTTAATTTAAATTCTAACGAATTAAAAAACAAATTGATTTTTTTAATTAATTTAATTCAAAATAACAAAAATTGCATTATTAATATTTAATATTTGTCAGATTTTTGTCATAAAAATGAATTAAAGTTTTCAATTTTAAATATTCAAGGGAAGAGAAAATTTTGCTGTTATACATTTTTTTCTGTATTTTTTGTATTCTTCTCCAGAGTTCGTAATTGCGCAATGAAATGACCTACTATCATGTTACGTAGGTGGGCAAAATCAATACAAAAATAAGCCCTGCTCCACGCAGTTATTGATTTCTCGCTCAAGTTGTGCGCCACTTTTCTTGCTCTCGGGTGTCAGTGTTATATTTTTAAACTCTTTGAAGAGGAAAAATAAATTAAAAACAGCATTGAAGGTCGAGCGTGTCGGCCGTTGACACTGCACTTGAGACGAAACCGAAAGCACGGGAATTTGCCATTGACGAAATATAATCCGAGTCTTTGGCAAATTAATGAGACTTTGTCGGGCGATTTATTGTATATTTTCTGCCTTCGACTCTCTTCACGTCGACGGCAAAACAAAATAAAGGGATCAAGTGCAAACAGGGGACCCCTGGAAGCACAACGAGATAAAAATAAGTACTCTCTAATACCTTGCTTGGCGTAAATACAACAACCGTTGTCCTCTCTTATCAAAGGGCGAGGGACTTGCAAAGCACTCGTGCTCACCGCACTCCGCGACGACGAAAATTGCGAAATTTCGAAGATGGCGGGGCGGGACTGGGGCAGCAGGACACCAATGCAGTGCTGCCACCGTGACGGGGCTGAACAACAACAAAACAACAGCTTCAATGGTTCCCACGACCCCTGTTCGCTAGAGCACCTTTTGCTTGCATGTCCTCGACTAGCTCCTGCAAGAAAAAATCTGATGAGCTGCCTTAAACAGCTCCATCTCAACTCCTCTATCAATCTGTCTACAATCCTCTTAACAAATAATAGACAAATCTATTTTGCATTGCATGCCCTGTTTCAGGTCATCTTTCCTAAATGTAAATACAACTAGTAAAAATTAAACCAACATAAATAAGACCTGGCTAAATGGTATTAACTATAGCCAATTAAATCAAAATACAACAACAACAACAAGCTTCAATGGTTGCTGACCAGTTACGGTTCTCGACCAAATCTTTATCTTTATCGTTGATTACGTTGGTACACATGGCCAAGAACTGTAGTCACTGTACTGACGCGATTTCTGATCAAAACAAACTTGGGATCCCACGTGTGTTGGAGAAATAGCTTCTTAAAAAGGCATGCATTTTTAATTGAATTATAGTTCAATTGATCTTTTGAGTTTCTTGATTGCAATAGATTATAATTGATCTTCAAATAAGCAGGATTTTAATTTTAATTTGATTTTTTCTTTTTATTTAAGGCGTCGTCCGCTTTTGTTTCTGATTCAACGCTTGCAAGCGCAGCTTCGAAATGGTGAGGAAGTCCCTGACGCCGTTTCCAAAGTCTGAGAAAATCATGGGCGTCAAAAAGGAAAACACGCCTAAATCTGGCTTGAAGTCCAAGGCCCTGGTCGAGACTTCGCCTGTGTCAGCGTCTCCTCTTTCTCTCAAAAAGAAGAAAAAGGCGAGCATGTCCGGCTCGTTTGAAGTGTCCGAGGTGGCCGACGTGAAGTTGCCGGAAATCCCTGAAACTACGACCCCAGTTAGTGGAAAGAAAAAGAGGAAGGCGCTGTTGAATGTTCAGCCGGAATCTGAAGAATCGACCCCTGCCAAGGTGAAGTCTGAGAAGAAAAAGAAATCTTTGGGTCTTGTCAAAACGGCAGAAATCATAAAAGAAGAGGTTGTGCTTTCGGGAAAGAAATCGATGAAAAAGAAATCCATCGTGCCAGAGAGTGCCGAAAGCACCACTGAAGACGGACAGAAGAGTTTGTCTGCTAAAAAGAAGAAAAAACTTTCTCTTGAAAGTACCGAGCAACTTCAAAGTCCGGTCTCAAAAGCACTAAAGAAAAAGGGCCAGGAATCAAAAGTTGCCGAGGACTCTCTTGATGTTTCCGTCCAGTCACCGGAGAAGAAGAAAAGAAAGAGGAAGAAATCGAAAGGTCCTGCTGGAGAGCCGGGTTCTGCTGTGAAGAAACCAAAAGTGGACGGAGAAGAATCAAATGTTGAGGAGGAAACTGGAAAATCTCCCAAGAACGAACAGACGCCCAAGAAGAAAAATGAAAACCAGAAATATACTTTATTTGTTGGCAACCTCCCCTACGAGTAAAATCTCACAATCAATTTATTGAACAATATAATTTCATGTTCATTGTTTTAGCGTTACTGAAGAAAACATCAGGGAACATTTTGGAAAACACGGAATCAACATAACCAGAGTGAAACTCCCAAGAGACAAACAAACGCAATTGATCAGAGGATTTGCTTATGTTGATATTCCAGACAATGATCAATATGTTGTAAGTGAAAATACAATTGTGTATTTTTCTGATTTCTATAGATGAATTTATTATTTCAGAGAGCTTTGAAGATGGATGCGTCCTTCTTGAGCAAGCGGCGTATCAGGGTGCAGTTTACGTTGCCAGGCAAAAAGTCGCAACACGGCAGGATGAAGGTGATCGTGGCCAAAAACCTGAAGTTGCATGCAATGAAGAAAAAGGGCATTTTGTTGGCTTAGAAATTTATATAATTGCAAAATATTATGATCGAAGGCTAATTTGAGGAATAAACATTTAAGGATGGATATTATTTCACTAGTTTTTGTCGACATTCATATAACTAAAGCACTAATAAGATCACACAAAAAAATTTTAAATCATATCAATTTATAATTTAGGTGCACAGACTAATATTATAATCTGTGTTTAGGTGTTCCATTTATTCCTATATGAAAAATCTAGGTTAAAAAAATTTAATTAAAAAGCGAGGTTGACTTGACTAGCAATAAAAATGCAGTTGGTTCGTAAGAATTTCCGAATGGTTATTATTCGTCTGGAAAATAGTCGTAACAAGATGATAATAAAGATATACATACACAGTGCACAGTGACTGATTTTCAAAATCAACTCTACTGCAGAAGTATGACAAAAATAATAGAAAAGAGCAAAAGCAATGGCTTCATGATTAATAGAAGTAGTAGTAGAAGTAGAACAACCCTTAGGAGTAATCATCGTAAAATGTTGTAACATACAGTTAAAATTCTGCCATGGAATAACAAGAAGCATCGCATGGAGGACTTGTGCGGCTAAATTTTTATATTTTATTTCTCTTCTCTCGCTAAAACCTCTTTTCTCCAGCAAGCCTAGTGTGTCCCCCAGCATTAAATTTTAGTTGAAACACACAAATTAGCACTAAAGAGATTGTAGTTTTCAAGAAATTTAAATTTGCGCTCTCATGTTTTGAGTCAGACGTGGCTGCTGCTTGACAGAATATGACCCTATTCCCCTTCGACTAGGCAAAACAAAGGGCAGTGCTAAACGACGCACGCAAGCATTAGGAAGAGTAAGGTACCTTGGCAAAGACTGAAAGACTCTAATAAATTAAGTATAATTAAGGTACTACGTATGGCAGATATTTACAAAAATGTATAAAAAAAAGTGACTGATCCATGCTTTTGTGCTGCTGACAAGAATTTGTGGGAATAGGGATTTCTCCGAAGACAGCCTCAGGAACAGAAGAAACACATTGAGAGAACAACGCATATGATTTTTCTCATAAGAGTGGCTGGGCAGAGCCTTGACCAGCCTTGAGCGTTGTTGATCACAGAGCCGCAAAAAGACATAAGAGCTGCTTTTATTGCTGGAGCGCACTTTTTATTTACTTGAATTTGTTTTTTCTTTTTTTTTTGTGTACGAGACATTGAGTGGATTTGCTAATATGGATTCATTTACATAGTATTAATCAGAAGTTATACGTTTGATTTTCATCCAGACTAGGCTCAAAAACAGCTGCCCGGATGTAGCTGTACAGACACATGCAGTTAAAAATGATTATATATTCATATGATTTCACCTCTCTGTTAATAATGGAATTGTGCTATGCGCCATCTCATCTCGTTTCGTTATTAATATTTGGTCGAACGGTTAAAATTCGGGCTAGCAATGCAGTATAAAAAGTCATCTCCTCACAGTGACGGGACAGGAATGACAGCATTTCTTCAGTATTATTTAAAGTACGTAAAAGTGATCAAAATGTTTCATTATCATAATTCCTACGAAGATTTTTTATGCGCACTACCATCTCTCATTCTAGGTGGTGAAAAATTAGCAAAACCATCAGAGAGGGTGGCTTTTTGAAATTTTCTTAGAAGAAGAAGAAGTGACAGTAGAATAAGTAGAAGCATAGCAACCATGTCTGGGTGTGTCAAATGTACTGGGAAGTCTGAGTTGGCAGAGAACGGAGGCCAAGGCAAAGAGGATCTTAAGGCGGCAGTCGGAACCTCCCACCGATCATTATTGTTCTTTGGTCTGTCAGTTCGTGGTTGTCAGAAACTGAAAAAAATTTAAAATGTGATTTTCTTTTCAAAAAATTAAAATCAAATGAAGCACCTTGTGTGGGTTGATTTTGATGCTGCCTCAAGTGAGGCCAGAGCAGTTTGAGAGGCACAGCTGTGTACGGTGGGTGTGCAGTGGTCCCCTGCCTGCCCGTCGGGAGCCAGCTTGGGAAAGAAGAGGAGCAAGGAGAGAAGAGGCTAACAGTTCCAGGAGGCTGGGTCGTTGGCCGAAGGGGCCACTGACTGAGACTCCATGGTTGGCTGCTCGGCAGGTACCCACGAAACCATGCACTGTCCACCCCCGGGCCCGGGACCGCCTGGAGGGGGTTGTCCGGGTGCCCCGTTGACTCTTGGCTGCTGCTGGCCGCCGTTGGCACCTGTCCACTTGAGGTCACAATCAAGTTGATTAACTCTCGCTCAGCTACAGAGTTAATTACTCATGCAACTTACCTGGTTCGGAGGGTTGAAGCAGTACGATGGACACATGCCAGCTACAGGGGCTGCTGGGTAGTAGCCTGTTGTGCTTGCAAACGCAACCCCCTCACCAGACGAGGCTGGTCCCCTGGAATTTCATCATTGTCAAAATTTGAAATTTTTAATTGTCTACACCCAACGATCTCCAGGCCTGTAGCCGCGCGAACTGGAGCAGTGAACTCTCTACACTAGAGCTGCCACCGCTCTAAGCTTAGAGCAGCCACCGCTCTAAGAAAAAGCCCATAACGTTACACTAGAGCGGCCACCGCTCTAAGAAATTTCCCATAACGTTACACTAGAGCGGTGACAGCTCTAAGCTTTGTTGGGTGTAGCTTTGAATAATTTTGCATAGATTATTCAGTTATTATTTTATTAAATGCCACAGTTAAAATGAAATAAAATTAAAAACCTCATGGACGGTGAAACAGTGTGCTGTTGCTGGAACATAGGACCAGGATTGTTGTTCGGCGGAGCGGATGTTGCAATCATAGTTTGTGGCGGCGAATAGTATCCAGCCTCAGCGCCTCCACCTGCATTTTTCCAGATTACAAATTTAATATATTTTTGTTCCCTATGTCTCAATTTTATCATGATTGAAGTGGAAAGTTTGCTAGTTCAGCTCTCACCTGAGTGGGGAAATAGGGCCATCGGTCGCTGCGGCTGGACTAGAAGGACCGTCTGCTGAGAAGGAGGCATCACCACATTTTGTTGTTGTTGAGTTGATACTGGTGGTGGGGGCGGCAAGAGTGAAGGACGAGGTGGTGCCTGTTGCGGAGGCTGCCATCCAGGGGCGGCCACAACATAGCTGGAGGCGGGTGGGGCAGGACAAGCGTTGGATGCATCATTAATTTGCATGCCAGTCACATACGAAGTGATTTCAGTCATGCAGCACCCCTCCTGTGAACACTGAATTGTTTTTTTGTTTATCTTTTGCCTTAAAATTGATTTATTTAATAAATTTTATTTATGTATTTAATAAATATTATAGTTTAACTTCGGTTATTTTTTTGTTACCTGTGAGTGGTGAGAGTGGGAATGCTGGGCTTGAGGGGCAGCCTGGTACGAGTAGATGACTTGCGGTTGTTGCGAATATTCGGGTGGAGGCGGTGGAGGAGGGGCACAGGTGTAGGCGTGCACCTGTATGGAGGGAGGTTGTGGCGGGGGGTCTGAGGTGGTCAGCAGTTTGGGTGGATTGCTTGGGTCGTAGCGATAGACGGATCCATCGCTATTGAGATATGGTTGGCCGGTTTGCGGATTGATCAGTAAACTCCCAGCTGGCACACTGTCCATGCTAGACACGGCCCACATCAGAGTGGGTCCTACGAAGTGTTGCTGCAGGTGAGCCGGCATCTGCATTGGACCCTGCGGAAGTAGAGGTGTGGCTGTTGGAGATGGGGTTGCAGACATGGTCGCGTCCGACCGCTGAGATCCCAAAGACTTGTAGCCCGAGCTGAGGGGTGAGAGACGCGAGGCAACGCTGCTTGTGCCTGAGTCTATTTTTTTACCATTAGAAAATTACTGTTTAGAACCAAATTACATTTCACTTGCCTTGTTTGGTCAGGAGACGAGCGCCAGCGCTATGAGTGCTGACCATACTGTCACCCCTGGCTATGCTCGGAGCGGTAGTCCCACCAGAATAGCCGCCAAAGCTGTACGACTTTGAAACAGCCTGGCGCATCGAGTTTGAACGTAGAATGTCTCTGCTCTCAAAGGATTCCACTTTAAGCAATCGGCTTGGTCTGTAACAACATTTGTCTATGAAGACTGAAACTTTGTGGGAATTTTGAGGATATATTGACCTCAACGAAGAGGAATGGGGAGGACTGGGTCTGAGGAGTTGAGGTCTCCCGTCAGAACTGTCTGAGCTGCTCCAGGTCTGGGCACCCGCTGCCCAGGAGCTGCGCAAATCCTCCTGACTAGACCTAACTTCATCCCCTTCACTCAAACCAGAGTCTCCTCTCATCACTCGCATCCCATCACCCTGCAACCAAGCACACCGGAGATTTGAGCGTTTAGCATGAGCACAGGTTAATTGCATTGCATTTTTTTTTTATATAAGTGTATCTAATGAATCAAAGTTTCTGTGTTTCATGCAATTAATATTGAAAACGATAAATTTTTCTTGCTAATATGGTACCTCCTGCTTGAAAATTCGCTTTCGAACTTTCTCATATTCTTCTTCTCTCTCCTCAAAGCTTTTACTTCGGCGACTGTCAGCACTTGCCTATTTTAATTGTTATTTTGATAAGAGAAATTCCGTTATTTCTACAATGGCTCACTTTAGAATTTGGATCGTCCAGGGAGTTTGTGTCCCTCTTGAGAATCGACTTCCGTGGTTCCATCTCGAGGTCACCTCTCATCTGGTCTCTCAGTCTGAGGTCGGGTGTCTTGGAAGTGGCAGTCTTGCCGACCACCACCTGCGCCCCTGTCGAGTCCACGTTGTGCTCCATGTTGTACAGAGCAGCCATTCGATGCACCAGCATTCGTTGATACGACGACATGGGAGGGAACTTGAATTGCGTGCGCCTGCGGAGGAAAATTTAACGTGCTGATTATCCACTTGGATGGACAATTGGTTAATTACTTTGTATCTTTGACAAGGTTTTGCAGCTCTGTCTCAATTCGCAGCAGCAGCTGCCGGTCTTTGTGACTCCGATTGACTGTTTCGGTGAGAAAGGCTGGCAAGTCGACACCAGAGCTGTCTCCCGTTGGAGGTTGTTCAGTGCTAGAATCTGGTTAAATATCACCAAATTAGGATTTTTCATCAATTAAATGAAAAATTTCAAACCTCTAGATAAACTAAGAGGTGAGTTGCTATCCATGCTGCCTTGAGAAGAACCCTGTTGCTTGAGTCGCAGTCTAGAACTGGGCCTGCCCGCGCCTGCGGGAGGTTCTAGAGTTGCCCTCTCAGGGTCTGGCGGCGGCGAAGTCTCCTCCCTCATTGCATGACTTCTGACTAGAAGTTTTACTTTGCTATTTTGTGACTGAAACGTATAAAAATTTTGGAGATATTAAGAATTAAAAAAAAATAATCAGGAAAACATACCTTTTGACGAACAGGAGCACTTGACCCTGATGAATCACCAGGCGGTGGTTCTCCTGTCTGTTCGTCGGCCTCGTTCTGCTCCTCGTCGCTGGCTACAGTGTCGGCATTGAGATCATCGTCGTTTGCTGTTTTTGACTCGAGGTCGTCGCCCCTAGACTCCTCGTCCTCCTGAAATTCATTTTCATTGGTTGAATAAATGTGGAATCTTTATTTGCATCTTGTACATTAAGTGTGACACGCACAATGTGTTCAATAAAATTCTATATAAAAAAATAAAAATATAGTGAAAAAGGCCAAGGACGTGTGTGTACCTGTTCGGCTAGCGAGTGCTGCAAAGTGGAGATGGAGGCGCGCTCCATTTGAGGACTGGCAGGGCAGCTACACGTGCCAGCATGAACCACTATGCTGGGAACTGCGGCGAAACAGACTCAATCAGTTTTCAGATCCAACGGCTCAAGCAAGCATTTGAAAAGGGAAGGGGATCAACACAGAAAAGTGATTGAGGGAGAGTCACACTCGACTCAGATCTAAAAAACACACCAGTGACTAGCAATTATGGTTTTCCTAATGTTTGCCAGTTTCTCAGTATATAACAATTTTATTATAATGACAGTTAATTTTGTGAGCAGAGGATTTCAATATGAAGTTAAATGTTGGAATTTTCTCAAAACTTCTCGGACGGATTTATTATTATTAATATAACAAATTGTGTTATGTGACGGGTCGAACCAAGAGTAAATACGGGGGATGATGACACTGGTGAGGTGCAAACGTGTATGAGAGAGGATCTCGTGCAAAATGTATATACGACGGGATAAACCAAATTGGAGGCTGAAAACAGTGTTTCTGGCCACAGCAGTGCAACAAAGGAACAACAAACATGAATAATACCAAAACCATGTATAGATTATGTATGTATCTGCATGGAATGGAAAACGATTGATGTGATGGTGGTTGAGAGAGAGAGATAGAGAATTAATTTGGTGACTGGAACACCCAGCCGGGGAAAGGTCACAGAGATGTGTGATAGGGATGATGGCGAAAATAATTAAAGTGTATAAAACGACGAGCAACTAATAAGTAAGAGGAGTATACAAAATTGGAAAAGAACAAAATGTATATATAATTTGTATACGTTCTGCGTACTCACTTTCTAATCTGGCCATGATTTTTGATATTAAATTTAGACAACAGATTTAACTTAGGGGCTAATTAGAGCGAGCTTCCTACGATGTGTGTGCACCTTGCATTGTACAGGCAGAGGATTTCAAGAGGGTACTCAAGCATCTGAAATCTGCGCGGAACAATTATTTTAAAACACTCCAGATTGTCCCTCACAGTTCTAGAATTTACTCAAAGTGTGCAAATCAAAGCAATTGTATATTAAAAAATATATAGTTCTAATTCTCAAAACAGTGCACGCTATTATTAAAAATGAACTCTTTGATTCCTCCCTTGAATGACAGAAAAAAATCTGATTTATTTATATCGATTTCCAATGAACAACAAAACAGCGATGCTGGCGGGTGGAAACAGTTGGGCTGCCTCGAAAGGGACATCACGAGCGACGCGCCAAGGACAAGTAAATAGGAAAACTTGCTTTTGTTTGTTTCGTACCGGGTGCAAGTAATTCGCAAATTGGTTCGACATTTCCAGCGAACTTCCTCTGCTCATTGATTGGTTTAACCAGTAAATAGAAAAACTTTTCCGCACCCCCTCTATTGTGCAGAAAACGCTTGTCTGGCAGAAAATCACCTCTGCTGTTGTTAAAAAAAAATATTCGGAAACGTTAAAAACCATAATAAGAAATGAAAAAGACTTGACTGTACCAAGATAATTTTTATATAAAATTTCAAAATTTGATTATAGTAGATTTATTTTTCAGCTGCAACTTCATTAAATTGTTTACATGTTTAAAAAAAACATTAAAAAATTAACAGAAAATGAATGAGCTAAAAAAAAATGGTTATTGAAATGAAAATAGAAAAAGATGAAAAATAAATTGTAAAAATTTTAATAATAATAATTCCTCTTTTTTTTGCCATTTTGAAATAAAATTAAAATATATTTTAGTTATGGTTTAGTCTTGAAATTCTCAGCCAGGTGTAACTTTGAACTGCGGAAAATGATGCAAAAATTGCAAAATAACATTAATGAAACTGATGCAAAAATATTTCTTTACTTTTAAGTTTTCTTAATTTTTGGAAAAAGTCTGGAAATTAACTTTGGAACAAAATCGAAGGACGTTTTGTGTATTTGTGTACACATTATTTTGCATGTGTTTGCCACTTTACTTGTCCTTGGGTGGCCTTTTATTCGGGGTGGTTGGCGCCGATCGATCGAGATGGAGCCGCATTTCAAATCACAATTAATCACACGACTCTTGACACGGAAACATCGCCGACCGAAAGAGAAACTGCCGAGCGGCTTGCAGGATATGTAGTACGACAAAAGAGAGAGAAGAGACACAACGCATGCTTTTCCACCCCATCGATCATGCAATTTTTCCATTTCTCCCGCTGGCAGGCCGCTCGTGAAGAATAATAATATAGAACATCAAAGGAAAAACAGCAAATCGCAGGATGCGTGCTTCACTTTTATTAGGAAAATAAAAGGAATTCCGCGCTTTTGTTTACGAACGAGATTGATTTGATTGGCGACTAAGTACGTTAGTAATTAATTGATCGGCTAATTAATTGTCTGCCGTGAGAGCGAAGCGCGCGGGTGTGCTCTGGTTATTGAGATTAGCGATCGATCCGTTCGCGCATTTTGGCCAGTGTGAAATTATGCTACCTTGAGCATCTGATGGTTTCAGTTTGGCTTCCGCCGGGGTGCCGCCGCCTGAGGTGGCGAAATCGCTGATGGCCTCCTCCGGTCGGGACGGAGGCGGCGCGCCGCTGTTGCTAGACGACAGCTCTTTTCTCGCTTTGCCAACTGCAAGTGTCGAAAAACGCTGAAGCTCCGGTGGCGGCTGCTGCAGACCTCTTCTGAAACAACAAGCACGCTTGCTTTGAAAACGGAGCCATCTGATTATGTTTGACTATTGAATTACACACGAGAGGCTTATGTGATTTGCTTCGGACAGTTTTATTTCGAAGTGGATGACAAATATTGGGGATTGACTAAATATTTTTTATGTACAAGATTGGAATCAAAATTTTAATTTGATTTTAAGTGAAGATGGCATATTTCATTAATTATCCATTCTTGCATTTATTATTATTATTTTTTTTTAAGGACGAAAAATTCTTGAATTTGTTATTATTTTGTTTATAAAAGAAATAAATCGAATATTCTCTTCTCTTCTTAATTTTTCTGATATTTTAATAACTTCGATTTCCCCATTCCATATCAGTTTCTTAACTTTTATCTCTTTTCATTGAAAAAAACTTGATTGACGTGAGTAATGAAGAATCATTAACTTTAGTCACTGATGATGTTGAGTCTATCAGAGCAAGAGTTTATTTTTGCCAAAATAATATGTTTTCGTTAAAAAATGTTATAATTTATAATCACTTGTGACTAACAACAGACTATAGATGTAGTGGTGAGAGTGCAGCAAAAATCAGACATAGTATTTAAGTCAATTTGTGGTCAAAAGTGAGAAAATTTAATAAATTTAAACTTCTTAGCAAAAAATTTAAAATTAAATATTCATTTCTTTTCAACATTCATATTTGACGCAATTTTTGAACCACGCCTTAAAAACAAAGTTTTAAAATGAAATTGTGGATGTTATTAATCAGTTGCTACGTTTAGCAGCATAACTTGAACTTTGTTTTCCAAAAGGTATAAATTTTCGTTTTGCTAAAGAAAAGTATACTAGAGGGACACACAAGAAAAATATAAATAAATAAATAAATTATTTATAATTTTTATAATTTAAGCACTAAAATTTATAATTAAATTTCAGATTAGATTTTACTTTTTTTATCTTATTGTTTGAGTCAGTTTGATTGATGTTTTTAAAATGATACAAATTATCATAAAAAAAAAAAAAAATAGTAGCGGCAGTTTAAAATTGTCTTTAGATCTCCCTTTTGTTTGCGTCAATGGTTTCGACTTTCGGCAATTAAAACGTTCATATTCCGAGATAATGAGAGGTGACAAGAAAGTCGAGAGACACGCGAGCTAGCTCGAAAATGTCAAATAGTCACAAGTGAGGATATCACAATATTTGAGCTCGCGGGCAATATTACGATACGGAACGATAATTCCAAAGTTTGATCGAAACTTTCCCGCAGCCTCAAAATTGGAGAAGCCATTAGGCTACTCTCGTCAGGGTGTGTGTAATTTTGAAAATTGTCCTTCCTCTACTTCGCAACAAAGTCGTCGCATGTAATAAAGAACGAGTGATACATGAAAGTGGTTGGATCTGATCGTAAAAAGTAGCGGCGGCGCGCGATTATTTAGCCGGGCGCGTTCGTTATCGCGATGCCAAACATGCCAACTAATATGGATTTCGGGCTGTAATCAATTTTGAGGAAGACGAAGTTTGAAGGTCGCACCCTCGAATGAGTGACACGAGAGGGAAAAATCAATCCGTTGGGCGCTCGGCCGCCCAATTTGCCTGGCTCGCGTGCACATAATGGGAAATCAAAGCCGAATGTAAATATGCAGGGCGCCCACTGCGAAAAATTCTCAGACTTTTTCCGAGAGGGATGATCTTGAGGTCACGCAACCCGGTGATGAATCACGCCTGCCGGGGGCACGGCTGGCCAAGGTCAAGGACTTAATTGCGGCGTATTATCTCGGCAGACGCTCTCGTGCATAAATTAGCCGAAAGCGAAATTCATTTTCTCTGCGAAACGCTCCTAATCGCGGCCGGATCGTCGCCGATAAAAAATTTGGCGCAATGGAATTTCAGGCTCGCGTGCTTGGGAAAATCTAGCTTGGATAAATATGTGTGTGTTCTGTGTGATTTGTGCATTTCATTTCTGGTAATTTCCTCGATTCGTTATTAACAAAGGTCGATGAAATGTCATGAATAAAAAAAAGCAGGAAAACTCGCAGTTATTTCCTTTCTGCGTCGCAGATAGAAAAGTTGCGAAAGCGAAACTGTAAATCAACTTTTGGCAGCAACATTTTTTATTTTTTGGAAATGGATAAAGGTTAAGAAAGTTTCAAATAAGAATCACATATGGGAGATGAATCCCTTAAGTTCAATATTTATATGAAAGAGTGCTGATTTTTTTATGTAAAAAAAAAAATTGTTCAAATTATTATACCTGATCAAGAGCAGTAGCAAATAATAATCTTCCTCTTCCGGCTTTTGATTGTCGCGAATGGAATGCGATTGATTATTTTTATTACACAACAGCTTCGCCATAACAAAAGGCAGAAAGGAATTTGAGGAATTTCCGTTTATGTAGCGTGCAAGCAGAGGGTGGAATATTTCACAGCCTGATATCTGACATGCACATTGCACTGGTGCTGGCAAATTTCCAAAGCAAAAAGCACACTTTGTCAAAATCAATGAAGGGACGTGTAAACAGAGTAATTAATATGAATGATCTTGATGAAATGGCAAATTTCGTAGCTGAAATTTTCAAGGTGGAAAAATACTAATTTGTTTTTTTGCCTCTTAAAAATTTTAATTGGAAAAAATAAAGCCTAAATTTAATCAAAATATTAAATCACTTTTTAAAATGTACATTTGTGACTTTGATTTCCACGTAACAAAAATCGCTTATATAAAGTACAAATAATTATAAAATATTTATTGCTCAAAATCCTTTGAAAAGAATTTAAACGTATTTGAAAAATGCGAATGGTCTTGCATAAAAATATTGTTATAATGAAGACACAAATTTTAAACATCATTAAGAGTAATTACGAAAAGGCTCGTTCAAGAAAATAAAAAATGATAAAATAAAAATTTTAATAAAAAATAAAAAATATCATTTGTGAAAAGTATAAAAAAAACTTAATGATAAAGATAAAACCAAGGTTGACGTATCATAACAATAAAACAAACTATGATTTTGTTATTTGAGATCTTTGATTGGTAACTCAAGTATAATCAACAATCAAAATTACTGATTGCCTTCGAAAAACCCAATTAAGAGCAAAAATTTGCTTTCTGCATCATCAAATAATATTTTCTAATAGAAACTTGAAGTTTATAACTACTTATTACCTATTGTCAAGAAAAAGAATAGTCTGGAAATCGATAATAAGCATTGAAATTGATGAGAGACCAAAAACCGTTTTATAAATCTGAAGTTACTTACTAAAAAGTGACAATCAGCGTTTGAGGAAGGGCAGAGGGTCCGGCCTGGAGGGCAAGGGTGCGGAAGGGGTCGCGTGCTGCTGGTGAGGAGGCGGCGGGCGCACTGCGAGGTGTTTTGGCCTTTAACAAGGGGCCGAGACACATGCGCCCTGGGAAAGCGCGTGGGCGGCGTGAGATGCCGCCCGCGCCGCACGCCCGCGTGCACCTACACACGCGCCACAGGTAAATGTCATAGAGCAATTATCGGAAAAGCAGCGGCGCCGACGGAATTGAGGACTTCCTTTTCGCATGACCTACATATATCTTGGACCAAAGGCATTTGTGTTTGTTTTCGCCGGGTCTGCCCGTCGACGGCGGCAAACAAACGCTGGCCGGCCTGCGCGCTCTCTGCTGTTGCTCCATCCATTATTTTATTTGCATGCAGGCGAGAATAGAATCACGCCGTGAAAATCTAGCCGCCCATAAAAACACACACTCGCGCGCGCGCTGGCCCAAACATTTTTCGCTCCTCGCTCCGCACCCACTCGGGCGAAATTGGCTCCGCGTTTGTGCTCATGGAAATTAGACCGAGTGTTTGCGCCACTTCTTGAGCTTTTTTTCCTCTTTCTCGCCGGCCGGACGTTGGATGGGGCAACCCTTCTTGTCAGTGTTTTGCTTTGCCCAGTGTAATGAGCAGAAATGGCATTTATTATTCAAATTCCCCTCCATACATCATTGACCTAGAATTCCTCCATACAGCTCCGCGTGTTCAGCCAGATTATTTGATTAAATTTGGAAAATACATCGTCTTCAAGCATAGCATTGGTGTAATGGAAAAATTTTACATGAAATAATTTGTCTAAACAGCCACGAATAAATACTAGAGTGCAGCTTACTATATAACGAATAAATTTAATTGAAATTTTTAAATTCTTAACTATATCCCAAGAAAGGGCATAATTAAATTAAAGTTGAATATTATTGTTAATCTGCATTTTTTTTAGATTCGCATTTTTATTCTGTTAAACATTCAAGTAATTATTATTATAACTTTAAAAGTTTAAAATGTTTTTAATCAAACTGGGTAGCAGAGATTAATTGTTAATGATTAAAATTCACGTTTTTCCCCTTTTTTATTTCCAATTCTGTCTCAAATAATTAAAGGAGGAAAATTTAACTCTGCTATAGATTAACTTTCTCTACCCAAAATTTAAGTTGATTGATTGATCTTTCATCTGTCCTGTAACATCTGAAAAATTCTTTTGTGAAATTTTCTAATCTCATAAAAATTGAAAAAAAATGTACCATATTACATCCTTTTGTGATTGAAAGGGGGGTTTATCTTTATGTAAGAGAGAGTAATATTACGTAACATTACACACATTCTTTATCTTTTGCAAAGTTTAATAAAAGAAAAGGTAAAAATAAACATTTAGAAATAACAATTGGACCTATTCTCAGAATCTAGCTCTGTTTTTACCAAAAATAAGATTTCAGTTTTACGTTACTTGAATTATTGTTTTAAGCAAAAATTATAACACAACTTAAAATATGAGTTTCAAAATATAATTCAAATTATGACCTTTCTCAAATTTAATTTTCAGCCACATTCTTATTTGCTTTTTATTTCCGACTTTTTCAGCTCCGAACAAAACAATTCTCCATAGGAAATAGTGCGAGACGAAAGTTGATTCTCGATAGCACTTTTCCGCGAGTGACTGGAAATGCCAGGTGTCAGCGGCGCCCCGTGACCTCTGACCCGCGTGGGTCGCGCAG